AACGTTGGGCATGAATATTTCACAAATCGGCATCATCAAGCAAACCTTAGCTTTCTCTGCAGCTCAATCATTCGCTTGCTGAGGCACGTCCGAGAGAACACGCCATGGAGGACGACCACGGTGGAGATGGCGAGATAAGAACGGTTCCATGTTTAGGGGTAAGCTGGGTCGTGGCATTACTCATTACTGTGGGCAGGGCATTGAGAGGCTTGCAACCAGCAATCGAGAAACTGCCTGATAATGATGATAAGGATGAAAGATTTAAGATCAGGATCAGCTGATGGTCATCTTATCACTGTCTCCAATAACTGTAGTATGTATCTTGAACGTTTTTCGCACCGCACGTAGCCAGCCATGCTAATTGGAGGTACTGTTAATGATGCTGCTACTGCTGCAATCGTGATGCACGGCACGCGACACCTCCATCGCAGCACTACGCCACCGCACTTCCCCTCTTCTGGGCATTTCAGTTATTTGCAAAGTTTCACAAATTAAAGGAATCATCCAAAAGTGGCCACTGGCAGAAACTAATTCCATCTTATTTTCCCAAATTTGTAATTGATAAAAGAGGTTGCGTGACTAATTCATCCTAGTATATGTGATTAATGTTGTGGATTGTGGGAGTTATGCTCAGAAAAAATAGCATGCCAGCTCCTCGCATCTGAGAATGTATTTATCTGCAAACAGCGAGGCCCACTTAAACGTAGATGAGAGGCGTTTCACTTGAATCATGAAACAATGAGAACTTGAAAATCGGACCACGTGACTTACAAACATTTTTCTTTAAATTTCTGAAAAATTCCTGAAACACATATTTTGAGCAGCCGGGCCAAATATGAATTGCCCAGGTGTTGACGTGCGATCATATGAAGCTTCAGCTCCAGAATGGGTCGCAAGGTTGCGTAATCTGACAGCTCGACAACGGCTCTATGTCACAAAGAGTAATGACAATGGCCTGACTGATGATCCCATTTTCACCCCCCTCCCCCCACCAGTAATTACCACTGCATCATTTGTACCTCCTATTAGCACGATTGGCTACGTACGGGGCGAAAGAAGTTCAAAGTACATACATTACGCCTCTTCACAACAACACATCAAGTGCAATCCTCCTGACCACACAGCCGTCATCATGTTATACATCCTCATTGTCATCGCTTATTAAACACAACACAGAGACATGATGGTGTTTGCGTCTTTCATGTGAGATGTTGCCAAGGTAATGTTCAGATTTGCTTGTTCAGTGAACACATGTTGTACTCGAGTATAACAGACAATATATCTGCAGAACATTCTTATTATTTTTACTTCAATAGTCAATACGTAGCGGGCACGTTATGAATATAATGAAAAGCTACAGAATACAGTACTGCATTGCATTTAATCCAGTTGGGCTCGATTTAGATTTGGCAAATACATCCAAAATGATGGGAATTTGACCAGACAGTTGTTCCTAAATAAATAAAAACTCCTGTAATGCATTACTATATTGGTGTTTTGAGTTATCAACTTCGATTTTCACTTGCACAAAAGCATCGATGACGTGAACATGTCTCCAATGTATAAATGTACATTTTTTTTATCCATTTGCATGGACTTGCATTTATGTCCTGTTAATGCTGCAATATAACCTTGATGGCGCACGATTTCCACTTGATAGATGACGGGAGAAACTTGAGATTGGCTTTTATAAATAGGCTTCTTGACGGGAACCAGCAGGAGTGGTCTCGTGGGATGAAAGTGAATGGGGTTGCTTAATGGTTGGGGCCCTGTGATGGCAACCACTTATATTAAATTCCCAGAGGAATATTGTGGATACACGAGTTCTAAATTGTCCTTTCGCAGGCTTTTGCATGAGCCAGCCGTGTGTATTGTACTTAATCTGCTGTTATTCGGACCATTTGCTCTACTTAAACTGAGCTGAGTGTTAAGGGCGGCTGTAATAAATAGACTCTGAAGGTAATTATGATGTCCTGTTATAAATTCGATGCGTTGCATAATAAAGTGTCATAAACAAATGGCTATTGACTCGTTGTTTAATTAATTTATAATCACCATCAATATCGTAGCTGGGATGGCTTTCCAACATGTAATTATCATACATAAAACAGGCTTCATTTATTATTCAAGTACATTTTTAAATATGAAACAGTCATAAATGTGTAAAAACAAATTGTTTTTACACATTAATTAAAGTACAGTGACACCTCGATATAAATTTTTTATATCACCAGCCGAATTGAATGTGAATATAATTTACAGATCTTTGTGCCTATCTATAGCTGGATGGTCATGGGAGTTGTTTCATGTTTAGTGCAGAATGATGCCTCGGACAGGATAAGATTTCACTCACCACTGATGTTAGCCATGACCAGAAATTTTACTCGGGTTGAGTAGTGCGCTAACCACAGAGCCACGCGAAAGCCTCCTCCACCACGTGCAGGATAACCAGTTTGACATGGGCAGACGTTCATTCACAGAACATTGACATTTATTTACAAATTAAATTTTAGACATGGCTAAATACCGAATCAGAACACATTGGCTGAACATTTCTCAATGGGGATATTTCTGGGACTTTAACAATGGAATGTTGCACATGCAGAAATGTGCAAAGCAGGAACTTTATAATGATGATTCGCTGTGCCAGAGGTGGATCTAGAAACTTCACAAGGGGTTGCGAGCACTCCGGAAACTTCCAATCCTTTTCAATATTGCCCTGCATTAATTATACCGTAATAGTCTTTTTGTACACAGTGTCTTTTCTACAGGTTGCGGCAATCGCCCCCCATCTTAGACCTGACCCTTCCCCCTGTTATATTGTGCTGTGCTGCCTCGTAGCCATACAGTTGCTCTTATTGCCTTATACGCAGACATTGTTCAGAAATAACCTGGCTGCAGATGATAGCTCAAAGAAGTCCCTTATTGTGTGGATATTTACAGCAGCCAAATACTCTAAACGCGTGATGTTGATTCTAAATGTGGAGGGAAAAACCGGAGTACCTGGAGAAAAATACACGCGACCACAGGGAGAACATGCAAACTCCAAACATACAGGCGTCAGAGTCGGGATCAAACCCACAACCTCCTGTATACCAGGCAACATCTTGCCACCGTGATAACATCCAGAACCTTACTCCTATCTCCACTATATTGTAAATCCCTTCTCTTCACCCAATGCTTTATTTTTACCTTGTATGGACACACCACTCGACTTCTCCATTATGGAATTTTGTAAATTCAACCATAACAGTTAAACCTGCAGGGATTAACCCCCAAAACGTGCTAAATTTTATTCATAGCTTCCATTTGAATGTCACAGAATTTATTATTGTAATTAAAATAAATATTTTCACACGGATTTTGCTACCTTATATCCCCCAATCTATTTTTTTTATTTTACTTCATGCTTTAAAGGGGATTGGAATAATTTTCCTTTTATATGGTACTGCATTTTACATAAAGGCACAACATAATTCCAGTACAACGACAGCAAAGTTTTATAAACCTAGCCGGGTGTCACTGTGATTAGAGCATTCACAAGTCACAGAGATTAAATTACGGTTGGGAGGTTAACTTGGCGGGTAACCTCTTGATGGTCAATACAACGAGGAGCACTTGCTGGGCATACATCTGCTATGGAGAGACTAACTAGCTATTGTTAAGTAGTGTTCCAAAGAATAGAAATACGGGCATTTAAAATGTGGTCTCTTTCTCTTGAAACATTAACTCACTAATTAGTGCTTTACTGCATGTGACACCCTTACAGGCTCCCACTGGGTGCTGTAGAGATAACACAGAGCACTTCAGGCAGTTTGCGCACTTATCGTAGCCATGCCAAGAGCACGAGCCAACGTACAATATTATTGGCTACAGCAGGCTCGTCTTGCGTAGGGTTGCAATTGTATGACAGAGCGGCAACCAAAGAAGAAAATACGCCCAAGGGGATGTCCCCCCGTGGAGCTGGCGTGTTGAAGCAGGGTCGAGGTGTATTTGTGCATCGCGAGACCATTCCAAAATGGCGATGGCTCCATCCAGCAGTGGATAGACAATGGGGAGGTCGCATAACAAACTTGTCGACGGCAAAACGCGCACCATTCCCTCAACACTCTTCCGTGGCCCTCTGCAGTATGTCTACGTGGGCAGGCCCTCATGGATACAAAAACAATGGCTAACAAGAATAATTGTTCATGCTTTACGGTACTGCGCCTATTTGTACACCTTAATTGCGGATAGCGGGATTTATTTGCTGCTTAGTTATAGCACGGTTGTAGAGAGTGTGCTGCTGCGTCTGACAGCTGCGATGGCATCGACAGCGACTGGATACAGCAGCTAAGTCAATTATATATACACAGGATCATCAAACATCATCATCCATCATCTTCGTCACCAGCACAACATCATCAGTATTTACTTATTTATCTTCTCATCTTGTTGGATTGTTGCATAGTCAATATCCCTGAGGTCTTCTCAAGCAGGCATGGTCACAGTTCACTCTGCCATTTCCTGTCTGCGTGGTCACCAACTCTCAAAGGGTGCCTGCCCCTCCAACACCCCATTCCATTAAATATCTTGACCGCGTCATCATCACCAACATCATCTCCTCAGATAAGTGGTGGATAATAGGAAACCTTTAGTGACTCACTGCCCACGACCTTCTGGGTATACACAATCACAGCATGCCCTGCCTATAAACTCTGAATGACGGGTGGTACAGGTGTGCATAATAAAACAGTAGTGGTAAAAGGGCCACGGATAAGATATTGCTTTGCTAGAGTGCCCCACTGATTGAAAAGTTTATTTGTTTTTGGTGAAGCAATCTGTAGCTTTCTCACACAGAGTGACAACCTCGATCGTGGAAAGCTTTAATTTGTAAAGCGACATGTTGGGGCTATATATATATACTGTACTGTATCTCAACAATTGTTTTTCTTTATAAATGTACATGAGTGAGTGGCTCATAATGTATGTATGTTGAACTTCTTTTACACCGTACGTAGCCAACCGTGCTAACCGGAGGTGTCTTATCAAGAACGGAGCCAGCACTGGCAACATGCAAGGTGTGAATCTGGGAAATAACGAGTGATGGAGTGAGTTGATGGAGTGAGCTAATGGTCTCAGCTTGGTCACAAGTGACTGCCAAGCATGTACACAAATTATGTTGCTCGCGTACTTTAGTATAACCCTTTTATAAGGGCTGAAATGATGGAGGAGGTTGATGATGGCTCTTTACAGAGCTTAAAGTGTCAATGACTTGTTAGGCCAAATAAAGTAATCTTCCTTGGTGATTCCAGACCTCATGTCAGAGTGATGAGGGAGCGCTTGACAGGACATCATTTAAATGACTGTACGAGTCTAATAGCACCATTAATGTACCGTGTACAAGTAAGTGATAATGAAAATACTAAACATTCTGAATCAACAAATTAAAGTATTGTACACAAAAAATCATAGCTAAGTAATCAACTCTGAACGTTATGGGTAAGATCTATCTGAATTAGAGTAATAAAAAAAACATTGTTAATTCCAATATTACAGATATTTGGACGTAACTTATTTCAGTAAGTTAACTAAATATAGAGTATCGTAATTATCAACATTTGAATGTTTATTTTAGCAAACCCAGTCGTAAAAAAAGAGATATTAATAAATTACAGTGCTGTATATGAGTTAAATCACTCTCGGTAATCAGAGACGTGAATTTTCGATGAAATCGTCTTGCATATGAATGGGGCCTGTGCGAAGTCTTTGTGTGCAGCTGCCTGATTCTTTCCTTTGCGAGAAAGCTCTCGATTATTCTATCTTTAGCCCGCAGCTGTCACTATCAGAGGCAGATAAATTTGGAACAGGCATGCACTGCACGGACACTTCCACTAATTTAGGGGGAGTTACAATGCACAACAAGTTAGACATTGCATTATTTTTGCACTCTCGTGTTTTTTTTTGCAGGCACTTTGAAGGCAATTGAATGTCTCATGTGTATTTTGTACAAAGCTTCTTAAAGTGCCGCTCATTTAGGTCATTATTTGAATATTAACGCCACGCAGTTACCCCCTTTCCCTGCCAGTGGCACCTTCCACAGAAAACTTGAAAAGGCAGCGAGTTCTGCTGGTTTCTTTTCCAAAGACAAGGGTCGCCAAGTCTCATCAAGCTGAGGTGAGAACTAAAGTATTATACTTCACACATCCTCCTTCAAAATTACATTGCTGTGCACGAATCTCCATGCTTTTAGCGTTATCAATTAATACTATGGCTTTTGGTGTGCAATATTGATTATTGATGTAATGTAATCTGGAGATATCCGTGGTAATGTAGTACAAAAAAAGGATTTAATCTTTGGGCAGTTTCTCAGCATGACCATATATGTTCATAGCTCTATCTGGTGACGTAGTAGCGTATTAAGTGATTAAGTGAAAGCTTGTTGCTGGCTTAAGTAGCTGATTCCTCCACATAACAAGCTTACGCATCCTACTTACGCATCCTGTTTGTGCAGCATTAGGTACGATTTTAAAATGAAGTGGAGCATGTTGAGCGGTCTGCTTTAATGCTTGTGTATGGGAACGTTCGCGGGAGGTGGGCCCGTCATGCTTTTGGGCCTATTATCAGTACTGTTGGTGAATGACTGTGTCCCTCATAGCCACATGGGGCATGGGACACGTTAAAAACACACGTCCTTGAGATGAATCGGCTTGCTCCAAACATGACCACGTTTCAATAAACCCATGTGAATCTGCATTTTTTTGTCTTACATGGTGTGTTTGCTTCTCCCCCCCCCTACCCAAGTTTATTAAAGTAATTTTACTTTGCATGGTTCATTGAATCACACCTTTACAATGTGTGACAGAGTAAATTGGTCTCCATTTTCTATTTTTAAAAAAGAAAATACAGAAGGATGCATCTCGTGTACGTGATTCCACCAGTTTCCGCAATCTGTAGACGTTGGGTCTTTGTTTAAGTGTGGGATGGCGAGGAGAACGGCCTCCTTATCAGTGAGGAATAGGCCCCACATTCATTCCAAAATTCATACATACGGCCATCGCGTGAGTGGGCGAAATGATAGCCAAAAACTCGTTTGAGTGAATGCGAAGCTGTAGCCCTGTTGTGTACACGATATACTCATGACTAGGATTTAAACTCCATCGGTCTTCAATGCAGATACTCAATCGTCATAAAGTGCACGATTGTATGCTTGTGCTTTTTTGGAAGTCTTTTATCAAACTATAAACATCCCAATGTTAAAACATTTGTATCACAAACGCTCGGAGAAACTACACTCTCTAGATAATGTTCATGTTAATCCGGTGGAATGGTTGTGTCAGCAATCAGCAAGGCACCACGTGGCTCCAGGCCATTTGTCTTTCTGGGATGCCAGAAAAATAGTTCCCGCGGGGAAATTATCCAGAATCACTGCATTGGCAACTTGTTATAATTCTTGAAAAAGAATGCAATTACCAATGGACATATTGTCAGATAAGAAAATACAGCACTCCTGACCATTAGTATATCTCTCTTGATTAATGGGTACGTCACACAAGGCAAAATAAGCATACCTTTTAATTATCTTGCATACAACATATGTATGTATATCATACCTGTGTACAGTTCAAAAACATTATCTGAATACTTAAATGATATTGGACAATTTTCATATCTGTTGGTGACCCGGAGCCAGTGGGAAGATTCCAGATCGCTATGGCAGAGGTCAGTGTTTCCATAGAACAATGTTGACTTGGCACTCATTTTATTGGCTGTGGAGGGATTATAGAATGAGTTGACTCCCAACAGGGATTTAAACCCAAAACATTTGGGTTGTGATCAGGTATTCAAATGCAGCACCACCAGGCTGAATATATGATACTGAATAATACCGGTGGTAGTTTCTGAACTGAAGTATGGTCAATCCCCCCCCCCCCCCCCCCCGCCAGGATAACACGTTATGAGAATTTCATCCAACAGCGTGACACTGTCCATGAAGGAATACATTATTTTATTTAGATAGCACAAGTGGTTTCCTGCTCGAATAAGCTTGGCTTTATTTTCACTTTTTGTTTATAATTCTGAGTTGATAGTGGAAACTCCACATTACCATGGCAAGGGAGAGTTTAAGTCTACCGCTGTTGACTTTACACAAAGTAGTGCATATATTATTGACCGTGTCGGAATGAAGGGCTGAGTTGATTCTCAACTGGAACTTGAACTCATATCCTTATTAATGTGAGTCAGTCGCATTGTTTTCTCGCAATGTAGCTTCTCAAACATAACACCATGAACATTTACACAATATCAATTCCGTTGCCCATAAAACTAAGATAATCGGTACACTTTAGAATTATCACCAGATTCTGTAGCTGGACTGTGAATAGGAATTTACCCTCAGCTCAGTTCTGAAAGCTTTCGCAGTCATGAAAGCTCAGATGTGTACGGTGTGCGTGAGTTTATTACCTCAACATTACCCATGTCCTGATTAAATGGCCACGCAAGGGCTGAGTGTGACGGGATGTAAAACGTCAGCTGCTAAACACTGACGCAAGTGCCTTTGCTGCTGCTCTCCGAACATTCTGGAGACAGCACAAGTTGCAGCTCAGAAAATGCCAGAAGGCATTGCCTGAGGGAGACTGAAGTGTGTGTCCACAGTTACCTCATTATTGAATGGCTAAACATAATCTTCATTCTTTTAAGCAGTTTAATCTAACCTGATGGGAAAATGCTTGTCAATGTGTTTATCTGTAACTATACTCACAATCGCAATATTTTATTCACTGATCTAGTAATTTCACACTGAATGGACAGCATTGCGATAAGGACTCACAAACATAACTCATAAGGAAACTACAGCGATACCCATCAACAGTTATGTAGATCCTGTCCCGCCAGTGCCTGGCTAGCTGTAGGTGGAGAGCCCTGGGTAACAGGATTTTTTTTTAAAGACAAAGCCTTATATTGACTCGCCCAAATGGTACTAGGCTCCAAGCAAAATGTATTATTTCCTGACATATTTAAAAGTTTTTTTTATTAATTCCTGACCTATATATTCTTATGTTTCCTCGCTGGTTGTAATTTATAAAATGACTAGCTATAAAGCCTGACATGAGCAATGTCTGATTACAATTTAATCATAGCAAAGTACACATGGTAATTATTGCATGGTCACCCTCCACTCGAGGATTAAGGGATTCATCCTGATAATAAATCGTATAAAGAGTAATACAATTTATGTTGCGTTTTAGCCTAAGAACTGTCATGAGTGAGGCACCGTACTCATTAAAGGATGCTTAAATATTTAAATCTAATCATTTGCAATTAGTGTTTGAATCCCGTGCTCCTTAATCTACGTTAGACCTAATTGCCACGTGTGCACTCCGCACACTTCTCACCCAGCATTCCGTGTCCTCCCCCACTCGAAAACGACGTTTAAAGTACAGGGATACACTGATGCTTGCTTAGATGCAGTCTTCTCCCCTATAGCGCGATGGGCCTGTGTAAGATAACGGAGCCGAGAATTTGGGCAGATACCCCACCAACTTTAGATGGCAGGGCAAAGCTATAAACTGTGCCCCCCAAAAACCTTTGTGGGAAAACTTTGCCCACTGGCCCCCCACCACCACCAGCCCCGAATTTCAACGATGCTTACACAAGCACGTAGTGAAAATTAGCATCACCAAATAATTACCATCACCACATCACAAAAACCACCAACACCACCGTCGCCAGCACTACAACCAAAATTACCACCACCATCAACTACAACCGCCTACAGACACGATCGGTTCACTGGCACGACGGGAGGTCAGGGCCTTGAATTCAATCACCAGCCTTCGCAGAGATAGAAATACGTACTCCTACTTGTTCCCCAGGACTTTAAAGAAAAAAATCATGTTCAGGCCCCCACAGCCTGCCGTTAAGGAATGGCTCACCGCGGCTCTTGAATCGTGCATGTTTACCCACCTGTTGCCGACTCGCCCGCAGCTCACAGCTGACAGCCCCTACGAGTTGTGGTGGTGGGGGGGGGGGCTCGCCAATGTGCGCGCAGTGCGAACTTTCACGCGGGGACTGGAGCATATGTTGTTATTAAAGGGCCCTAAATAAAAACACATCAATATTAAAACACATTTTTACTTGCACAGTAAAGTAATTGATTTATTTTCATTTGCTATACAGCCAGATAATACGACAAATCGCTATCCTTAAACACCCAGTCGTTCGTAAAAGTCGAAGGCGGTATAGTATTATAGTAATAGAGCAAGTGCAGAATCACTGAACCGGAATTGATAGCTCGAAAGCATTTAGCGCGGGGCCGTTGAAAGTGCGGGGCCCGTAGCAGCTACTACTGTACGTGTAGTAGCAGCTACTGCACGTGTAGTAGCAGCTACTGCACGTGTAGTAGCAGCTACTGCACGTGTAGCAGCTGCTACTGCACGTGTAGCAGCAGCTACTGCACGTGTAGCAGCAGCTACTGCACGTGTAGCAGCTGCTACTGCACGTGTAGCAGCAGCTACTGCACGTGTAGCAGCTGCTACTGTACGTGTAGCAGCAGCTACTGCACGTGTAGCAGCAGCTACTGCACGTGTAGCAGCTGCTACTGCACGTGTAGCAGCAGCTACTGCACGTGTAGCAGCAGCTACTGCACGTGTAGCAGCTGCTACTGCACGTGTAGCAGCAGCTACTGCACGTGTAGCAGCAGCTACTGCACGTGTAGCAGCAGCTACTGCACGTGTAGCAGCAGCTACTGCACGTGTAGCAGCTACTACTGTACGTGTAGCAGCAGCTACTGCACGTGTAGCAGCTGCTACTGCACGTGTAGCAGCAGCTACTGCACGTGTAGCAGCAGCTACTGCACGTGTAGCAGCTGCTACTGCACGTGTAGCAGCAGCTACTGCACGTGTAGCAGCAGCTACTGCACGTGTAGCAGCAGCTACTGCACGTGTAGCAGCTGCTACTGCACGTGTAGCAGCAGCTACTGCACGTGTAGCAGCTGATACTGCACGTGTAGCAGCTGCTACTGCACGTGTAGCAGCAGCTACTGCACGTGTAGCAGCAGCTACTGCACGTGTAGCAGCAGCTACTGCACCCCCCCCCCCCCTTGTGGATGCGACGACTTGAACTGGAAGTGGGGTTTTTGGTTTGTTGGATTGAGAGAAGCCGCGCCAATTTCCCATTTTTTCGCGTAATCTCCGTTATTTGAAAGCCGCGTGACCCATTTTCTGCTTGATCCAATGTAATGAGCAGATAAGCTCGTGCGTCTGTGTGTTTAACTTCTTTCGCACTGTACATAGTCAACCATGCTGATCGGAGGAGCTTCATGAGGACTAAAATTGTCTTTCCCTTTGAGTGGGTTGCTTATTGCTTCTCTGAAAGGCCTCCTCACCAAGTAAAAGTTGGTAAAACTAAGCACTAAAATTATTAACATATCGTTGTCGTCAGCCACGATATGCTCATTAATGGTCCTGTGATGCAAAACAAGCAATCTCGCTACTGCACACGAGATCATTGAATCATTCCGTCTCTGCAGTGGACGTCCTTGTGGGTCTGTTCCCTCCTTCGTGTGCCGTGTCGGCCTTCATAGGTGCTCGCTAACATCGTTCGTCTTGACCGTCAGCTTCATCCACTCTCGCGACGTCTCTTGCCCAATCCCACTCACTTTGCTGAACCGTTAATATGATTTCCCTAACCCTCATTTGCTCTACGATTCACCCTTTTCAGATGATTATCGCAATTGTTACCGTGTCATGTTACATATTTCAACATGAAGACTGGGGTGTCGCTGTCAGCACAGAGTTGCTGTTGCCTGGCTGGACACGCCGTGGCTCAGCCGCCACTGGTTTCCCTTCAAGGGTTTGCACGCAACGCCTCGAATGAGTCACAGCAACACCGAGCACCTTTCAGCTGACTCCCCTTAATTCGCGACGGGTCGAGTGGATGGGTTGTATCAAGCGTGATTTATCTTTTAAGTTAGGCTATGGTTTAAATCTTAACGTCACAATATATATATTTTCGTTTGCGTTGAGGTGTGCTTTTTCGCTTCGTCCTTGGAGACAAAAGCTCCTGTAAGCCTGGCGGTCAATACCACGGTGAGATGTTAATGGTCATGATTAAGTGTTCTGGTTTGTTGTGTGAATTCTTCGCGTTGAGTGCGGGGGTGGATGCAACCTGGCTACGAGCGTGTGAGCTCGCACATGGCAATTAGACCTAACTTAGATTAAGGAGCATGGGATTCACACATTGGTTGCAATTGATTTGAATCACATTTTTTGCCCTGTACAGTGCCTTGTTAATGGGAGTAGTTAAACAAAAAGCCAGATAAAGTGCGTTACTCTTCATACACTTTATCATCAGGAAAACTAGTTTTATTCCCCTCATCCTTGTAATATATTTCCGTCATATTTCAACACACTTCGTATATCTAATAAATGTATTAACCAAAGTGGTATAAATGTCCATACATTTTTATTGTTTTAAAAATTTACAGCCAAATGGGATCTCAGAAAAAACGCGAGTGTACAGCATTTCCAAACGTGCAAATGAGCAGGATGGTGCCAGCATTCTATGCCATCCTCAGCGTTTCCGTGAACTTTCTCTGGTACACATTGGGGTTAGTCACCAAGATGTTCTAAGGAATGAGAAACTTCCAGTTTGACACGTACGCTTTTGCGGCCAATAGTATTCATAATATATTATTCATAATATTATTCATAATATATTAATCATAATATTGGCAAAATCGCCCGATGAAGCTGGTTGTAATTACCAGCGAAACGTCGTACTCTAGTTGTAAATGTTGTGCGTTTAGTCGGCAACACACCGATGAGCTGAACTAGTAACTAATTGTAACGTTTTTGTTTTCGTGAAGAACCTTACTAACGCGGTATAACCCAAAAAAACTTTTATTACGAATAAACCTCCAGTAATTTTCACATTTTCAGATGACAGGAAGACCCTGAAGCAACTTTCTGGGCACTTGTGCTTGAAATGTGTTTGTAATCATGCAGATATAATTAAATATTTCAAAATTCTATCATTGTAATATTTTAACGCTTACACGTCAATAGATTTTGAGGTATTTCACGGTGACTTTTTTGACATTTTGGTGATTGAAAAAAATAAAATTTAAGTGCTATTTAAATAACTAGTGTCACGCTGATTTGTGCATGTCTTTAGATACTGAAGTCAGAAAAATAAAACTTACATATCACACGGAAATTAGTTTCATATGCAGCAACTCACGATTCCTAGACATTGAAGGCACAACATTACATGGCCATCTTTACATAATTCTTTGGTGATCCACAGCTGACGTGAGGCAAGTGCTATAAACTTCCTGTGCTCTACTGTAGACCGGATGGATTCATGCTCGATAATGAGAACGGGAAATGGCTGTGGCTGCTGACCAAATTAATCCTCGTGTCCAGTTGAGTGCTGCACTGACATAATTGGCACCCTCCTCAGAAGGGGAGTGGCCATCCACTAAATGTAAACATATTCAAAGGATTGAGAAAAAATAGATACCATAGTCTTACCCACAAACGTTATTGTTCTGAGAATTGGTATTGATAAGCTGTCTGGTAAGCTGCATAGAAATTGGTTTATGGGTGTTGTAGTTATTGCGATAGCATGATGGACTAATGGACTGACAGACCCGAGTTTACTGACATTTTCAATAAACAGTCTAACGGCTCCATTAAAAGTTAAACGAATTCTGATGTCATGCAATATTCACATAGTGGGGCAACAATTATTTCAGACATATATTTACATAAGCTCAGATGCCACAGCCATCCCAACAGAAGCCAAAAGCAATTTTAAATGTCCCAGCAGGACATCAGCTCGTGTACAAACCACCATACTATAAGCCGCTCAAACATACTCACTCAAGCATTGCACTGACGTCCCGTTTATCAGCCATGGACAATCCACTGCTAAATGATGGCCTCCTGAGCTGCTACCATCGACTGTAATCCCACGATATAAGAATCCGGCCACCACCTTCACACAAGCTGATTTCATAGGCCTAATTCCTACCAGAGGGGCTCCTTCGATTGGAGGCCCTTCCTCCAACAGTTGCATAAGCACGCAATTCCAGTGTAGCGCCTTTACCCTATACTTTCATTGTAAGACTGCAGAAAGCTCATCTACTCTCTAAACTACCATCCACAGATGGATGACCCGGCTCAGCTGCGCGAGGAGGGCAATGGATTCTTCAAAGCGGGCGACTTCAGCAGTGCCATCTCCTGCTACAGCAAGGCCATCAAGGTGTGCCAGACCCCCAGCGACCTGGCCACTCTGTACCGCAACCGTGCTGCCTGCTACCTGAAGACGGTGAGCATACCTATCAAAGCACACCAATTATATTTGTCGACAAGTGCTAAGGATGCACAGAATGTCAGGAGAACTCACAAGAGCATTGTAATCCCACAGGACAATGTGTACGGTGCTGTATTATCACAGCACTAACTGATCCATAAAATCAATTGTGCAAATATGTATACTGATAATTGTTTTTTTACCCTTCTATCTGGCAACAAAACTGACACCTTTTTTACAAGGAGTCATGTTTGCATAGACCACAATACCTGCAGTCATAATGCAAAAAAAGGACAGTGCACATTATCAGAGTTATGTTTTTTGCTTGCATTATGACTGCAGGTATTGTGGTCTATGCAAACATGACTCCTTGTAAAAAAAGGTGTCAGTTTTGTTGCCAGATAGAAGGGTAAAAAACCAATTATCATATTTTTTACTGGCAAATGAGGTTCCTATAGTGTAAATGCTTACCCCGAGCTCTCATACCTTGATGGTGCATTGTCTTTGAGTTGTGTTCCTTTTGGCGTCATCTGGTCCAACCCATGTGAGACTAGGCTCTAAGGAAAGCTGTCTCGGGTGTGGACCAATCAACTTCAAGGACAGTGCACATTATCAGAGTTATGTTTTTTGTTTGCATTATGACTGCAGGTATTGTGGTCTATGCAAACATAACTCCTTGTAAAAAAGGTGTCAGTTTTGTTGCCAGATAGAAGGGTAAAAAAACAATTATCATATTTTTTACTGGCAAATAAGGTTCCAATGGTGAATATGTATACTGTATAAAATCTCTCTCATTCTCCTTAGTGATCATTATCTGAACTTATTCCACCCGCCCCCCTTTTTCCTTGCTGACATACAGTTCCTGTATCTACAGTTGTTTTTCTGATGGAGTAGAAACCTAGTAAACATTCGTTTGGCCAACTCTTCCATGTAGTCAGAACCGTTGGACCAATGCTGCATCCATGCTGGGATGTGCCCGGCTCAGTTTTCTTTTTGCTGTTAGTTTCAGTAGCGGGCTTTAACGCTCCGCTATTTGCATCGTGGGGTTGAGAAAATGCCCATCTGTCCCACTGGTCTTCATAGATATGGTGGCCAGTGATTGAGCTGAGATCATCACATTATGGATCAGACCGTAATGTGAAGAACATTGTAATGTCCTCAATACGAATGATGGGACTTCAAAAGAAATTGGTGAACATCAAACACCAATTTTACGAAGCGAATGTGAGTCAATAAAAATCCTCGTTGCATTTGCAGGCTGAGCAAAACTATAAAAACAATGTCTTGCCTTAAAATAGTATATGCTGTAAGCCATGAAATAGAACATCATCATATAATGTCAATGAAGAGCTTGTACAGTATATGTACTGTACGTATTACGTTGAACTTCTTTCACACCATACGTAGCCAGCCGTGCTAATCGGAGGTGCGAGGGAAGGACAACACAAATGTACTACACAAAATGGATGACCTAAGGTTTCCACGTTTAGATTTTTGCTTGACCTGGCAAATGGGGGGATGTAGGGGAAGAAAGCTAAGGGGAGAAGGTTGGAACCAGGTCAAGATATTCGGAGAAATTGTGTGATTGGAGCTCTGAGTGGTTATTTACGTGGGTTTGGCCTTTGCTCCAAAACTAGAAATGTAATTAACTGGGTCAAAAACAGGCAAGTGGCAACTTGTATGTGACCTCTCCATGGCATCTGATGGAATATTGGGTTGACATCACATTTGGAGTATTTTTCTTTATTTAAATTGGAAACCACTTAAAGCTGCCTTCTAACCTGTATTTGTTACGAAGTCTTAATAACTAGGGTAATGTCCTTTTTGGCTCATTTTTATACATAAAACAGAGCTTTTGAATACTGCGCTGTACTTGGCATGTGGCGTTATATATAAGAGCATTGAATCATTCTGATTTAAATTTGCGTGTGTCAACACAGGAAAAATATGCCGAGGCGGCAACTGACAGCACAAAAGGTACGGTCTATTCGCGTGGGCTGACAGGCGACACAGTGGTGTGCGAGCCGACTAATGAATGTAGCGTTGGAACAAGCATGCACATTCAATGTCGTCCATTCCTGTCACGCCATGTTAGTTATTTAGCTGGTAACACGTGTGTGCAATTTGCAAAAACGTACCCGATATCATTTGACGATTTTTGTATGTCTACTCGATAATTCTATCGGCCCTATTGAATACATCACCGTTTTGCAAGCTCTGTCACTTGGAATGTCCAAATGCATGATCGTATTTGTGTTAATACAAAGAATCATAATAACTGTATACTGTGGAATCCTACTCATAAGTCTGCAAAGCCTTGACTAGACCGGGTTGATGTATGTACTTCAACAGAGTGCGCTGTTATCCAATATTCTTGCCTTCCCATTACTTAACGACTGTGTGTGTTTTATAAACAACACCGCAGTGTAAATAACTAAGTGGAGTGGTGGTCAGTGTCTGATTATCCTAGTAGCAAAAGTAGAATATGCTACGGGCACCTCCGTTCTTAACTGTTAGCGACAGTTTTGGCCAGATTAGGTCAGGGGTAAAATCCGGGAAATCATTTTGTGTGCGCATAACAGTGTAATTAAAATTTATAAATATCACACAGGAATTTAGTTTTTTTTTCAAACAGTGCAGTGAGGGCAATAGCGACATTGCACATGTACTTTGCTGTTGCTTTACACACTCTCGCATCCACAGACCCTGCAAATAGGATACATTTTCCACCAACCATGGCCATTTAAAACTAACACCTCTCATACACGACCTTTCACAGAAAAACAGACATGCAGATAATGGGAGTGTTGCCCTCCTAGAGGAGCTCAAAAACAGATATGACCACCCGTTTTGCCTTCTTAATTCAGCTAATTTGGGTAATGATGACATTTTTGAAGAAAAAAAAGTCCACAACCCATTTAGATTTTTAAAAACGTTGCTCCCAGGAATAGGGTCAAAATGGTAGAATAGACATTTAGATAAAATTAAAATAAAGATGATCATGAAATTTGTGAAATCGAGATAACTCAAAGGTCAGAGCGCTGGGTTCAAATCTGGGCAGCTGCCGTGTTCTCAAGTGTAATGAGTCGATGGTCTCAACCTGGTCACCAATGGCTGTACAAAAAACCCCATTATGTTGTATTGAATTTGGGTTTGCACTTGCAAACCAAAGTACTGAATAATGGTTTGATCATCATGCCACAAACAAGCATAACTTGTGGAAAAGTGCACCCCCTACTGTGTATGGGATCAGATGGTTTAGTTCTCTGATCAACGTCTTCAGAGGCCGTTCCCTGACACATGGAGCGCAGTGCTGGCTCCGTGGGATTTCCTAATGAATAAATAATTGATGTAATGACATGATTCTGCAGGAAAATGTTGAATACATTGGGGGTGGGGGGAAGGTAAAACAGATAGTGAAGATGATTCTGATGATGTTGATGATGAAGATATTGACATTGATGGTGATGAGGACATAATTAATAATCGATATTTATGGTAATGATAATGCACTTGATAATAATGCTTTAATTTATCCATGAAGGCATCACTCCATCTTAATGATTATTTTTCAGGATGGTCCTGCATTGGGTTGTATTGCATTGAGCAGTTACTGGACATCTGTGATAAAGAGCTTTATAGCTCATCGGATTCCTCCAGCATCAATGAAGATTCTGATTCTGAGTGCATTTATAGGCAGGTGTGCATGGAAATTCTACATTCTCATGATGGGGGCCAATCATCATGCTCAAAATAATTAACATCTTTGCAGATCTCCACACAGAGGGGAAGCACCATAAAATGCACACACACGCACATGCCACTGAAAGCTCCATGAACCTACGTTGCTGTGCTGCCAAATCTTGGCGAGCTCGCAGCACAGCAGGTTAGGAATCTTAACAAATCTCTATGTGATCCACCAAACCTTGCCTCCAAGGTGCTGAATTGCAGGTGTGCACCAGTGCTGATGTTTATACATTTTCCCAAGGTGCTTACTCATTTAAGGCTGAGTTGACCGAGGGGAGCCCAAAGAGAGGTTAAAACACCACGTCCCACTGAAGACAGCCATGGCACCATTGGTTGATATAGCACACATCTGAGGCTGTGTAAATACCATACATTGCAGAATTACGGCATAGGCGTGCACCGGCAGTAAATCGTAAGCCCATACATTTACACGTGGAATGCAACAGTTGGCACAATGATTATGCTGATGAAAAATGCAATGCACTGTGATTGATTACCTCGGTTTTGGTATTTACTCAGAAGACACGGCTCTTAAGGAAGCAACTGTTAAGAGGCATATTCCCCCAAGACATTTTGTCTATCACTGATTAACTTCTTTAACAAATCATTATATGCTAATGTTACTGACATTTTCAGTGGCTGAATAGCCTTTCTGTCAGCGTGCCTGTCACGAGGTTGGTTTGTATAAAGCCAGCCGTACGATTCCATGATAATATCTGTGACGAATTAAAACGTTACGGCATTTGCCGAGGAGTGGACATTATAAGCACCGTGACATCGTCCGTCACAACAAGAAGGCCATTGCCTTCCTTTGAAAAATAGAAACACAAATTCCAGTTTTAAATATACCTCGCATACAAATCCTGGTCTTTAATTGCTCAATTAATCTTTTTTGTTAGCAGGTTCTGCGTAGGTTTTACAACATAAATAAATCCAGCAAGCCTATTAAATGTAATAAAATTACTGTTATCAACTGCTGATGCCTAGCAAATTGAGTGATGTTAATTTTAGGTAATCTTTTTAAATCGTATTAATATGTGTAGTTATAATAGTTAATTTAAAATTGCAACAAAAAAACTCGTGGGATGTTTAGACAGAAATGTAAAACATTTTATTTGACTTTTAAGGAAAGTGAGCGGGCATGTGCAGGAAAATTCGTGAGTAGAGATGATGGCCAATGCACGAGATGTGTGACAAAGCGGTAGCCATCTCCATCACCACCGCAGAGATGGAGCACTGAGAGAAGTGTATGGGCAGGAGCAAGATGGATTGCGGCATCACGGAAACATGAGGGATGGCAATGGCCTGTGGAGAGGCATTCATATAGTAGTGGACAGACAATGTTTGATGATGATCATATATTTCGATTTAAAGCTTTTGTGACTGCATGGATTCATATTCTATGTGACTTTACCTAAAGAACCAAGAAGATGATCATATATGTTGACTCTTTATTGTGCTTATTGTGGAAACAGAATTCTAAATAATCCAGGCGTTTTTGCAAAACAAATAGTGTTGCATTAAATTTGGCGTTGCTTTGAAATCGGCATATATGTACGGTAATGATTGAGTTTCTCTCTTTGCGTCTGTGTGTATAGTGGTGGTGTAGCGGTTAGTGCACGGTGCAACAACCTGATGGCCCGAGTTCGTTTACCACTCACGGCCAACACCAGTGATGATTATCTGAACCGGTCCTGGTCCTTCCTTAGGTCTTCTCAGCCTCAAACTAGTATCTCGTGCAATGTGTAGAAATTGTCACGAGGGAGACAAAGGTGTCCGGGCGTTGTGCTGACCACCCACCTCCTCGTGTGCCGTGCCAGCCTTCATAGGTGCTCGCTAATAGCATTTGCCCCAAGTCTGTTAAGGATTAACGGGAGTCTTTGTCTTTCATGTACAGCAATTGATGTCAACCAGAGTGACATAAAGGCGCTCTTCCGGCGCTGCCAGGCTTTGGAGAAGCTGGGAAAACTAGACCATGCCTACAAGGATGTGCAGCGCTGTGCCACGATCCAACCCAATAACAGGATGTTCGTGGAGACACTCCAACAGTTACGCGCCCGGATTCAGGAAAAGGTGAGTGCATTCAGTGGCTAATGTTATAGCAGAGGACTGAGCCTGCACCACTAAGAGCCTGGGTTCAAATCCAAGCAGCTGCCAGTGATTACACCTGGATCAGGAGAGACATCAGATTTAGCTGTTTTTTGTCGATTTGGAAGAATGTTCCCGCTTATCTTGATTCAGAGGCTGCCAGATGCGGACAAATATTGCCAATTTGTACTGTAAAGGTGTGATTGGAAACTTGACTTGCACTATCTGACTCTTGCCCATTAGAATGTAATCAAACTTTAAACTTTGCTTCCCCTTGCTGAAATTTTGTCAATTAATAGCTTGTGCTGATAGAAAGTTGTAATACTGTTCTCATATAGCGGGTGCAGCACCCAGACCCAAATTATAATCTGTGCTTGATAAAATGAAACGTAAAGCAGTCAGATTATTTTATGATCCATCTCTCACCGATTTACTATGGTAACTCGCTCGCCGATAGTGTCGCCTCCTTGTCACTCTTCTCTCGCTACAACCACCATCATTACTGTTCCCACCAACTTCACTCTTTGATTTATCCACCAATTTAGAGGACTCACGCTACCAGACTGACTGTTTTGTCATCTCCACACTGTGTTCAACTACCACACTGGAGGTCACAGCATTTCTCGTTCCGGTTTTTTTCCCCTGGCATCGCTCCACTTGAGACTTCACCGACCATTGTTTATTTTTCCAAGCTCTTGTAAGCTTGTTCAAGTCAAGAAACGTGTGTGCTCTTATCTGCTCAAAGTGCGATGGTGCTCATTGTTTTCTCACCACTATACTTTGTGGGCCTGTGGGCCTCTACTCGGAAATTGTGGGGCACCACGGTGGCGAGATGTGAACTGCCTTGCCTGGAATACAGGTCATGGGTTTATCCCGACCCTGACGTCTGTATAGTTGGAGTTTCCATGTTCTCCCCGTGGTCGTGTGGATTTTTTCTGGGTCCACCGGTTTTTCCCTCCACATGATAAGCCATTTCGTTGAGCTTTCATTTGTGGCCATGTCGCTTCTGAAAAAGAGCTTTATTGCCCAGTGGGCCTTACCTGGTAAAATAAAATGTATAGTTTAATTTAAATAGTAATTTTTTTTAGTTTCTGTATTTGAGAATAGTCTCCTCTTTATTAATTTATAAATATTTTTACCCTGTATTAAAAAAAATGTTTATTAAAATGAGTGCCTTGTGTCCCCTCATTCAAACCAATCCCCTCGCTCAAAAGCTGCATGAGCAGTTCTCCACAGACCGGCGTGTGGAGCAGATGTTTGAGATTCTGTTCGACAGCAGCATCGAGAAGGACAAGAAGGAAACGGTGAAAACCTAAAAGAACATCACACCCTCCAGATTACAACGCAGACTTCCTACAAACACCATCACCTCGTCACAAATCTCCATCACCATTCATCAAAACTGCAGTTACTCCATACTCTGCACCATAACCACCATCACTTGCTCATCATTATCATCATAATTATAAAATTCATGCAAAGACTTGCTCGACCAATATTATAATTTATAATTGGTTTCTTTTGGTGAAGATCGTGAAGGTATATAGTAATGCCAATTATTGACTACAAACCTCCAGAGCCAATAAAATGTAGTTGTCACGTGGCCAAATATTCAGATTGGTTTGGTTTATTAGCAAAACCGGAATGTTGAAAGGCAAGCAAAATATTGACAATTGTATTTCGGACGTTTCACTGGAGATTACATCCAGCATCATCAGGTTGATAACAAGAGTTCAGAACTCGCGTGAAAGCACTTCCGAGTCCTTAAGTAGATGCCATCATCGGCACAGTCAAAGGCAGTAATCCAATTTAAGCATTAAAGTTTATTGTACGTTGTTTGGATGTGATGGGCAGGTTATATTAGCGTGTTAAGATGATGTGTTACATTGGCAAGATAGGTCGCAAAGTCATTACACGACTTAAATAACACGAAAGGTATATAAAATATTCACCAACTCATTTATTTGTGGTTGCATAACACGCGTGTCAGGAAAGGCACACCATTAAATTTGATAAGGTCAAAGTCCTGTGTAAAACAAATGATTACTTGAAGAGATTAAGTTAGAGAAATCAATTAAAATTGAGAAAAAAACTAAATAACTACAACAGCGCCGATAGCTATAAACTGAGTGCTGCCTAAATGAAATAACACTTAACTAAATTCATGATAAACTAAGCCTTTTCAATGAACCCTGATGGCTATATCCATAATGATTAAACAAATATAGCTATTTAGACTTAATACATGTATCATTTACTACGATAATGTAACACTAAAAAAACCTTTTCAATCGACCTGTGCTACTCCCCATGATATTAATTTACGAATTATAATAACTAGTAAACGATGAAGTAGAATCACAATAGCATTAAAACTACAAGCTTCATTGCCAACACAATACACCTTAATATAATTTAGAGTAGTCTATTTTCACCAACCTCTAACTAGACTGGTCTTATACTAATCTAACCTGCCAATCACATCCAATCAATTTACAATCAACTGGAATGGTTAAATTGGATCACTGCTTTGTGCCGATTACAACATGGCATCTACTTAAGGACTCGGGTCAAGAAGTGCTTTCACACAAGTTGTGAGGTCTTGTTATCAACCTGATTATGCTGGATGTAATCTCCAGTGAAATATCCGAAAAATAATTGTCAATATTTAGCTTGCCTTCCAACTTTCCGTTTTTGCCAATAACTCAAACCAATCTGTATATTTGCCCACGTGACAACTTGATTTTATTTTCCAAAATAAATAAATTATGAATCATAATTATAGTCACGTCTATCATCTTTTACATCACCCTCTTCATCACATTCATTAACATCACGGAAGCATCGCCATCACTAATATGGCCGGAATCACCCACACCACCATCACTTCATAATATAGTGTGTCTTTAAGCTCAATTTCTATGGTTTAAAAAAAAAAAGAACACAATGCTGATTCTACTCTGCTGATTTGATCACATAATTCCCAAAAATTACTGGAGAAATAGTTTCAGCCAATACATAAATCAGACCCACAGACAGCCTTACACGTCTAGTTCCAGGAAATCCCTGTACATTAAGGTGCCATTTAATGAACAGAATGGTAAAGCGTATGGCTTATGCCGTAGAGTGGCAGTCATTTCATAGCTGTGGCTTTTCCTCATCGCCTGTGGGCGTCCATAATAAGAGTACAGATAGAGTGAAATGAGTGGATTTTCACTGCGCGGCCATGTGAACGCCCATAACAGAGCACCTCACACACTAATATCCGCGATACCGGATGGCTTGACCGCGAAGCGCCACGCGCGTTTTTGTTTTTCCAGGCGGCTCACAATCTGATTGTGCTGGCGCGCGAGGAGGCTGGGGCGGAGCGCATCTTCCGCAGCAATGGCGTGGCGCTCCTGCAGCGCCTCATGGAGTCCAAGGATGTCGAGATGCTCCTGGCCGCCATGCGCACCCTCTCGGAGCTGTGCAAGGAGCACCGCGCCCGGGTACGCCGGCACTCCGCCTCGAGCAGCGGGAGCCTTCCGCTTCGTAGAAACAACGCCGTGCTGACTGATGTCTCAAAGTCAAAGCGGTGTTATTTTCCGCCGCGTAGGTTTTCCGTGCTCGTACCGCGCAGCTCTCTGTGTTTTTGGGGTTATGCGGTGCGTCCGGCACGATGTCTAACAATGGAGGGGCGGCCCAAGGAAGAGGGGTGCCCAAGCATACGCCTGCCCGCCACGAAGGTGGAGCGATGAGAGGAGCTCATACACAGAAGCTTGATAGCGTTCTACACGCCCATTTCTCAGTTTGGCTATATGACCATCATTTTCTAAATTTCTAAATATGGCTTGCGTACAGTACATATACATTCTCTTTGGCTCTTTCGGTAAAGTCACGTAGGTATAAAATAAATCACGACGTTTCGGGCGCAACACAAGCATCCGTCATCAGGTGGGAAAGCATGATCTGCTGCTGAGGCAGACTGTTTTAAAAGGTTTGAAATGGGTGTAGCCCAAGGGTCATAAAGAAGTGGGCGGTGCTAGTGATACATTCTTGCTCATGAGACATGTGAATTGACAACACCATGGCAGGTCTATTGTGTTTTAGGCTGCTCTAACAAGGCAACCCTTGTATGCATCCCATCCTCTTTTGTCATGTAGGCCACGGCCATTATGTACCAAGTGGGGCTGGACAAGCTGTGTGGCCTCATGGCACAGAACCACGAAGAGATATCCTTGGCAAGCTGTAACATCCTGCAGACCATCTACACGTCGCTCACCGGCAAGGACAAATCCGAACACATTAAGAGGGAAGAGGCCGTCGTCAAAGGTGGGTTCTGAGGCACTTCCGTCGTCATCATAATCAGAATAAAATTCCTGTATACGAATAAAACAGCTACACTAAGATTGCATGAAGAAAAGTAGCGCAATACACGTTAGAAAAGTCATGGAAAGGAGGCCACGTTTATCGCCAAAATAATTCACGCGATCTGGAATCTTACACTTAACGAAATCAATGACACCACTTATTCAATGCATTGGCCTAAGACCTCAAACTTAACCTGAATCAAAAGGATTCCATTGCTCGGGGGGCAACGTTTATGGAGCGTACAAACATCATCATGTGTGTGCTACCGTGGAGCTATGGGGTGATCGGTAAATTAGCAGTATAGCAAGTAGTTTGCTCACCTATCTGCTTGGATTCTGTAGTGGTAATTATTCAAGTTAAACAAATCTGGTTACGTATAGAAGTGCCCGTAACTTTTGCTTTAAAATACATGGAAAGAAGTGCATGTTATAATCCAGAGAATGTGTTATATGTATTTTCTACAGTATATGCAAATATTATGTTTATTTTTCCTACGTTATTGTCATTTTATAACCAAATTTTTTTTCAGTGGCCAAATATGTATGCAGGTCAGATTGAGAGGTAATAGTTGGCCTTTAATTGAAACATTGGAAGTTGATATCGCAGTTGATGGCCAACTCGGCCTGTCATGAAATCAGCTATGGAGACACTGGCCCATGTCTCGAGAATGTGAAATATTTTTCTGCTCATGGACCCAACAGAGATGGGCACTGCTCCAACACTCATTTTAGCAGGAGACACTTCGACTTGCCTGTTTGTGTTACATCAAAGATGAGGAGAACCCAGGGTTAACATTTGTTGTGTTTTACAGACGTTTCAAAGGACCTTCGGCGGATGCTGCTGAAGCTGTTGGACATGCTCATCGACAAGAAGGTGTCAATCCATGGGCGGGACAACTGTCTGAACCTGCTGATCAAGAACGTGCCCTGCAAGACGTTGTACGACCGAGACAACTCCAAAACCATCTTCCTCACCAGCTACGGTGCGTCTGCCACTGCTCATCTCTCCACATTACCCACCACAGAGCAACAGGAATGAAGACAGAAACGTGTCACGACCTCAGCAAAGTAAATTGCTACTGTGCAGAACGAGTAGCGTAAGAAAGGTTAAGTAGTAAATACAAATAAATAAAATAAATTCGATTTTATGGGAAGGCAAGTCTGAATAGGCATCTTACTACAGCTCAGTGCACAGCTTAACAATAAACTGTGCTTGAGTGTCTATCCATGAGTTTAAGTAAAAGCCGGCATGGGTGGTTGAAGACCCATGTTCTAGACACAGCCAGGTAGCTTCGGGGGATAATGGATGTGTCAGGGCAGTGAGCCAGCGCAATGAAATTGAAGGTTTGACCCTTTTACGGTCAATATACTCCAGAAATAATACCCTCAAGTAAATGGCAGTGAGGGTATTGGATTTACAGTATTTACTTTTGATAGAATAACCGTCCTTGGGTGCAAAGAGGCTCTAAGTGGGGTTTTGTGTGAGTTTTTGATTCACAATTTAAAGGTTGCTAGTCTAGATAATATTTCGAGTCAAGTCGCGGTGAACATCACGCTGTATGACGCGAAAAACACATCGGATAGTTTGCCAGTGCTGTTCTCAGAGCCACCGACAAAGAACACGTGCATTTGAGCGTGGAGACCCGTTGACTTTCAATTGACTTTGCCGCCGCAGGGCTGCCTCAGATCCTGACAGTGGCCGGCGCCATTCCGGAGCTTCCCGATGCTCTACCGGTGACGGACGAGACTCGCTTGAGCGCCTCCGTGCTGCTCCACAAGCTGTACGACGACCTCCGCAACGACACTGAGCGCGAGGTCTATGACAAGCTGTGCGACAACTTCGTCACGTGAGTGGCGCACTGGCGCATGGTCCATCCACATGCTGGTACCTGCACACTGCGTCTCATTTTGGAAAACACCAAGGACTGCAACACCCATTGCTGTGCACTGCCAAGGACTGCACGACTCACAACGTGTAGTTGCACATTGCTAACGCGATCAGCGTTTCTGTGAGGCTCAACCACCACAGATGGTGAGCTGCCCCTCCCATTCCCCTCTCGGCCACACCTACTTTTACATAGCCACGCCCACTCAACCACAAGCCTCGTCCATAGAGTGGGGCAGCCTACTTGCAACATTGGCCCCTTTTACTGCTCATAGGCCCCACCTACTCCTCTGCCAACCTCGCCCACTACTCAAGTAGCTCTACCATTTGCCCGTATAAGAATCAAGCATCAATTGAAATTTTTTTTGACAAAATCATGACCTCTGCAAATGCTTCGGGACACTGGTAGATCCTTTCTGATACCAGTCCCAACCAAACTTTTGGTCGTTCTAACATCACAAACTGATTCTGTGCACTGCCACAGACTGTAAGTGCTCTCAGCTCTGCAGGGAATTCATCCAGCATTTCTTTGCGTCACTAATACACGATCGTCCCACAATTTTTTTCTGCAGTGGAAGTTTTAGCGGGGAGGACATGACAAAGAACCTGCATGCCATCCAGACCATCTCAGGACTGCTGGCGGGGCCCTACGATGTGGGAAACCGCGTGCTGGGCCAGAAGGGTGTCCTGGAGACAATCATCTCTCTGGCTGGCTCAGAGTCTGAGCTCGAGCAGCTGGTTGCCACTGAAGCCTTAGTGCTGGCATCTGCCAAGACCAGCCGTGCCACCTTCATCACCACCAATGGCATCACTCTGCTCAAGGATATCTACAAGCGTGCACGGAACGACAAGATCAAGATACGCGCGCTTGTTGTGAGTCGCCTTGCAGGAAGCAACTGTAGTCTCCGCCACACAGCTGATCAGATATAAGACCCATTATATAGTCAGCCAAATGTTGCTGGGGTCACCATGTTATCTGTAAGAGCCTGCTGGCTGGGCTGGAGTTGGGAGTTGTGTCTAATGTTGCAAAGAGCAACTGAAGTGTGAGACTGCTTTGTCGAATCTGCTTCTTTTCCTCCTTTTCAGAGATAATTGCTTAGGAAAGATAGGGTAGCACGTAGTGTCTTTGTATAATGTCCACATATTTACATTTGCTATATTTAGTCTGTTGAAGCTTCAAGTGTAGATCATGTTTAGTTAAGTTAAGTAATGGCCCACCAATATCGTAAAGGTTACAATCCACTCTGTAGATGAAAAAAAAATCAACACATTCATCAATAATACTGCCTTAAAAGGAATATATATACAGTATATATCAGGAAACATTTCAGGCAATGGCCTTTTAGGGCACATTATGAATGAATATGTTGAGTTTTATTGTGATGTGTGCACCACTGCCAATGCAGCATCACCAAATAATTTGTTTAAGCCACTATACAGGATCAGTTGGTTGTCCGGTTCATTTTGCAACATACATTCTCTTTACAAATACATTGCAGTGATAGATGCTTGTCAAGGGTCCGTGTTATTAACACATTGATCTTGAGGAAATAGTGTAAGAGCTGTGTTGGCATACGTCGTTCAGTCTCAGCGTGCAGAGTTCCTGTACATTTGCAGCTCGAGATCGATGTTGACATTTTAAAAGTGTTGACGTTGAAATGTTACTGAGCGCGGCTGCGCATCTCCCCGACAGGGCCTCTGCAAGCTGGGCTCGGCGGGAGGGACTGATTACAGCATGCGGCAGTTTGCCGAGGGCTCGACTGAGAAGCTGGCGAAGCAGTGCAGAAGGTACGAACGCAGCACACTCCCGCACTGCACAGGCGCACGTGGCATCCGCTTGCACTGCAATAGACGCATGGCTTCGTGCCACCAAAATACAACACTCAAAGAGGTTTCCCACTCACACGGGGCAACATATGCCATTGAGGCCAGTCAAGATTTTTCTGTGTTTAAACAAATTTGACTCGAATGCACTGATGTTGTATGCTCATTGGGCATTGGAGGCAATGTTGCCCATTTGTTAGTCTATTTATTCTACATACGCTTATATTATAAATGCCAGACCATTCACCAGCAGATACACACACAGTGCTACATCGCCCTCAGCTCTCTGATCATATGTAACACGTAATCTCTGTAGAATCGCACCAGATACAATATTTGGAAAATATTTATTTTTCTGTGTAGTTTCTTTCTGTTGATTTCTTTGTTTAATTGTGTAAACTCATCATTACGAAGCTTTGGAGTACAGTTCGTTTCCCAATATGATAGCCAAATACACATTTATTTTGTATTAATGCAAATTGTTAGTTCTAGATGAGGGGAGATGATTTTTTTTTTGCGAGCAAACTTCTGCATTAAATCAGTCTTCTTAATGTTTTACTCATGTATGCATTCATAGAAGGTGCGTGCACATGTTTAGAAGTATTTTATTTCTAAGTTGAAAATTGTACAAAAATGCACACCTATGCAAATGATTTCAAAGTAATGTTAAGCATCTCTACATAAGTCGCATGAGCGTAGCCCGCTTTGCAAACAGGATAATATACATTGATGGGCTCTATGCCTTATAAAAACATGAAAATAGATGTTTGAAGAAAAATAATTGCAGGGAAGGGAAGAGGGTGGCACAGTGGTTTGCACACTGTGCTATGAACCCGACCGACAACCGGAGTTCCGGATTAGTGGCGAGTGATATATAGACTGCTCCTGGTCACCCTTTCCTGCAAACAACCTGCTCTGACTGACCGGCATGGTGAAGTATGCTCAAACAGCTGATATGATGGACAAGGCGTGGAGAGGTCTTCAGCAGTAGATTGACAAACGCTTTGTGAATTATTACATGACCCCGTTCATTTGGGTGGACTTTCAGTGTAGTTTATGCATATGTGTTCTGATTTTGTGCGTGATTTAAGTATGCTTACAAACCAAATTGTGCACGTCCAGTTGCATCCGTGTATATACTCGTTTTCTACTTAATATGCGTGATCGCACGTGAAACTGAACAGCAGACTGATGCCCTTGGCAGCCCAGTACTACGTAGGCCTTGTGCCGCACAGGGATAGCTGCCACTGGTCGGTGGAGGGGTCCCCATGGCTAGACCGCAACAGAGCATTGGAATGGTCGAGATGCGAGATGTGATGCAAGGCGCTGCTTTGAGTTGCTGAGGCATTTATGCAAAGCGCCGCCGTGCATGCAAATGCTTACTTGCACGCACACACGCATACGTGTGTACATATTCAGCTGTGCGTGCAGATACACGTGTGCCTGAGTTTGTATCTGTGTCAATGTACGTCCGTGTGTGTGTGTGATGGCAGGTGGTTGTGTTGCCCGACGATAGACAACCGCACAAAGCGCTGGGCAGTGGAAGGCCTCGCCTATCTCACTCTGGACGCAGATGTCAAGGATGACTTTGTGGAGGATGAGGCGGCATTGAAAGCCATGTTTGATCTGGCTCGGGTATGTGTCCCATTGATTTTACCGTTACCATTCCTTACCTGGAACTAGTTGGTCGGTACTGTGAGGGCAGACCACTGCATACGATGGTGCAATCTAGTGGCATCAGTGCCATGAATGTGTTGAATAAGCTTGACTTGTAAGAGCTAAGTATGATCAAACGGGCATGGTAAGATGATAAGAAACATACATGTTTTCAACTAATGTTGATGCCCATTTTCATGACATGCCATTGCAACCCACTTTACACGAGGGCAACATGTCTTGGCGCACCCCCCTTTGGAACTAAAATATTTATCAAGTGGAAATTTGTTTCTTTAATTTATAATCCCATATATGTTTTTAGGAATTTACCACCTTCATAAAAACAATTTAGTGCTCACATTGTATGCTCACATCGATATTGACAAAACATTTTAACTTATAGACATTAAAACTACCTATGTATATAGACGACTGATAATCAGCACCATTCATTTACTTTTTTCTCGTAAGAATCGTATTCCAGTGTATTTATACGTGCATTGCAGACTATTGTCTTGCATTTCAGCAGAGACTCTCACCTGAATATTCGTGTGATATTATCGTGAGCTTCTAGATTGGTCATCTCCCTTACACACCATCTCACTCCCTGGTCCCTGTCTGCAATGTTGACCTTGCGCAGGCTGGAGACAAGACAATCATGTACTCCGTATCTTCCGCGCTGGTCAACTGCACCAACAGCTACAACACAAAGGAACGGGTTCCGGAGCTGGTGCAGCTCGCCAAATACACCAAGCAGCACATCCCCGAGGATCACCCGAAGGTGCAAACGCGGGCAACCGCCCAGCCACGTGCAGTGGCAATCACAACTGTCATTCACCATCGAGGGTGATGTCACCACTGTGCCTCTGCCAGGCTGGGTGCCTTCTAAGGCTATGTGGAATAGCAAAAAATATTGTCATTTCTAGGTTACAGGGACATACGCGGATATTGTGAGGTATGTATGTATGCACGTTGAATTTATTTCGCACTCGCACCTCCGTGCCAATTGGAGGTGTAGGGAGAAGGACAACAAACTAAACACAAGAAGCGAGGAGAGGATTAGGGCGACAGGAGCAGGGAGAGAGAGAGCAGAGAGGAGTAGCATGGCCGGTCGTTGTGGCAACTGCACTCAACACGACACCGGTGTTTTGGTTGCCTGATGCTGTTCTTAACCATCGTGAGAATATCTTCACCGCCTCAAGTTATTGGATGTCTGTCGCCACAAGTTGCTGACGAGCCTCCTCTACTGAAGCCGTCTTGTAACTTGTGCAGCGGTCAGCGGCCTGCCCACTATCTGCAGGTGCAGCACTCAGTTTATCTCTTGGGCATGCAGTGTCTAGGCATGTTATTACTCAGCCAGCACAGCTCATCTGCCTGAGGAGCTCACATGATACATTTTGGAAGTATCTCCAATGCAACCAGTGCAAAGGACGGAGGATAGACTGAATAATCTGGACATCTTGAAGCCAGTGGATGCGTCCTTGTCGGAGGGTATATGTCTCATCATGATGTCACTTTACCATACCATGGAATTTATTTCACCTTATGCTGTGATATCGTTTTTGAGAAAAAAAATTCTGAAATGCGTTTTGGGACTTTTTCCATATGAATCATGAAAATAGCGACCATGTCGGTTGTTCATTTATATATATTTTCCACCCTTCAAATGAAGCCAAATGCATCACATTTCGCATAGACAAACCCGTTGTCTGACACGCACACACACCCGCGCGCGTGTGTGTGTGTACTTTTAGTCGGGAGGGGAAACTCGTTTGTTTGCCCCCTCCAGCTGGTGCGGAGGTGGGAGGGTGGAAGCCCCCATTGTTGTTCTGCTGGGGCGCGAGTGATGACGGCGGGGGTGGGGCATTCCCCGTGTGCTTCTAGGACCATAAGGACTTTGTGGCTAAGCGTGTTAAGCGGCTGCTCAAGGCGGGCGTGGTGTCGGCGCTCGTGGTCATGATCAAGAGCGACAGCGCCATCCTCACGGACACCACCAAGGAGCAGTTCGCCAGGTCAGAGACCCGGTGCCACGCGTGAGAGTCATCACGATAACGGTGTGCCCGTGGTGGAATGGCTAACACACTGGATTCGCAATCCAGACGTCGCTTGTTCGATTCCACCTACCCTGAGCAGCAGGTGAAACAATGGGCAGGTTTTCTTGAACCCCTCCCCACATTCCCTCACCCCCACCCTGCTTAGCTTCTCAAATCTGGCAAGTTCAGGCACCTTCAGGTCCTTTAGCCAGCTCGAGAGTTTTCTCCAAGTACTCCAGTTTGTTCCCACAGAATACTTCAGAAATTAATACCCATACTTGCTAAGCTATTGGGAGACCCAGAGAGGCTCTTACGTGTGAGTAGACAGCGTATTTTGCTGTTGCTAATGTGCTCACGGCACCACAGATCTCACACGTACAATTACCTGCAAACTGGCTAAACGGGATCATCCGTGCAACAAATTAACTTAACTTAAGCTTGTGTATCATTACACTATTTTTTAAAAATCACTTGTCTCAGAGCTCTCCCTTGTGGAACGTTTGTGCACACAGAGTCTTCCTTGCACTGGCTGAAGACCCACACGACCGAGGCATTATTATTTCCCATGGAGGAGGCAAGGTGAGTGCCATCTCGACTGTAGCCACAAAAAAAAACAGTGAAATCTCTCTCTGATCCCACTCACATCTACAATCACATCCAAACTCACCCCATATTCTTAATCTTTTCCCTTCATCTTTTCCCTTCATCTATGTATGTATTTTGAACTTCTTTTGCGCTGTACATCACCAACCTTGCTAATCGGAGGTGCGGGAAAAGGACAACAACAAAAACACAAAATCAGTTCTAAAGAAATGCGTTTTCAATTTAGATGTAAAAGTGCATAGCTTCAGTGGCTTCCTAATATTGGAAGGAAGAGTGTTCCTGACGGCCGCAGATTTGCAGCCTGATCTAACGAAACAAAATCAAGTCACTGCATTTGAACAATTGACTGTAGTTAACCACTGGTATAACTCATGCGTGCACTTGGATATTAGGAGGCAGAGTTCACATGAGTCCCGTGGTTGTGGAGGAAGATTTAACAAACATTCACCAGGTTAGCTCTGTCTCCTGTCTGTCTGCTGCCCCTCAATAGTGTGAGAGTATTACAGTACAGGGACTCCTCCTACCTTTTCATTCGTTTTTTTTGTTATATAAAAATAGCGTCTGAAAATGTTATTGACAAAAAAAAATCACTAATGTAGCTCTTTTGATGTATTTTTTTGTTCAAGGGAACATTTTTCGAATCGTTGACACGTAATTGAATAACACGACCACTGGCGACAGAAAAAAAAGCTCTCAGCAATCGGAAGAGGACTGGCTAAAGAAGGAGTGACAAAAACAGTCGCTTTAATTACCGCCTAAGATTTTAAAGGCCAATTAGTTTGGAGCAGAGGTGCGGTTAAACACAGGTGCATGGGCAGTTTAAGCAGCTGCGGGGGCTGCATTGTCAGCTTCGTATGAACGCAGATCAAGCGCGGTGGACCACTGGCATCATCAATAACACTGCCTTTGGAAAGAAACAATAACGATAGCAGTGGTAGGCCAAGTAAGCGCCATTGCCTGACAGAGTGGGCTATCTGTCTTTCCAGTTTAATAACAGAGCCCTTCAGTAATACGCTGTAAACACATTCAGCTGCAATACAGTGCCCATTTTGACCATTCTCAAATGACCATTCTCAAATCACCAATGGGTGAAGACCTCCCCAAGGCTAGGTGGTGGGTCATGGGTTTTTTAAAAATTATACTTCAAGCTATTGAGTGCAGATTGAGAGCGCAGGACTGGATCAGATATCACTCGCCTCTGACGTTAGCCGTGGCCTGAAATATAATTTAGGTCGTCTTGTTAATCGTGTCTTTACCACGACTGCCTGTGAAGAGCGTTTGTCTCTACACGTCGAGCACTGTTTACCTCTGAACAAGGAGTATTTATTTTAACAACCCCAATCGGATGAGCTCAGTCAACTCCCAACAGGATTTTAACTCAAAGACCCATCAGCTCACTAGTTGAGTCTTCTGCTGCAGTGCCACTTTTCTCATAAACAATTATTGTGATAATAAAGGTTACATTTGGTCTGCATAAGAGGCAAAGCAATTATTCAAGTCAATGGATGTCACCCCTGGTTTTCAGTAAAACACTAAAGAAATGGCCACAGCTGTTGCATTGAAAGTTATGACAACGACCAGGATACGTGGAGGCCTCGTGTTCATCGCTGACAATGCAATGCCCTGTCCTGCAGTTATGCCTCACGCCGACGATTGTGCATGACGTGTGCGCCAGGGTCTAATCCCACTGGCCTTGGAAGGCACAAAGGAGGGGAAGATCAAGGCGGCACACGCTCTGGCAAAGCTCACCATCAATGCCAATCCCCGCATCGTGTTCCACGGAGAGACGGTACGTGTGGTGGGCGTTGGCGACACTGTGGTTTGATCTTCTGCCTGTGTTTGAGCCAGAGGGAAAATATACACTGTACAGCGTTACGATCATAGCTCTCCGAATGTGTTTCAGGGTTGTACCACGTGTTGTTCGGCACAATGTCCAACGTTTCGCTCAATTTGCTGGGAGCCTCTTTATACTCTACACAGCACAAACAAGAAAACCTACACAATAGTAGCGTAACACTCTTCTTAAAGGGGGTATCCGGAGACAGTCTCTTAAACCAAGACATTTAAATCCATTCATCTCCATTCAAACAACACAATGCACGTACTTTTCTACGAATAACGGACTTGTGCTTTGGATAGATTTACGAGGTGGTGAGGCCGCTGGTGAGTCTGCTCAACTCGGAGCTCGATGGCCTGCCCAACTACGAGGGGCTCATGGCTCTCACCAACCTGGCCGGAGACAACGAGAAGCTCCGGTGAGCATTTCACCGCCTACTGTGCCCCACGTGCTCCATCGTGCTCATCCATAAACGCCAACGAGCTGCGCTTTGCGTGCAGCCGTTTGGAGATTAGATCCAAAACCCACGAACAAAAAACTCACAAATCCTGGTCATGGGTCAATACAACATTCATCGCTTTGTCGGAAGTCACCAGTGCAGCCAACATAGATGTGTAACTGCGCCATTGCTCATTTGAGAAGAAAGACACTGTGACAAATTGAGAAATGTTACATCTTGTTATAATCATCAGTGGTTTGCACACTGAAACACCGAATTCCACGATCTGAAGATGAACATAGATTTAGATTTTTTTTTGCTCTAACCATTATACGTCAACATTTCTTCCTAATCTGGGATCAGGAGTTAATATTTCCCTAAGACACGCACCATTGGCTTCCCAGTACCCACAAAGTAGCAGCCATTTAATTAACCCCCACACAGAATTGATCCGTGACTGGATGTTTAAACTCGCGACCTCTTGAGTTGAGCGCTGTGATTATAGCGACACCTAGCGGGGTGTAGTTATCATTGTTTGCATAAAAACAACATGGCGACAATCAAGGGTACTAACCAGTAGCGTAACGGGCGTGGAGGCAGGGGGTGCCTTGCCCCCCCTGGTAGCAAAAGCTACGAGTTGGGGCCCCCTTGACAACCACCATGAGATGTTTTCAACAGTTTAGTATTGGAAGTAATGCGGATATTATAACCGTAAAGAAACATAATGTAACGTTATGCAACGTCATTTGCTTTGAATGACAGTAACTTGAATAAAAGAATATTGGAAATAGAACTCCATTTCAGGGATATTTATTTCATTATATAGGCGTCACTTATATAGCAGAGAGGTAATATGGAGCTGTAGTCGCTGCATTTTACAAATACGGAGCGCCCCTACAGTGTTAAATGTTCGAGACCGTGAACGTAACGATGCGGTTCGGGCAAGATGAGCCGCGATATATAATAGCCTAGGTGCGACTGTGGGAGACGAATCAAATATTGGGGCCCCACATGACCGATTGCCGCACCCCCTGACCCAACAATGTTAGTCACTACGCCACTGAGACTAACCGTTGGACATTCTTGTCGCGCAGGCAAAAGATCATCAAAGAAAAGGCCATGCCCGAAATAGAGAACTACATGTTTGAAGAACACGAGCAGATTCGCCTCGCAGCTACGCAGTGCATGTGCAACATGGTGATCAGCAAGGAGGTGAGCACGCATAGCCCGGGTCTGAGTGGGTGCCGGAGTTGTCACTTGTCCTGGTTTTCCCAAGATCGTCCTTCTTTTGAAACGGCTGTCCTGGGCAATCTGCAAACCTTTCCAGGACAATTAGAAATCCTTTTTTTTGTCAGCTGTGTTTATAATACACCACTCAAGACGACGATGCATCGTCGTGTGATTCGCCCTTCTTCCAGTATTTTGATTATTCTTCGCATGATATATGTCCCAGTCGTTTTGTACCTCAGAGGTGGCGATCCTAGTGGGCGGTGGGCAACGAACCACAGGACACATTTGCAGAAAATGGGCAGTGCACTGATGGAGCTTCTTCTGCTGTGGTGTTCATCTATATTGCGAGGGCAGTCTGCAGAATCATGCACATGCGTAATGAGCATGGCAGTGCCCCAAAGTCGTTCCTGTGACCACGCATATATGGTCAGCATTTGGATGGTTACACACCATTATACAAATAAATCAATAAGTGTTGCTATTTAGAATCAAGTGGAAAAGAAGTGAGTCATCACATTTTACAATGCGAGAGGCAACGCGAGTATGCTTACAACAACTCCTTCGTGTAAAATAAACATACGGATCGCACCACGCAGTCGCGTTCGCCTTGTGCGCATCGACCGAGCGTGACCGATCGCCGTGCTCCACGTGCCGTGTGCCGCTTGCCCTTGCAGGTCCAGGAGATGTTCCTGAAGGAGGGCAATGACCGGCTGAAGATGGCCGTGCTGCTGTGCGGCGAGGACGAGGAGCCTCTGCAGATTGCGGCCTCCGGCATGCTGGCTATGCTCACCTCGGCCCACAAGTCTCTGTGCTCCAGGGTTCCCACTGTGGTGAGCTCTGCCACAGTTTGCAGAGACTTCTCTCCTTTTTGGCCTCTACAGTAGGTGTTGGTGGCTGTGTTGAATGGATATTCAAATTGTTCACCTCTACGATTCATTCTCCTTCCATCCCCAAGTTGACACAACCCTATCTTTGGTCTTGTACGGGTGAAGACCAAACGCTGTGGACCACTTAATTAATCAGTAACACTGCCAATTGAAAATAAACAAATAACGATCACATCCATCTCTTTAATTATTAGAAATTAGATGGTATCCCACCCGGGTCCTCTGGTTTTACCCTCCACATTTTGAAACATGCATTGAGATTATTTACATTATTTTTCTGCTATAAATGTCCAAATGATAAGCCACTTTGTTGGCCAGGTTGCTTAATACCTCAGTGGCTTTGCCTGGTAGGATGAGTTGATTTAGTACTGGTAGGAACCTCCTGGTTACACCATCCCACAGGGGATTATTGTGTCCGTCGTGCAGGGAGGGGCTAGGTGGGGAGGGTGAGGAGGGGCTGGGTGGGGAGGGTGGGGAGGGGCTGGGTGGGGAGGGTGGGGCTGGGTGAGGAGAGTGGGGCTGGGTGGGGGTTGGGAGGGGTGGGGCTGGGTGGGGAGGGGCTGGTCACCCCGTGGTGCCCTTATAAAACTCAACGTTTAACCCACTCACGCCGGCTTGTGCCCGCCCTCACAGTCGGCCATATTTACGGAATACACCACGCCGCCGTTAACCCTGGCCATTGACCGAGCAACCCAACTTTCCTACCAGCTCCCTCCGTAGGAATGTGTTTTTATTTGTATGTGTTTTGGTGATTTGTTTACCTTTCTTATACTTTGCACTCATATCATGTTTTTGTATTGTTTGTTGTAATTTTATTACCTGTCCCTACTGGACATCTGTGAAAAAGAGCTTTATAGTTCATCGGATTCCTCCTGCAGTATAAATAAATATTCTGATTCTGATTGGAGAGGTTGTGCACAATACCGACCCCTGCTGAGCAAGGATGTGATTTTGAAATTCAGCATAGATTGGGAATCGCGACTGCGAAATCCTAGTTTGGGGAAGTCCTGGCAAATTATTAATAAGATATTCATAAGATGTATTATAATCGAAGCACTTGGAAAAAGTAAGTTCACCACAAGTACGTGTGATTAATGCAGACATGCAAAAGGTTTCTATTTGGTGTCTGAACATCTTAACACCTGTTTTAGTGCCAGAAAGGGTAAAACTGTATTCTTATTTTTTCATACTTTGATACTGGCAAAAAAGGTCCCATGTTAAAGTAAGCCAAGTTACCAAGTCGGAAAACTTATGGTAATTCTTACACTCATTTCAATAATCTGTTGTAACCCAACATGCGAGTTTCCAACACGATATATAACAGCATTTGCTGGGCCATGAACAACACACGTATCACTGTGGAAGAGTTTTGAGGCATTTTTCAGCGTGAGAGATGAGTTGAGGGAGAATAGGATGTTACCAAAGGCAGGCATTGGAATGAATGGAAAAAAAGTCAGAATGAATGGTTAACTCCAAGAACAGACTCTGGATGTTAGTCACGAACTGTGCAACAACTCTGGGATTGAGCAGAAGGAAGCAAGTGATTGTGAGGCATGGTGGCATTACCGGCATTGCCCCTGATGATGATGACGATGTGATCTTGGTCTTGTTGTTTGGGATGGTGTAGTGTGTGGGGAGTGGCAGTGCAGTGGTTAGCGCACTTCACTACGATCCCGGCAACCCGGGTTTGATCCTCACAGCCAACACCAGTGACGATTATCTGAACCGGTCCTGGGCCTCCCCTAGGTCGACTCAGCCTCAATTGAGTACCTGGTGCGGTATTTAAACATCGCTACTCGGGAGAAAAAGGCGGCCGGGCATGGTGCTGGCCACCCACCCCCTTGTGTGCCACAATGTCGGTCTTCATATGTGCTCGCTAACAGCACTTGCCCCAGCAGTATGTTAAGGCTACACGGGGGATTTTTGTCTTTGGTGTGGTGTGTGGCCGGCAATGCAGACGACACAGTGGCTGGAGATCCTGCAGCGCTTGCTGCTGCACAAGAACGGCGATGTGCAGCACCGTGGTATGGTGATCGCGCTCAACCTCATGCTGGCAGAGCGTGACATCGCCCAGAAGCTGATGGAGTGCGAGGTGCTGGAGATCCTCATCGTGCTCTCCAAAGACGAGCGGCCCGAGCGGATGAAGATCACGGAGGCCGCGCGAGCCTGCCTCACCGCAGCGATGGACTATGGCCTCATCAAGCCGTTCTCCCATTGATACCTCCTACCACACGGCATGACACAACGCGACGGCAACAGGAGAGAGGGAGGGCGGCACCGTGCAAGAGCACGATATACAACGGCGCAGACTCCGTGCGCCACAGTGCGGCATAGCAGATTGTCCACAAAGCATCGTCTAGTAGTGGAGCATAGCACAACACGGCGGCATAACGGTTGTAGAATGCAGCACGGTGTACAGCATTCACAACACCGCACCTCCGAATAGCACGGTTGGCTACGCACGGTGCGAAAGAAGTTCAACGTACATACAACACACAACTGCAAAGCACGACGAGATGATTTCAAGCTACACAGCAGAGCCAAGTGGGTGAGACAGCGATGGGGGTTAACGAGCGACTCTGATTTGTTATTTGCATACAAGTCTAAACACCGAGCAATTCCCTGTATTGATGACACGGGAGACATGGATATATTTTCAGCAAAATGTGGACGGGTAAAGGAACATTTGCTCACACGTTAATCAGGCCCATAGTTTGTCTGTACCAATTAGATTATTATTTGTCCACTGCACCCATGGGCGGGGGATGTATTATTTTGATTATTATCAGTAATATATTATAAGTAAACATTAATAATTATCATAAATATTATTACAAATTAGGCCATGGCGCACCGTGGCAAAGTCCCGTTACCCCGCCCCTCATGGCGGGCTGTGTTTGCAGGCCGAGTGAGCACTCTGGCTATTCGTCTTTAGCTCCACCGGATTCCCATTTTGTATACGAGTGCGTGTGTATACAGTAGTACGTTCAATCGTGTGCTGTTGAATTTAAATGTTCACCCGGCAAACAGGAGGCATTGTGTAGTGGGGTTTTTTTGTGTTTCTAGAATTTCTGCTGGTCGTGGTGATCAGTGTTGATGAAGTGTTTTGATATTTCACAGCTACTACCTTCCACATCAATTAAGTATTTTGTACACTTATTTAAATGCTAACTGGTTACCTGCAGTTAAAACACGCTCTCATCAGCCATGATCTGCTGGACTGATACGGACGTGGAGTAGTGGCGATTCTTGATCACGGCTAACATCAGTGGCAAGTGATATCCGAACCAGTCCTGGGCCCCCCTTCACAAACCCACACTGACCAGCGTGGTTAAGTATGGTCCAACAACCCTTGCAACTGGCACGGCGTGGGGAGGCCTTCATTGGAAGTGGATTGGCTGTGGGTTATATTTTTTAACTGAAATGCTACGTGCGACTGTGGACATTTCAAACTGAGATATGGACTACAGATGCTCAGAGATCACGTGTCTAACACAGTGAAGTGTTGCTCTTTTGGCTGCGTTGTGACGCTCTCGTGTCACGTGGTTTTACCGGTAGATACACGTGCTGAAATTTCACGTACCCGGGTTTTAATACAAGGAGTGCTCATCAAATATAATAAAACAATTCGAGTGAACAACAACAGCTTGTAAAACTTATTAAGCGTGGTGCACAAAAACATTTATTTAAAACATAACATTTGCTGGATTTTTTTTAATCTAAAGCACAATAAATACAGTACAGATAATTCCATCAACACCAAACCCATCATACCTTTGTTCAACAGCCACACACCACATTGGGCAAACATCAAACATGAGGAGACCCCTTGTACACAAATTATGAATACAGCCACAGAAAGGCACCATCTACTTACAAAAGCCGTTTAACAAACATTGACGAAAAGTCTTTGTGTGAAATATATGCAACAAACCCAATGTAACGGTGTGATATGTAAAAAAAATACTTTTAGTTACAGCCACGCAACTCGGACACGGCAGATTTTTACATAAATCAAAAGAAAACAAAACAGATACCGTCTTAAGAGTATCAACGAAGGGAACTGCGGGAGTGCATCTGCCAATGAGTGTTGATGTACACCATGTGAATTCAAAACGTGTAAACCAGAGAACATGAAGCTAACTGCAGCATTCAAGCAATACGTGTAAGCTTAGTGAAAATGTTCAAATTTGTGTGGTTGTAAAATGTGATACGTTTTTGTAAATATTTAAATTTAAGGCACGATGCACTGAATACGCCAACCAATTATCAATGGCAGAGCTTAATTTATCATGGCTGCGGAGGAAATACGGGAAAATATTCCAAAGCCCTACCCTGAACAGCGCCAGATTACATGAAGCCCTGATCAATGTAACGCTCTTTGTCGGCCGTGTTATTCACTGCAAGCAGTAAATTGAATCACTAGAGGCGTCAACGAAAAATCGGTGACCACTGCTGATTGAAGCCCCTAACTGCATCCAGTACATTCTTATACAAAGGGCATGTCATACGTACTCGTGACGCACGCTGTTTCCATCGTCCAACCACGAGTCGGGCCACGCTGGTACAGCACTAGCTTCAAGCTCCTACAGTTCCCAGTACAACTGTATATGGGCAGTCATGCATTATGATTCTAAATGCCGAGTTCATATTTTTAAAATCATGATGAGGCAGAATGTGCATGACAATCATGAACACTGCTTCTCAGTTTTAGGCACTTTACCCTTTCTTGTAATAAAATAGGTGTTAAGATGTTAAAACAACAAATAGATACATTTTGCAAGGGATCGAGTCTGCATGAACCACACACACTTGTGGTAATACATGTAAACAAACACGCTCTGATAATACATGCATTGTCTTGTAAACTTGATTCCTTACAAAAGGTTTCTATTTCGTGGTTTAACATTGCAACACCTATTTTACTGCCAGAAAGGGTAAAACCTATTCTGATTTTTGATATTTTGATACTGGAAAAACATTTCCCGTTGATAGTATTTTTTTTACCAGAAGGAAATAAGTGATGGTGAGACAGATGTGGTGGCATAAAAGACTCCTTGAACTTGAGCTCAGTTTGGAAATTCCTCGTGTTACATGTGGACAAACAGAACTGTACCAGCGAGATGACTGCGTGAAGATTCCAAGTGGAAACCACGGTAAGTTGTAATCACGAGCAGCGTGACATGGAAAAGAGTAAGCCACGTGCGCCTGTATCACGGACCCAGATTATAAAAATTACCCGCAAATTGGGAAATCACATCGGAACATTGTCCCCTAGTGACAGAAAATAAGCATTTGTGAAACATAGTTCTTTTGTGAAAGCCTCGTACTATAAGAATGGTACGAATACCAAATGCACGAAGCAATGATTCATAGCTATCACTGGGATGACTCAAATGAGAGTGGCAGGAGTGGATGGAGGCTGCTGCACACATCATCGCAACGCTCATCCAGAAGTACCCCAAATATCACCAACCTCAGTCATCCCTTAAGATCACCAAACTGAGCCACCCTGGCAAAAGCCAAAGCAGCAGCAAATTAGTTTTAATTTAAGTACTTTACGCTCACAATGAGAGACACTTTATTTATTTTTCCAATAACAAAATTGAGTTTAAAGTAATGTTTTTTTACTTAAGCTGCAAATACATTTGAAGATACTGCGGTTGGCGGGCTTAGATAGTCATTTGGAACATTTTAAACGACACATTTTTAAATTGCCAGTCAATTTATTAACCCGTCCCCCCAAAAAACAGCTCATACTTTGGTTGCAATAGTGTATTCAACTCGGCACACCGCTTTGAAAAAAAATCGAATGCGAAGCAATTCATAAAATCAAAGGCGTGTATGATGGAATGTGATTGTGGATCTCTTAAAAGAGCACAACAGCCGCCATTCGCCACGAAGTAGTGGTAATGTCACCACGGGGCTCGTACCAGGCTAGGTGCATTTTGAGGCCACGTCAAGTGTCGAAGGCTCGCTGGCCGGAGGTCACGGGACAGACCCAGGTGCCGTGGGTTGACTGACGGAGATGACTGGCAGATGCACCACAACTGTGCCAAGAGCACAGTACACAGTACATGTATACACACGCACATGAACACATATCCACCGCATATTGTGACAACACTATACAGATAGTGTATAATGGTGGTCAGTGGTAAATGTGTGTAAACTATCTTTGAACAGTACGCAGCTCAAATACAAAACAAATCCCAGTATTAATGGCAGTGATGAAATCAACGATTCTCGCAGAATACCAACACGGGGAGAATGAGTCAGACGACAGCGATTGGGCGGTGAACAGCAAATAGAGCCCTGCAAACACGTGAGAACAACGTGCAACTCTGTGCTCAACAAATGTCGTCCAAAATCACATGCATTGACCTTTTTTAGCGAGTGTAGATATGACATCTTATTTGGCACCATAATCATAAGCAATGATGAATGAGAGCTATTTACAGTGTGTCCGGGATGAATCGGTGCAATCGCTCACCACGCATGCCTCCCAGGCCAGGCCCCCCGTGTGGCTTATGCTTTGGTCGCATTCATATTTGATGGTGATGCAGAACCCGCATTTATTGTGCGATTGGCACCACGGTGCAGGAATGTAAATATGAATTTTCCATCGATGCAAGAGAGGCCCTGTTCAGACAGGACGATACAAATGGTGACTTTAATATTCAATGGAGCCTAATGGGTTCATGTACATTTTATGGAAAATTGTGAACTTGTCACCGATGTCGGCTGTGCTGATGAGGAACTGGCCCATTCTACGATTTTCTGAGGAATTTAAGTTTTCGTTATTTGATGTCAGAAATTCTACCGAGTAATACTGCTGTAACTAATGGGTCTCTTTTTGAAGAGGGACATACTCAAGTGTATTTGACTATGGTTATGTCGCTTTTGTTTTTTTTTCTTTTTAGAAACTGCTGCAATGATAAGTACAGTTGACAATGTTCCTTCAGAGAATTGGTGGACAATCCACCAAGCTTTTTCGATTTAAAGCTTTCGTGACTGCAGGGATTCATCTTCTTGGTTCTTTCGGTAAAGTCACGTAGAAGGGAAGTAATAAAATAATAAAAATAAAACATAATATTTTTATTATTTTATTACTTCCCTTCTACGTGACTTTACCGAAAGAACCAAGAAGATGAATCCACCAAGCGCCGCATCTCGATAGACTCCGTCATCCACCACAAATCACGACCAACAATTACCTGGATTTAACCCTATAATAATATACCATTAACATAAGGAACGAGCGCCGCCTATTCGTAGTCATATTTTTTACGTGAAGTCGTATTTGGGGATTTTTATTTATCAGCTACAATTTGTGTTATCCCCACCTGCGAGTAGCACGGTTGGCTACGTACGGTGCGAAAGAAGTTCAACACACACACACTGAGAATTGTTGTTATATCAGTGTTCTCATTTGTCCCCGAGATCCACAAAGAATATGTTGCTATCAACTAGTGGATTGCGATCCACGTATTGGCCACTGCTGCGTTAGACCGACATGGTTATGAAATGCACGGCTTTCAGAATTGTATGCACGTTTGGCTGATCGTACAGCCCCTGAGTTGCACAATGATATTGTGAATATTCATGCATTGTGGATACAGTAGCTTCGGGCCCCTCTGCCCCTAGAATAGCGTTTTAATGATTGCCGTCATATACTGTAAAAGCTTTGTATAAGCAGAGTTCTCATACAAGCAATGTATCGTTATATTACACTGGTGGTGGGGGGGGTGCAGGGGAATGCAAAGATGAACTTCTGATACAAGCACACTTTGTATATAAGCACACATGGCCTTCCAAGGAATGTGCATATACCCAGTGTCTACTGCGTTGTATTGCTTTAACGCAACCACTCCAAATACCGAACCTAAACTTGAGCTAGATTTTTGTTAGAATGTCAGCTGTGAAACACCTACCAATAGTTTTAGGGCAAATGTGGTCAATTTAAGAGCTGTTAATTTTTGTCTTACTAATGCATGCAGCTGGCGATGGCTACTCTGAAAGTCTCATAGTGGGAATGGCCCAGTTGCCATCCAGGTAGGGTTGCCACCTCTCTGGGTTTGACCTGGATAGGTGGCAGTCCAAGAATTGACAGTCCAGGAATTGTCATCTTTGTTCTGGTGGCAGGAATTGATTTTACCGGGATTTGGTACCGATATTGTGCACCGTAGGCTGACTGAGAAATAAGTCCAGGGTTCGGTGGAAAAGGTGGCAATCATACATACAGGCGAGTCTTGTTAAAATCATCAGTGACTCGAAAATATGAGCGACTGCAGTTGGAGTGGTACTGCAAAGAAAGGAGGTGTTACATCAGCAACGTAACTGTAATTGTTTAAGACAAGCGTGCTTACTCCAGGAGTGTGAGCACCATCAGTGGTTCTGTAGAAAGTGATGTCAAAACCAGTATTTCATATGCATATATTGCAGTGTCAAAAATCCCACAGAATGTGCCAGAGCTTGAATAGCTTTGCACATTATAAATATAAAAATACTTCAGCAAACGGCTCCTGATAATTTTCGATTGTAGGTCATGAAGTCCAAAAAACAAGTTTAAAAAGTAAATAAGTGTTTCAAACATACTGAACTGTAAGATCGCCGATAAAGAGTGATACATCTCATTAGAAAAGGCCAAGGCCTCACAGATGATGTACTACTATGGTATGTTCAGCCAAACTCTTAGAAAACCAGTAAACTGTGCAAGTGTGCTAATCACTGGTTACAATTACACATTGTAATGAATTATGCGTGCATATTTATATAAACCTTTAATGTGTACTAAAAGGGCCAAAAGTATATATGCAATACCATAAATATTATAACTGTAAATGGTCCACTTTAAAATAGACATCCCACGCTAGCTCCCTACAAGTTTGCTGCGAGGTGAGCCGGTGGAGAGCATAATGTACACAATATAACATGGTTAATGAAAGTATTTACTGTTTCCATCTCAATAACAAAAGTACACATTACCATGTAATGTGCTTGTCAACCAAATGGAGCGATATCTGTTAGTCTCCTATTTCACAGACACGTTAAACAAGAATACGAACATCGCAAAGGATGGTATCCAGAAATATGGCTGCAGTCAGTGTACCCAAGAGAGTCCCCCTTTTAAGGAGCCGATCGCCATTGGCGATGGTGGGTTGATAGCGAGGCCCCATCCAAAATCAGACTCAAGGAGCACGTGGCTGGACTGACGCAATAGGTCACCCTGTGCCCTTCGTTGTGTCAGGCAGCCACGTGCTCAGCGAGAGTGATAACTTCGCGTTCTCTCATTTGTGGATATTTAATTTTCCAAGTACACAATTTACATTTACGTATTTAAAATCATGTTTATGTATTAAATTACACATTTTTACCCACCACCTTTGGCAATTGCCCTCCTCATCGCACGTCAAGAGCAGCTGTTCCATGAGCTACCAAATGTTCTGCCTGAGGTTGTTTGGTTGTAGGGATGGCTACTCGGACTTCTGTGTGAAGCCATCACGTGATACCAGCATGCGATGCTCAGAGATGTTACAAGTAGAGGTTGTATGCCACTGGAGTTCCTTCATCCAGCAAATCATATCACGAGATATGTCTCAACACAGTAATGCATTGATTTGCTATGCTATGCAAATGTATATCCGAACGGGACATTGTAAGACAGAAGTAGACATTACAGTCTTACAACATCGCGATTGGCGTTATAGTTAAGAGAGATTTACTCACAATGAGAATGTTGCAAGTTGAAATCCTACTTCGCGATGAACTCAAACCATCATCCCTTCAGGGTCAACAAAAAAGTACGTCGTACAGCTTTGAGAGAAGTCAACAGTGGGAATCCAATGTATACAAAAAATTGTCCCAAACTATGACAATGTTAAATTTATACCAAAGGCTCGGAGCCACCAGTGATGAATGCCATCGCACTGTTCATTAAAGCAGGGTGACACTTTGGCCCCAAATCATACAAATGTTTAGACTCTTGTCATTCCACCTCATTGTGATGTCATTGGCCAGCTCAGACCGTCGTCAGCAGGGCGAGCCAGCTACGCGGCACTCCCACGGCAGGCGGCCGGGTCCGGTACGAATGGCGCGTGACGCCCTTTCCACCTTGCGGATTGTAGCCAAAAACTCGACGTGCATTGTTTGAGGAATCGCTCTTCTAGCATATTCCATCATTTGGCTCCATTCCAGAAGTAGTGCGAAACCAATCTGTACATGAATCGGGGGGGGAGGGAGCTTTTTTCTTAACTGAACGCTGTAGAAAAGTTGAGTGAAATTCATACCGTGTCAACCCATATGGTTTAACCGTATTGTTGTTCAGGTCCATACGGTGTACAGCCAATTTAAATAGGGCAACAACAAAAATCTATGTGTTTGTGTTTCTCCCTTGTGATGGGACTTTGTAGGATTAAAGTAGATACATAAGATCTGAATTGGTCTGTAATAAGGTAGGCACTGATAACGGGTTGGCAGGTATGGAATTGTGACACTTTGCAAACAATAAAAAGAGAAACCAGTAGCTGTGTAGAAAATCACAGGGACAGCATGAATTAACGAAGAGCAATATAAGTCAGTGTGGGATAATGTACCCAGTGTGATTATATTGCCATTGATTAGGCACTGGTTATCAGGAAGACTGCCGTGATACGAAGTGATCGTCAATGATGCCAAGCAGCATATCCCGTGCTACATTGCATCGCGCGTGGTCATTTCACAGCCATGTTGATCAAATTAATATATTGATGTGTTTGCTGAGGAACGTTTTAACCACAAGATATGCACATTAGCTTGGGAACGGAAGAAATTATCCATGCCAAAAAATGCACTGCTGGATTGAAAGTGCTGCCCGCTGTTGTCTGTAACTGTATGAAACGTACGTAACCACGTGTTGGGGTGAGCCCTTACGTCGATATTCATGGAATGCAGACTTAAGATTGAGTGCCTCACTGCTGAGTATGTAATCACCCACGATTGCGTTGTCAGTAATGTTCATTTAAAGGATTCAATTGTGTTTGCTCGTGAGACTCAAAAGAACACAGTTTAAAAAACAACATATCAAACCTCGAAAGCAGTTTGATAAGTGCATTTGCCATTTTGGTATATTGAAGAGGCTTCGTGAATGACATTTTAATTGTCTTAAGTTTCTAAGAACATCAGAAAAGTATTTAAAATCAATGTCTCCACCCTCTGTTCACTCACCAAAATGTTTGTCTCTTTATATATAATAATAATACCCATGTTTCTGATTCGCTAGGATCGAACCATGGATGTTCCCATTGTATAGCCATTGAACCTGACCTCTTGAAACTTAGTTACAAGCAAAAAGATTGTTGTGCTTAGGTAACATTAACAAACTGGTACATTTAAAGTTGGAAATTGCAAAAAATGTGTCTGACACTGAAATTACCAGAGCAAAATGCCCTCGTTTAAATATCTGGATATGTCCCACAGATACCATCTGCTAAGAGGACACCAGGCCACAGGTTGCATGAATCCTGAAATTGAGCTGCCTATCTTTTAGATAAGATGTTTTTAAACCTCAGTACATACCGCTACTGCAATGAAAACACAACTTCGCAAAACGAAACGCCAATAAAAATATGGGACTGCATTGTGAGCAGTGTACAAGCACGAGGAATGACATATGGAGTAACCACATTCTTAAATTAACACTGATCTTATTCCACAAAAAATATAGTAAACTAATTGTTTTGGACCAGCCCTTCAGAGCAGGAAAAAGAGTTGCCGGTTTGACTGACAAAGTTGGAAAACGCACCTTGTAGTAAGGAACCTTTAAATACAGTAAAACCTCATGAAGCTGGACTCAGGTAGGCCGCAATTCGGGGTAAGCCAGAGAGGGTACCGAGAAAAATATTGTAAAAATGCAACGTAAAACTTAGACCGGAACACCGTTTGATCGCAGGTTAATTAGCGAACAGTCGGTTAAGGCATGTGTGCTAATCTTACGTGGTCAATTCTACATGCGCTTATTTAGATTGGGAAGTGTAACATGCTATCGCCAGCCATTGCAAAGCAGTAAATACAATGGGTGCGCACGAGCAATTCGAAGGCTAAATACATTATAGAGAATCTTCGGTAGCGCGTGCTCTCGGATGCCTCGATAATTCACGTGCTTTGCTTGGGGTTTCTCTCGCTCTCTCCTTCGCGTTGTTATATTTTTTACTTTACACATATTTACAACAAACAAAAACACCTCTTCAAGCTCATTAAGAATCAACCGCCGTTTCTTGGGATTAATCGCCAGTCTTCCACATCGGCTTCACGTTGATGGTGACTGATTAAACTCTACAAGGAGTGATTCTGTAAGCGTCATTCAACAATAAAAATTACATTGTAAATATCGACTAATCAGTTATTCACTCAATATATGTTAATTAAAAGAGTTGGGTCTTAATTACAAGCAGAGGACTTGAACGTTACAAACTATGTGTTATTTGCAGTGGGCTTGACAACCCCGGTAGCAGGAAAGGCTCTCCTTCAAATTAGTCAGGCTTCAAGAAGTTGTACTGTATCTGGCAAATATTTAAAATGTTGACATTGCCCGGTCTACATTGACAGCATGAGTAGATTTTCATTACACATTTGATTAATATTTTTGTAACTATTTCTATTTGAATTCGAAGCTCTTAAAAATGTTTTTTTTATCTATAGTTTAATTTGTCTGTTGCCAGATGTATAGTCTCAGCTGATAAAAGTCAGAGCATCTGCTTGCTCAATAGAACAATGGCAAAATGTTCATCATACCCTAAAAGTATCAAAAACTACACTACATATCAAACAAAGTTAGTCGTAGCCAGAGTAGATTATTTTTATATTTTCGTTAAGTTATTTTTAACAGCACTTACATGATATTTCCTTCTCCACAACCTGGCAAGCCTGGCTAGGTAAATATTCGTAACGTGAGTGTATAAAGTGGTCCCTACCATGGAATGTTTTACTGTGGTATGAGGTGTGATGTGAGGTCATGCTCAGGCATGGTATCGTCATGTAATGCTCTGTGAGTTGCGTACTGCCTTAGCTTTGCGTTTTCGGGTCGTATCGCGTGTTGTTCTGCAACGATGTCTGACGTTTCGCTCCATGTGCTGGTAGCTTCATCAGACATAGCCAGAGTCGAAGATCACGCGGAATAAAAGGCGGTGAAACCTGAAAATCCGTCAGAGAGCTACACAGCACAAACGCGAACACCTTCGCTCTGTGCATTGCCTCGTGTGGCATCACGAGCAATCAGGCCACAGCGGCCGTGTCTCCGTAATCGCTGTTCCACTTCATGTAGCCTTCCAGAGTGACTATGTTCACACTGCGCTTGATCTTCTTAAGCGAGTCTTCAAAGTCTGATGTTCGGATGTTTCTCACCTAGGCACGCACAATCATTATGAACCGTTGATGTTACACGATAACTTCAACAAAATTCACGAATGATGGGGGAGAAAAAATGTAACCCTTCGTGCCATAATTTGAAATCACTACATTGATAGACACACATTATTATCCGGTTATTAAAACAATATGACAACAGCAGAGCAATGTAGTACTGACAGCGAATTGTACTGTACACATTGATGAATGTACCATTAGTTGTCAGTGTTAAATTGACCTGCTGCAGGACTTGTACCTTTACCTCTCTCATAGTAACAGAGCGCGCATGTCATTGTGTGGCATGAGCATGAAGAATGTGAATAATGCAGGGTTGTTAGGATCTTGGTATTGTCACTTTCAGAGTGGTAGGTCTTGAGGCTGGACACTGAAGCCTTATTATGAGCGACCCTAAAACTAAATTGATGGCAGTGGTTTGGTTGTGGGCCTTATTCACACCCTGTGAAATTTTTGTAAGAGAGTATAGGTCTCAAGCATGAAGGCCATCTACTTGGAGTGGCGCCCAGAAGTCAGTGGCCAAGGGACAAGATCTGGAGGCAAATCATATGTGACATGACGACCTCTCAACCCTTTCCCCTTCCGATGACGTACATGTACTGATGACGAACACAGTGTAGGTCATCAGTTTTTCTTACGATTCCGTCGCGATGATGTACACGTACATCAAAACGAAACCAGAAGAAAAAATAAAATAAAACGACTTTATCGGTACTGAGGCTCCCACAAGGCCACGCGGCAGGGCGTGTGGCACAGTTTGACGCCTGCTATCATAGACTGCGGTCGTGTCGCTACAGTTCTCTGCGGTGAGGACAACAACTTTAAAAACATCGGCGATACTACGCCGCTCTAAATAAAATTAGCACCGAGCTGCTTGCGTGTTCCAAGATTCAGAGGTGAACGGGACCCTCACCCTGCAACTTGCAGACATCTCGGAACTAGGAAAGGGGTCATCGCGAGTAAAGCGCCCTGTAGAGAAAGTAATGTTTCAGCAGTGGGTTTTCCCAGATCGCTGGATAGATCACTACAACAGTGGACTGGGTATAGTTGGCAACGCAGTAGAGTAGGGAGTAGTGCGCATTATGAGCATACCTCATTTGCTGACATGTTTTTCACCTGCTCTGGGTCCAGTTCTGCAGGGGTAGATTTCAAAAACAAACGCGGGCATGCAACAACGGCGAGTATGCGCATCATGCACAGCCATATTCATATGTGTGTGCAGTCATATCCACGTGCACAAGAGACAAAGATCCCCTGTATAGCCAACGTAGACTGTTAGGGCAAGTGCTGTATAATGAGGGCCTGATAGAGCCAGGAAAGCAATGCCCCCGACTGCTTTTGTCTCCCCAATGTTGATGTTTTTGCATCACACCAAGTTACTCATTTAAGGCCAAGTTCACCTCAAGGAGGCCCAGAACTGGTTCAGATATTACTCGTCGTTGATGTTGGCTGTGGCTAGGAATTGAATTCAGGTCACCAATTTCATAGTGCAGTGCAAAAAACCACTGCACCATCACTCTCCACATGCACAAACATACGCACATTGCTTTATAGATTAAAATATATCAGCACATGGTGCTGGCAAACACTAGGTACCACAAAAGAGCCTATTCAGTATTCTCGTGTGCAGTACCATGAACTCTATTTTGGTTACATCATTCAAATGGATTTCTTACCACGAATGGGGCCCAAGGCTGCGTCTTTAGCAAGCGCTGTGAGGTCACTCCCAGAGTATCCTTCTGTGATGCTGCAGACACGAACGTGTGCATTCACAAAGCACACAATACACGCAATACATATACACAGGGAAATGCACATACCACCATCATCATTATTAGCAGCCATCATCTATCAACTGCTGGTGAAAGCCTCCTCATTTCATCTCTACCCCTTACAAAATAATGTATTTTCCAAGATTTATCCTTCTACACTGTAGGGGCAAGTAATGTGAGCGAGCACTTAACACGACTAATTATGACTAAGTAGTCATTTCAGGTGAGGCCCAATACAGATTCAGATACCATGTGTGCTGATGCGCATGGCTGGGAACGCAACTCGGTTTGTTTGTGCCCTGTATGGGCGTGACGGGCTGAGGGTAGGGTTGCAACTCGTCCTGGTTTTCTTGCTATCATACTGGGGAATCTGTAAGTCTTTCCGGGACTTTAAAACGTTATTTTTTGCCATTGGCGTAACAAGCACCGCTCAAGAAAATGCCTTTGCAGATAAAGTCATTCTGCGCTCTCCCAGTATTGTGAGATATTTGCCCTTCCCCGTGAGAATATCCCCGGTATTTTGGGACGTCGGAGGTGGCAACCCTAGCTGGTGAGTCATTTTGAGAGAAAGGGGAGAGAGATATTGCTCTGCTCACTGCTCCCCTCACCGCTCCCCTCACCGCTCCACTCACCGCTCCCCCACCGCTTCCCTCACCGCTCCCCTCACCGCTCCACTCACCGCTCCCCTCACCGCTCCACTCACCGCTCCACTCACCGCTCCCCTCACCGCTCCCCTCACCGCTCCACTCACCGCTCCACTCACCGCTCCCCTCACCGCTCCCCTCACCGCTCCCCTCACCGCTCCACTCACCGCTCCCCTCACCGCTCCCCTCACCGCTCCCCTCACCGCTCCCCTCACCGCTCCCCTCACCGCTCCCTCACCGCTCCCCTCACCGCTCCCCTCACCGCTCCCCTCACCGCTCCCCTCACCGCTCCCCTCACCGCTCCCCTCACCGCTCCCCTCACCGCTCCACTCACCGCTCCACTCACCGCTCCCCTCACCGCTCCCCTCACCGCTCCCCTCACCGCTCCCCTCACCGCTCCCCTCACCGCTCCACTCACCGCTCCACTCACCGCTCCACTCACCGCTCCACTCACCGCTCCCCTCACCGCTCCCCTCACCGCTCCACTCACCGCTCCCCTCACCGCTCCCCTCACCGCTCCACTCACCGCTCCACTCACCGCTCCACTCACCGCTCCCCTCACCGCTCCCTCACCGCTCCACTCCCGCTCCACTCACCGCTCCACTCACCGCTCCCCTCACCGCTCCCCTCACCGCTCCCCTCACCGCTCCACTCACCGCTCCCCTCACCGCTCCCCTCACCGCTCCCCTCACCGCTCCACTCACCGCTCCCCTCACCGCTCCCCTCACCGCTCCCCTCACCGCTCCCCTCACCGCTCCCCTCACCGCTCCCCTCACCGCTCCCCTCACCGCTCCCCTCACCGCTCCCCTCACCGCTCCCCTCACCGCTCCCCTCACCGCCTCTCCTCACCCCTCCCCTCACCGCTCCCCTCACCGCTCCCCTCACCGCTCCCCTCACCGCTCCCCTCACCGCTCCACTCACCGCTCCCCTCACCGCTCCCTTCACCCCTCCCCTCACCGCTCCCCTCACCACTCCCCTCACCGCTCCCCTCACCGAGCCAGGTGTGCCCGGTCCGCGTGGCTGAGCGGGTTGCCGTGCTTCCCCAGCAGGCGCGTGAGCAGCTTGAGGCGCGTCTGTCACAGCGGCACGTGTTAGAGCAGCGATTCTCACTCGGGGGTACGCGGACCCCTGGGGGTACGTGGCAATGTCCCAGGGGCTACGTGAGGTGATTTATTAAATGTGTGAAATTTTATATCATACGTGAGAGTCAATGGTGAAAAATCATGCATGAATCTGCCAATATAAAATAACTACGATAACATTTAAATTCATATGGTAACCTAGTAGAATGACTATAAAATACCTTTCTAAACTCATTGATCGTAAGCAATGCCATTTTCAAGAGTAACCAGCGAGAGCGTCCGTTGAATTCGTTTTTTTATTCACTTGCAGTTACTTAACTAGTTAGGATACCTCACAAAATTGACAATTGGTTAAAATATTGACGTTAATTTTTCATACATTTATTTCTCAAGACCAAGTTCGGGTCAGCCAAGTGGGTACTCAGTTGAAACAAAATTCAACAAGAGGGGTACATACAGTAGCCAAATGGGGTTGAGAACCACCGGGTTAGGCGAGCGGCGTGGCAAATGGGCGCAGCGTCGAGCGCGGGTCGCGTTGCACGAATTGTGAGTGGAGATCGCGAGGCGTCGACACGCGAGGAGGGAACGCGCCGCGATTGCCGCGGGCGGCACGAGAAGGACACTCTCAAGAATCCGTGCGCGGTTTCGCGCGAAGTCTCCTTCTCCACGCGTGGGCTTTGGTTCCCTCCCACACGACTCAAGCGTGACCCTCCTTCAATAAAAAATAATATCTCCAAGACTCGGTGACACTTCCAGGAGTCAATTCAGGTCACCATCCTTTCTGAGGCTGATTAAATTGTTACCGCTGTGAGAACTGAACAACGCTCATCCTGTGGATGGACTGCCCTCTGATGTAGGAATTTGGAATTTCTGCTGCTGGCCCAGATCTGCGAACAGGGACGAGCACCAGGACAATTTTATGTCTCTGATTTCATTCCGATGACATCCCTATCACTATTGTGGCTTGCTCTCAATGTTCTTAATAGACAACTGTAATCACAGATACTCATAGCAGTGAGTTAATTCGTTCTGAAACACGCTATTATAGTACACGAACCAAATACTTTAACGGATAAAGGATCTGCAAAATTCACGTGGCTTATGTACACCACAGTGTACACACACTAACACGTTTAACAGTGCCAAAAACAGGAAAAGATGTTCCATCAGAGCTTTAAACAGGCGACGCCCAGTTACCGTGCATGTGTTCACACGTGGGAGTAGTCAACAAGTTCATACAGCCGACGGAAAAACAGAGCCCAGGATACTGAAGTCCAAAGCTCAGCAAACATCGAAGACAGTGATACATTAAGAGCAAAATGATTGTGGAGGTAGGGGAAAATAGAATATGCATGATGAGTGAAATGAGACATCAAATTGAGACTGTAAGGGAGCCAGAGAAGGACAGAGAGACTGCGATAGCCGTGGGTACCTCCTCCTCGGGCAAGGAGACGTAGATCCTCTTGGAGAAGCGGCTATCCAAGGAAGAGCCATGGGACACAGGACACAGGCAATACCCGTCACGTAACCTCGCTTCCCACAACCCCTTCAAGCACTGGCCAATCTCTCCAGCGCCCTACCAAGCATGTTGCACTTTCACTCCTGGCTTTAGTCCTCAAAGTATCAATTTGCTATTTGAAAATCTCATTTAAAATAGTCACGGATTTTGCTAACGACCAGGCTGAGACCGTTAACTTGATATTCTTGAGAACCCGGAATAATCGCAAATGGCTAAAACCCACATTTTAAACCCACAATCTCAGCAGGCTGCGCTCGACGCATTGACATCGCTCCACTGAGCCACTCCACCACCACGGCCACCACGTACCGGAGCACAGCCTCATCCAGCTCTTGGGGCCGGTTTGTAGCTCCCATGACCAGCACGCGGTCTTCCCCAGAAGACTGCACCTAAAAACAAAAAATAACAACTGTGACAACCACCACATAGGATACATGTTCTTCGCATGATAGTCAAATTGACTGATATATATTATTTTCAGAGCTGGAATTTTACTCGAATTAACCATTTCCCGTTCCAAGACGACTGTAAGTTGCAGGGTGGGTCCCGTTCACCGCTGAATATCGGAATGTGCAAGCGGTTCAGCGTTAATTTTATTTAGAGAGGCATAGCGCCGTTGTTTTCAAAGACGTCGTACTCACCGCAAAGAACTCTAGTGACACGACCGCACTCTACAATAGCTAACGCCAAACTATGCCACACGCCCTCCCGCATAGCCTTGTGAGAGCCTCAGTACCGATAAAGTTATTTCTTTTCTTTCGGTTAAGTGCAGATCCAGAGTCAATATGATGGGGGGGGGGGGGGTTGTGCGTGGTCATTGGTGACTGGGCTGAGACCATCACCTCGCTACACCTGAGAAATCAACAGTGCCAGCTCAGCACTCTGATCTGTGAGCCATGCAGCCACCTCAATGATTATTGTACTGACCCCAGGGAGATGACAAGCTGTGTTGACCCCCAAGTGGGAGTTTGAATTCACGTCCTTCCAATTTGAGTCAACGCTGTGCCACTGGCAGCCAGCCGGATGAGCATGTGGGTGCTGATTTCATGCCGGAAGCCATACCCCATCAAACTCCACAAGGAACTCCGTCTTGAGACGCCGGCTCGCCTCATGCTCGCCCTCCCGCCGCTCACACAGTACACTGTCCACCTCATCTGCGTGGTTGCACGCACATGCCAATAGAAATACACATATATAAGCATACACGTACGAACGCAAGCCATTGCCAAATAAAATCTCAGGAAATCTAGAGGGTTGGACTGGGCCACGGGACAACTGGGCATATACAATCATGGCAACGCACAATGACGAATAACGAATCGTAACGAACGCATGTCATTCGCATCCCGGGTTTCGACTTTGCGACAAAAGGAAGGAAACGTTGATGGGATATGGTGGCATCGATGGCATTCGCCGTGATGATTTCTTGCTCAGGCACCGAGCCAGTTGAACAAAATGAAAGAGGGATCATTCTACGTGGTGAGTGAGTGGTGAGGATGCAGAATGGGGTGGAAACTGTGCAGTATAACGTGGCATGTGATGTGTGCTGCAGTATTGTCATGGATCAGGGGTGCGGGACCTATGAATATGATCGAAGGCTGCAGCTCCCTCGCCACAGAAAACAAGGCTCGCACCAGCTTCTCGCCCTCTCCCACCTGGACACGCATGAGGAGACAACGAGAATATGGCCCTGCACTGAAAGAGTGATATTTGTACAGCAGGACATTGGAGAGCTCAAGGAGGAGGATAAGATACGATGGTCAATCATTCTTTGCCACTCACAATGTGTGGGCTTGCCTCACCATTACTGTATCTATCTCTGAATCGATGATCAATTCCAGGTTAAAAATCACGCGAAATGATTCATCACTAATTCCAAAAGCTGCCGGTGTCGGAGCCCTCTCCTATATTAACATTAGCTGCCCCGCCCATCTCTAAACCTTTATCAACAGCTTGCCCTCAGAGGCTAACCTCCCTGTTCCTGATGACGACCGCTTGTGTTGCGATCGAAACGTCGTGATATTTTTATTCACTTTTTTTATTATTTTATTGTTATTTTTTCTATCAATGTGACTTTACCGAAAAAACCATAGAAGATCTAAAAGCTCACTTCCCAGTGTGCATATTTAATGAAAATGTAATATACAAGAAAAACGTAATGTGTTGGACTACACAATATATTCATTCAAGAGTATAACATAAAGTAAACATCATATCATGCTAAAAAGTTACACTTTTTTTAGAAGGCACCAGGGTTCATCCTACTGAGAAAATGGTCCTGACCATAGAAATGTGGAATGTGCATGGCCCAGAAAAGCTTAAATGGTCAGCAACAAACCAACAGTGCCATCAAAGATGTCCACAGGTGAGAGTTAACACATTTGTAGAATTGAGCAAAGTTGCCAGGTGCTTGGGAAGTCGTTTTTTTAGCGGTGACTCACATATTTGGAGGTGAGACTGGCCGCGCTTATATTGAAGAAGGTGGCGCTCGACTCGCTGGCCACAGCTTTTGCCTGAGGAAAAAACAGTGCACCCCAAGAGTGAGTTCCGCAAGAATAGAGCTCTGACGTGATGTCCTGAAGAAAGAAGCACAACACCTGAGAGCGGTGTGGATGCGACACGGCTCACCAGCATCGTCTTGCCGTTTCCTGGCGGGCCAAAGAGCAGGAGGCCTTTGGCCGGTGCGCGGAGCCCTGTGAAGAGCTGAAACACGCGCACGAGGGTGCGTGCACAACATCCAAAGACAGCGCACGCTGCATATGCGTACATTCACAATTACACCTACGCAATACGCTAAACGTCCAACGTGTTGTGCGTGCATGCACTCACCATGCACATTAACACACAAGTTTATATTCATGAATGCCTACACGTACTATTGTACAAAGATCCCCCGTGTAATCTACACGGGCTGTTGGGGCCAGTGCTGTTAGCAAGCACCTATGAAGGTCGGCACGGTGTGTGAGAGAGTGGTGTGGTCATAGCCGCATGTGAATTTGGCCCAATGAGTTCTTCCGGATTGGGAGCATCAGTGATTGTAAGTTCATTGCACTGCAAGGGCGCTTGCATATATACACTGCAACACGGTGTTGTCATGGTCAGCGCGTTGTCTTCGTATATATGAGCAGCAAGCGACGGACGAGGTGAGCGCACCTCTGGCCGTAGCGAGGGCAGGATGACGATCTCTTGCAGAGCCTGCTTGGCCAGCTCCTGCCCCGCGATGTCGTCCCACTGCACCGAGAGGACACTGCAGCACAGAGACACCCAGCGCTGATGATGCACACGGCACGAGACACGCAGCACTGATGTTGCACACGGCACGAGACACGCAGCACTGATGTTGCACACGGCACGAGACACGCAGCACTGATGTTGCACACGGCACGAGACACGCAGCACTGATGTTGCACACGGCACGAGACACGCAGCACTGATGTTGCACACGGCACGAGACACGCAGCACTGATGCTGCACACGGCACGAAACACGCAGCACTGATGCTGCACACGGCACGAGACACGCAGCACTGATGCTGCACACGGCACGAGACACGCAGCACTGATGCTGCACACGGCACGAGACACGCAGCACTGATGATGCACACGGCACGAGACACGCAGCACTGATGTTGCACACGGCACGAGACACGCAGCACTGATGTTGCACACGGCACGAGACACGCAGCACTGATGTTGCACACGGCACGAGACACGCAGCACTGATGTTGCACACGGCACGAGACACGCAGCACTGATGATGCACACGGCACGAGACACGCAGCACTGATGTTGCACACGGCACGAGACACGCAGCACTGATGTTGCACACGGCACGAGACACGCAGCACTGATGTTGCACACGGCACGAGACACGCAGCACTGATGTTGCACACGGCACGAGACACGCAGCACTGATGTTGCACACGGCACGAGACACGCAGCACTGATGATGCACACGGCACGAGACACGCAGCACTGATGTTGCACACGGCACGAGACACGCAGCACTGATGTTGCACACGGCACGAGACACGCAGCACTGATGTTGCACACGGCACGAGACACGCAGCACTGATGCTGCACACGGCACGAGACACGCAGCACTGATGTTGCACACGGCACGAGACACGCAGCACTGATGTTGCACACGGCACGAGACACGCAGTACTGATGATGCACACGGCACGAGACACGCAGCACTGATGATGCACACGGCACGAGACACGCAGCGCTGATGATGCACATGGCACGAGACACGCAGCGCTCGACGAGAGCCGGCCACCTCTGATGTGTACAGGATGCCCTCGTTGTTCACCAACTTGTTATCTGTGAATCGCATCTGGAGCTCTACACGACTAATGCATCGAGAGATGGAGAGAAAGAAAAGTGACGAGATAAAGGGATGAGAGAGAATGCGATGCGAGATAAAGTGATGAGAAAGAAAGTGATGAGAGAAAGTTATGAGATATTTTTTATGTATTTAAAAGTGTATGTATATATTTAGGGCAATATTATTATCAGCAAAATTTGCTATTCACGAGCATCTCCGGAACGCATCCCTCACGAATAAGGAGCAGTTACTGTATATCTATACACATATATATATAAGCAGCTTAGACATATTACTGGCATAAGAATGTTTCACATTACTGGAAGAGTGGAGAGTTACATCCAAATACATCATGGGACCTCCTTTGCCAGTACCAAAATATGAGAATAGGGTTTCCCCTTTTTTATGGCAACAAAACAGGTGTTAAGATGTTAAAACACCAAACTGAAACCTTTTACAAGGAATCATGTCTGCACTAACCACAATGCTTGTGGTCAGAATGCAAACAAAAACATACTCTGATAATATATGCATTGTGTTTGAAACTGATTGGTCCACACCAGAGACAGCTTTCTTTCTAACCTAGCCTCAAACGGTGTTAGACCAGAGGACGCCAACACCGTTTGAGACGAGGCTCGAAAGAAAGCTGTCTCTGGTGTGGACCAATCAGTTTCAAACACAATGCAGATATTATCAGAGTATGTTTTTTGTTTGCATTCTGACCACAAGTATTGTGGTTAATGCAGACATCATTCCTTGTAAAAAAATTCAGTTTGGTGTTTTAACATCTTAACACCTGTTTTGTTGCCAGAAAAAAGGGTAAAACCTATTAACATCAAAAACATTATTTTGAATGGCGTATTGTTTCACAACTGCTACAAACTGGGACTTTTAAAGTCCTGGGAAGATTCGACACACACAGGACTCGACGCAGAGCGCCGATGCATGGCTCGTTATTTCGCAGACCTGTCCACGATCTCATTGAGGATGAGGCTGGCCAGTTTGCTGTCCACGTTGCGCAGGTTCTTGAGTTCCATTTTGCGCGAGGGGGAAGAGAGTGGCGTGCTGCCCCGGCTGCTGGGCCGAGACGAACCCTTCACCCCAGCAGCCTGCACGTGCACAAAGACCCCCCGTGTCACCTCAACAAACTGCAGGGGCAAGTGCTATTAGTGAGCAGCACCTATGAAGGCCAGCAGAGCACACGAGGGGGTGGGTGGCCAGCACCACGCCTGGTCGCCTTTGTCTCCCTCGTGGCGATAATTGCACAAACCACCAGGTACTCATTTTGAGCTGAGTCGACCTAGAGGAGGCCCAGGACCGGTTCAGATAATCGTCACTGGTGTTGGCCGTGAGCGGGAATCCAACTCGGGTCGCCGGGTTCATGGCGAAGCGCTCTAACCGCCGCCACTCTCCACGTGCAAAGTCGGGCACAGCAGTGATGAGGGGGTCCAGACTTCTGGTTGCCAAACCAATACATCATGAGGTCGCACTCATTACAATCAAAGCGCTTACCACAAACACGGTGGTGCACGCACACAGCAAGACCCACAAACAGTGGTGGCCGATCAGTGGGTACCACAAACGAACCGCAATAGCTCGCTGATCTCGTCAGGGAGCATAAACCATCACGCGAACTCAGATCCATCCTTGCAGCGGCATTTGGCTGGCCATCGAACAAAGACGGTCACTGCATCGCGCGCTTTTTGGATGCGCTTCTGCGGTCGCCCGGAATGCTCTTCCTTTCGATATTCGCAAGCCCCTTGAGCTATGCACTTTTAAATAATCGATATTGAAAACTAATTTCTTTAGAACTGCTTTTTGTGTTGCGTTTGTTGTCCTTCCTCCGCAACTGCCATTAGCATGGTTGGCTACGCACGGCACCACGTCCCCTACACTGGGCAGTGGAAACCGACTCAAGTGCATGCTGGAGGAAGGTCTGCCTGTCTGCTCTAGGATTCTTTAGCATAACCGCTTCACAGCAGGTGGTAGGAGTTGGCCCAACAGCAGCAACAGTTTTCTTTGTCTTGGTGTGTGTCTCGCTCGGTGTGTCTCTGCATGTGTGTCTGCCTATGCTGTTTCCGTGTCTGTGTTTTATCCGTCATTCTTACCTGATGATGGCTGCTTGTGTTGCAACCGAAACGTCGTATTCTATTATTATTTGATTTTATTTTTACGTGACTTTACCGAAAGAACCAAGGAGCAACAGCAGCAGTCTTTCACAATCTCTCACACACACACACACGCACGTTTACCAGGGGCTACCACACAGTCGTTCACTTACACTTATGAGCAGTCGCCGATTAAAAATATGATATAATTACGTAGTTTATCATCTTTATCGTGAGCAGCTCTGTAATTTGTATTTGTTCACTCTTGGGGTCCGGTCACAAAAGCTCCCTAATGATGCTATGCCACTGCCCACAACGACGAGGCATGTGGAGATGGATACTTAATTACATGCCCAGGGCTGCTTACAGACACCCGTGTATAGAGTTCTATGCGAACACACGTAGATACCCATCTGCAGCACTGGAGTAGCGTGTCACACGTAAGATGGTGCTGTGGAGCAACATCACCAAGAGTGGATAGTGATAGAAACCGTAATATTCATTTTCAACAATAAGTCAGATTTCTGTTATTAAGCATATGCGGGTTGATTATTTTTTATTTATATGATTTTTTTTTTTTTATATATAAAAAAGGGGAACTAATTGTGTCAGCCGCTTGCATTAATGCGATGAGAGCAGCAGCCAATGTCTATGTTGTAGATCATTCTACGAAAGCTGCAGCTGCATGCATTCAGTACATTAATTTACGGTGGTGGCCAGGTGGTTCAGAGTTCAGAGCTCTTACCTTGGTGGTGGCTGAAAGGGCTGGCTGGCTCAGTTGGCGGTACAGCCCAGATGCGGGGCTGGGTGGCGAGCCCTGCCTGGGCAGTGGATTCACTGTCGCCGCTGCTGCTGCTGCTGCCGCCGCTGCTGCCGATGAGGTAGCCCCGGAGGGAAGGGAGAGTGGGAAAGAGGACCCAACAGGCCGCGGTAGGCCGGTCAGGTTGAGACCCCCTCCGGCGCTCCTGTGGCGCTGGTGGTTGCTGCCGGTAGGCTGGACGCAGTGGTGATGATGCGCGTGGGTCCGAGGACTGCTAGAATTCCCGGGGCCCCAGCGTGGCAGGGACTGGCTCTTGTGGGTGAGCGGATCCCTGCGTCTGGGCAGGCTTCCCACCTCTACGCAGCACCATACGGAGAGAGCACGCACGCACGCACAGTAAGGTGTGTATCATGCTAAGTCGTGCAGTGGTTAATGCGCCTGGTGGCCTGAGTTGTATTCCTGGCCATGGCTAACAGAGAGAGAGAGTGCTAACAGAGAGAGAAAGAGCACTGACAGAGCACATGGATTACCCGAGATGTCAAAGGGCAACACAGGTTCACCAAATTCCAGCTTCATTAGTGCACTGTGATCCAGTGAGAATGTTGTGTTTTACTTTTATCAATTCTATTTATTCCGGTAGCTTACTGGCTTACCTCCAATTCTGGTTTCCTTCAGTCCAGCTTCAAGAGGTGTTACTTTATACAGTGCAGGTCCCTATTATCTCAGCCTCTGACACTGTATGTATAGGTTTTTTTAAATCACATTTATGAAAGATTTTTTTCATGAATAGGCATCAGGGAATACCTATGCTGAAGGTTTCAGGGAAAATATTCTTCTAGTGTTTTTCACTCTGCGTGTTGAATGAATATGCATTAAGGTGAATGTCAAAGTTTACTAAGGCACCGCCTCTGCTTACTCATAACGTTTACCTATAAAAGGCTAATTTCATGTGTAGCTTACTAAATTATAACAGAAATTGTGGTCTCGATGTTATGTCAATTACAATTAAATTCCTCGTCGCAGTTATTCGTTTCTGCCATTTTATCCCGTTCTCTACACAACTACATCATTGACAACATAAAGCCCCTTTTTTATTCTGATTTGCATTTTAAATAATTCCGTCCATTTTCCCCTCAGGTCTTCGATGTAGGAAACAATGTGCCCCATCTGGCTTCAAAATGCTCACATTGGTTACGGTGCAGTAGCTGGCACACGATGGTGCGCCAGTGAGGTGGTGGTGGTGGAATGCGGTGCTCACCGAGAAGTTCCAGGCGGTCTTTTGCCATCACCAGGTTCGTTTTCATTTTCGCCTGCAAACGCCGCGCTCTGTCTATCTGCTCTCCTGCGCTCGCACACGGTGATCGCAATATTTACACATCTTCATACGTGCACACGAAGACAACAACAAAAATGACAAAGATCCTCCGTGTAGCCTTTCACGGATTTTTGGGACAAGTGCTGTTAGCGAACGCATATGAAGGCCGGCATGGCTCACGAGGGGGTGGGTGGCCAACACCACAACCAGGGCCAGATTAAGATTTTGTAGGCCCCTGGGCTACAGGTACTGTGAGGCCCCCAGTAAAATTTTCAAAAGGAAAACAAAGTTAAAGAAAAATCTAACTTATTTTTACAAGGCTAACAACAAATAAAATTCAGCATTCACAAGTGAAATAACTTTTCACTTCATCTCTGGAGGCCCCCTCCAGCTGGCGGAGGCCCCTGGGCTGCAGCCCCAAAGTCCCCACGCCTTAATCCGGCCCTGACCACGCCCGGCCGTCTTTGTCTCACTAGTGATGTTTCCACAACGCTTCAGGTGTTCATCACCATGAGTCAATGTTAACTAGGGTATGTTTCATTAAAGTGTGCCCCACACTAAATACTATAAACTAAATACTATAATAAGGCTGATGTGACACTTGTGTCACACCCAACAGCAAGGGGATTTTACCCCAAAGGAAATAAATACCAATAACCTTATCTGTGATGAGACAGCTGAGATTTGGGGATATATTCTGTGAAGCATCACAGACTAGCTGATCCCCACATGGATTGCGCGCCCCATGAAAAGCTTTCTCATTGATAACGGGCGCTTAGCCACAGGTATACTCCAAGGCCTCTGCTGCTGTGTTGTCTTATCAGATTGCACTGAACAATGCGCGGTGCAACATGAAAAGGTCACGGTGCAGAAAAATATGCGGTAAAACCTGAAAACACATCGGAGAGCAATATAACACTTTGTTTAGACCACATATGGTGGCGTGACACAACGTGTGTATGTTCCGCATCTATTTGTAATATGCACCCTTTTAACATGAGGTCGTGTCGGCGCCAAAGACAACATTAAAAAAACACTCGCTGTTATAGGAGAATTCTGAGTAATATAATAAATACATCTCTGAATCAACATGCCCTAACTCTGTTTGTTGTACTATGCTATGCTCCATATTGTATCCACACAATACAACATCGGCTATTAGATTAATGGCCTTCTAGAAGCCCTTGTTCAAGCGAACAAATGTACGAGTTTCCACCTGAGGTGTCGCATCAGCGGAGTCAGTTTTAGGGGATGGATAACGGTAAACATAAGCCTCGAAGAACAACAGGCTGAATATTAAATTTGTACTTGGAGATGTGGAAGATAAAGTTGATTTAGTTATTATCTGTGGGTAGAGCGGATGTACTTTTCTCATTAAAACGTGGCACGGCAGCATGGGATGTTGAAGCAGCTGCCACCTCGCCTGGGGGCAAACAGGGCAGCCGCAACACACGGGGTCTTGCCTGGAAATTCTCATTGGCTGCGGAAATGAATTATGTATTACCCATTAAAGTAATTCATTTGCTCATAATTAACTCGGCATGGCAACACCTGGGGCCGGGAGAGGCTGTGCATATGGTTTCAAACTCGCAGCCCCAAAGACTCGACAGGGCAAGAGCGCCCCCCCCACCCTTGCCAAACGTGCAGCCCAGAGGGGAAAGCTGCCGGCATTAAAGACAAATCAGGAATTGAATCTAAAGTGGTTGCGTAGATTTGAAGCGAGGATCTCAGTGGCGGTCGCCCAGTGCTATGACCTCTGACCTACCAGGTCAGCTCCGTCCGGGCAGAACCACTGTGACTGGTTAAGAGCTCATTGAGAGTGGAAGTCTCAATGAGCTCTTAACCAGTCACAGTGGTTACAGACGCAAACAAAAGCAAAAAACATCAAATCGCAAAGGCAAAAATGTCAAATTCCGTGAATAGACACTTAAATTGCGTGTGATGCAGATCAAAACATTTAAACGTCAAAAGCAACAACGCGTAAATAATGGAAGCAAAATAAATAATAAATGAGCTAGAAAGCTATGGAAAACGTTAACATCCAGATTGTTCAAATTACGGAAAATAATTACTACTGGGGTAGGCAGGCGCTGTGAACATCTTGAAACAAATCATCTAAAAGTAACGGACACTAACAAATTCATGCAAATTACTGATTGTCGTACAATTCTGTAAAAATTATTAATTGAGCTGCAGCCTTCCCAGCTGAGACAGCCACAAAAAACCCCGTGGCGACCCCCCAGGGCAGATTTATGTCTTCAGAGACCCAAGGCAAGCGGACTGAAGCCAAAGGCTTGGGAGCCACTACCGCCCTGGCCACGGCAGCGCACACAGCCCTCCCCCACATCACTCCCAAGGGGTTCCACAGACCTGAGATTACGTCACCCTGCGCTGCACATTCATTACCGTACACTGTACATCAGTGCATGTTAATATGTGTCCTCAAATAATTGGTCATAAGACAGCGGAATACGGTATTTCAAGATCCACGAATATAGTTCTGTGTTATTTCTACAACAGCAAGGATTCTGGAGACCTGCAATTTCATCATCCTCGGCATCATCTTAGAATATGTATTTACTGCAGAGAATCAAATGGTAGAGGGTGGCGTTTTTAGTGAACAGCGATCGTTCCTTTAGCAGAGATGGAGTGACAAAATCAACTCGCGTGGAGTCCCTACTGTAGGTGGATTATTGCTTTGCAAAATCGTGAGAGGTGATGACATCTTTGGGGAGGCCTTCTTCCCAGAATGGATAAATGAATGCTGAGTGTACTGTGCTGCGGCGGAACTGTCCTCGCCTCGTATGAAACATCAGCTTTGTGGAAGGCTCAGAGCCAGCATCAAAGGGCCCTGCGGTGCCCTTTGTTGAGCAATGTGCACGTGGCACACCGATTCTAGCACGAGCGAGCGGCCACGCGGAGTTTTGTCCGTGTCTTATAAATCAATCCGCTAGCATCTCTAAGTGACAAAGGTAATGCTTCTTATCAGAGAATGCAAGTTAAAATGTTACCTGTCTTATGAATATGGTCGCAGGAAGCCAGGTAAATAGAAAGATCATAAGTACAATACAATGACATTTTTTTCTGAGTCACGGTTGATGGGCAAGAACATAACTATGCCACTTTCTGTCTAGAATGTAGTACAGTCTATCTAAATGTTATTGTGCAGCATCTTCAGATGCTATGACATTTAAACAATACAAATATATGTTTTGTCATATGAATACATTAAAAATGCAGAGTAGAAGGAATACATATGCGTGACAAGAGGTGCCAAGTTGAACCACGCTCTCTTCTGGAATGGGACTCGATTGTTGTATACAAATTATCACCTTCAGGGATTTTAATTACCTCTGGATGAGTTGATATTGTTGTGGCTATTCACAGGGAAAAGTGGTATCCTGAGACAAGATCATCATTGTGAAATGTTTTTTCGTTGGTAATTCCTTATCTTTGCCTTCCTTTGGTCAAACACACACCCTTAGTTTTAGCCAGCTATGCTTATATTAAACTATACATGGATACTGCTCGATTACAAAATATGCAATACCTGAAGGTTATATGAAATTAAGACGCAACATATTTTATTCACAATATATTCTGCGTCCCTTTTAGGAGCTGAAAACCATGGCTTACAAAATCCACTGCGAGCGCTTTGCTTTGCACAAAAAGGTGACAGATTCAATCATATCAACCATATAAGAATATATTTTACTCTTTCTGGCGATGAAACAGGTGTTAAAACAACAAACATAAATCTTTTGCAAGGAATCATGTCTGCATTAACCACATATACTTGTAGTGAACATGCAAACAAAAACATGCTCTGGTAATGTATGCATTGTCTTTGAAACTGATTGGTCCACACCAGAGACCGCCTTGTTCATGGCCTAATTGAAAACTGTGTTTAACATCTTAACACCTGTCTTATTGTCAGAAAGGGTAAAAACTATTGTTATATTTTGATACTGGCCTGAAAGGTCCCACATTATCAACCAGTCAATATTTAAAAATACTACCAAAGTGTTCACTTTGAGAAAGTGCACGTGGCCAGTTTGAAATACCTACGTCCTCAAAGTTCTCAGACCAAGGACACCACAGGCCACACCCCCGAGACCACGGTCGAGGTCAAGAGCAGAGCAGGTGTCTTTAAAGCAGCCTCGGGGCCTAGAACTGGTCTTGAGTACCCTTCCTGGCTAAAGCCCAACCTTTACATTGCTCAACGTACCTTCCCCCTCGATGGAGATGCGGATTCCCTGCTCCAGCTGGGAGATGCCTCTCCTATACCACTCCACTGCCTCCTCCTTACGGCCTGGCCCAATTACAACAAGGTAAGGGAGGTCAGCATGGCATGGCAAAAACGGAGCATGGAGATAATGGGCAGAGAAGAGGGAATTGGCAAGAAAATTACATTTTGACATAGAAAATGCATAAAGAATGGGAAGTTATGGAGAAAAGTGGAACATTGAGATAATGTGGCAAGGCAGGAGACAGGAATGGAATGTTAGTAAAAGTTAGCTCACAGGAGGAGTGTAAAGAATAGATTGATAGGCGGAGACGAGATAACAAAAACGTGCATGTAAAAACGCGTAGACAGATTATCAGGAAGAGAAATTGAACATGCAAGATTGCACTATAATGCCAGTGCTGGAGAAATCCTGCATTCATATCCATGCAGTCATCTGGGATTAAAACAAGTTCTCTTGGATAACGGCTGATACAATCCCAGGCAAGGCATCAAAGGCTACGGGAAAATGCTTAATTTGGAATACTCCATGACTGAAGACAATTCGTCTAATAAGAATATGCAATAGCATCACAGTATAATGTTCTTCACAGGATTTGTATCCAAATGTAATGAACCTTGCATTACACTGATTAGGAAACCATTCACAGGCTGACGCACAAGAGGGTCACGATAATGAGTCTCAGCCCTGCAGGGTTTCCTGAGAAATAGAATGCAGCATTAAAACTGTATAAAACAGACATGTAAAATAGACCGTCACACTGCAATTCTGTGCCCTTAGGGGCCGTGAAACAAATGGATGATAGTGGAGTTTCAGCATATGAATGTGGGCAATCATGAGATCTGTATTTTCGAGATGTCCAGGAGGGAATCCAGGCAGCAGCTCACCACACTAACACTCCCCAGCACACGTTCACAACAGCAGGTGATTAGCACATTGTGCTATGACAATGACAACCGGAGTTGGATTCCTGGTCATGGCTAGCATGAGCGGCGAGTGATATCCGAACTGACTCTAGGCTGACACCTGTCCCTTCACCAACTGCCACTGACAGGAATGGTGAAGTATATTCAGAAAAACTCCATGACTGAACGGTGTCACGTGACCTCCATCCAGCAGTGGATTGACAAAGGGCTGTCAATTTTATGTACAGATATACATCACCTTTTATTCAGTTTAAATGAGGTTCTGCTGTCAAGACACTGGCATAGCCGATTGAGAGTAATGATGCAGTGGAGTGTCCAGCATGTGAACCATTGTGGGGTGTTATTCTGCCATCACGTGCTCGAGATACACTCCAACATGGTGTCACAGTGTGAGGTCATCTGGTAGTCCATTTTACCTAAGTGGTCGTTGTCAGAGTCAATTTCAGTTTTACACGTGTTCATGTCTACTCGCTACTGTATGCTTAAGATGCAATACAGTCTAATATATTGTTAATAACAAGCCTACACTGCTTACATCCATTTCCACACCTCCGATTAGCAGGGTTGGCTACACATGGTGCGAAATAAGTTCAACATACATGCATTCAGTCACCTGTGATTAACCAAAGTTGAGATTAAATCACCTGAGATGAAATCAAGATATCATCTGTCGTAGGTCAACAACTTCAGTGCATTCATCACGTAAAATGTAAATTTTCACTTAATTTATCTAAGATTAATTATCGCAACTTTAATAACACAATGGTGGCATAACCAACTTCAGTAAAAAAAACTACGTAAAATGACGCGCTATATGGTGGTTGATTGGGTGTAGTTCTTTGGGTCATCATCATCCTCAGGGACGTGCTGTGGTGGAGCAGACGTGGAATCCAGAGCGGTTGCTTTGCAATGTGACCTAATCTTGACATCTGGATTATGATATGAATGTAAACATAACTGTAAGCTTCTTGAGACAAAAAGGATGAGTTTTGCTTAAAATGCAACACTCGAAATCCACTGATCTACACACCAAGATGTGGGGAATTTGTTAAATGTCAGTTCGCTCATGTGGATTATTGTCTTTACCTGCCCAAACAGATGTAACCCCCCAACTAAACGTGTATCGGTGCAATTGAGCAATCAGACATCGAGGGCTACTCTGCTCATGTAGCTCAGTACACAATTTCAGACACTCAGCACCTACTCTTTCTCATGACACTGCTCGCACAATCTTGATTGATATCTCTGCAAATACGTTATAATCGGTATCTATTTACGACACACAATGCAAGTGCATTCTGAGAGTGTCCAGAACACATGAAATGAAAAACAATTAACAGGGCTCGGGGTTTAAGTGCCTAGTTCAATTTCGCTGAATCAACTCATTCCTAGAGGGCTGTTTCATCTTAAGGAAACACTGCCACAGCAACGCGCACAGTATGCAGGTTACGTAATGGGCTACACGGGAACACATATGGGAACACCCATCATCGTTCATCATCAAAATGCACACCCACCATATTTTATAGCGAGTCTCAACCTACGCACCACTCCCACCTCACTTCAATAACTGAACATTTCAACTGATCCCCAAAATCACAGATTGAACCTTGCTATCACCGAACCGCAGAAATTAGACACCTCACTTATCCACAATGCCTCACAGCCACACAATGTCCACCACCTGACTCGGTCCATTTTCACAATACCCAACACCTTACACGAATTCGAAACTCAATGTACAGCACCATCACACAAACCGCCAGACACGTACACCAATACCTAACGCTGTGCTTCAACCCGCCAAATCTCGATGTGCAATTTTTTGGACCCCTGTACTCGTTCCCGGCAATATTGCTACTATATTTTTATTAAATTTTTGTTGCTGTTGTGCTCACGCACCACGGATCCCCCTTGTAAAATCACCGGACAACTGGCTGGGACCATGTCTGTTACAAATCAAATAAACTCAAACTTGGTTTAACCACAAGCTTGTTCTCTTCGCACCCATGCCGAGAGATATCAAACCATGCCCAGCCCTGCTGCCGCTCGGCCACACGACTTCATGACCCACTGCGACCCACCTTTGTCTTCCTCGTCAATCTTGAGCGCAGCCGAGATGCACTCGAACGCGTTTTTGTGGTGGGCATGCAGGCGCTGGGTGGCGTCTTCGGGCCCCTGCCCCTGCTGGCGCTGCTCCCTCTGCCCATCATGGGCCTGCCCTTCCTCTGCCTGCCCCTGCTCCGCCTGCCCTTCGGGTTGCGGCTCGGCACGCCGTGCGTGCAGGTCGCTCAGGCGCTCGCACACGTAGGCGATGAGCAGCCACAGATGGAAGGCGAGGAACCTGAGCACTCCGAACACAGCGAGCAGCGGGTACGAGAAGTTGTGGAGGTTGCGCTTGTGCAGGGACACCCTGTCGGGCTTGGAGCCGCTCCCGACGCTTCCACCTCCTCCTCCACCACTGCTGCCCGTGCTCCCCCCGGTGGCCCCGGTGGCCCCGGTTCGGCTCGGCCGGTGCGGCCCCTTCCTCTTTTTGTTTCCCTTGCCGGCGGCCGAGGGATGCATTCACTCGGCGGGGTGGGCAGGCTCGGGCATAACACTTCCACTGCGCCGGGAAGGCAGTGGACAAAGAAAAGCCCAGCACAATACAATGGGCGAGCGTGTAATGAGCAGCAGTGGGCAGCAGCAGAAGGCTGCGGACAGTAAGCGGCTGCAGTGTCTGGGGGCAGCGGACCTGGCTCAGCACCGCGGACAGCAGCTCCACAGGGCAGGCGGGCGAGTCCATTCGCTTCCGGGGGTTGGGGGGGGAGTCTTAGTGGTCGCTGCTATAGCTCATGGAACAAAATACTGTAATCTCCCGAAGAAAACCCGTGATGAGAAATACACACCCCCGTCACATGTATTGGCATGACCCGAGCCAATAATGGGGTTTTATTGTTGTTGTTTATGATGACGCAATTATATTTGATGATATCACATTATTGATTTTAATGTTTGAATTGTGCACGCGTTCCAAAAGTAAAGAGCCGTATCTTAAACATAAATCAGTAATACAATAATATAAAATGTCGAATATCACTCCGCATAACCAATACAGTGTATGCATTTAGAATTACAGGAAATAAATTATTAATAACACTGTTTGCACGTGTGAACAAACGTTAAAATACATGTAATTAAAGGCGTATTATTGATTTACATTTGCTCGTATAATGTATCGCCTGTACATGAGCCCACGAAGACTGTTTGCGCACCCTCTTGCGGCTGGGCCAACGTTGGTCCAACCACATGCCAACGTTCACCCAAAGTGTTTATGTTTACTCGACAATACAAGAGTGTAAATTCCGACTTCAAATTGTGAGGGCCATGTGTAATAAGGCATGACCAAGAGATGTATCCTGAAAATCATTCGGTTGAAATAATTAAAGCTAATGTAGCGCCTTTCATAAAATCTCGAGCCAATTCTCATAAATGGGGGTGGGGGGGGGGGGCTGAGTTAAAATAGCAAATGCCTTCTGAAAGAGAAATGTGTTTAGGCAGGACGTAAAGATCCCGACCGAACCGAATTCTCTGACAGCCTTCGGCAGAGAATTCCACAATCTGCAGGTGCCACAGAAGTGGAGGCCAGATCGCCCATGGACTTGAGGATCAATCTGAGGATACAGAGGAGATCCAAGTCCACCGACATCAGAGTTATTGCTGGAACGTAGGGACGCATGCAGCAACTCCCAAATATGTGGAGGTGCTCTAGACCAATTTCTCGACCACATCAATTCCATACACCCAGCCATCAGATTCACCATGGAAGTCGAAAATGATGGCAAGCTACCCTTTTTGGATGTCCTAATCAAAAGGAGACCTGATGGTTCAATGAGCCACTCTGTCTACAGGAAAGCCACCCACACGGATGCTTATCTAAAACCGGATTCCCACCACCATCCATCCCAGAAGAATTCCCTCATCAAGACTCTATATCATAGAGCCCAATGCATCTCCGACCATGAACACATTTCCAGTGAACTCAAACACGTACGCCAAGCTCTTAAGGCTAATGGTTACTCCGACTACACAATCCGCAAAGCCATCACTCAAACCATCAAGAAGGATCCTGTTGATGAGCCTTTCAAGACCATCACCTTACCCTACATTGCTGGGGTCACAAAAAAGATCTCCAAAATCCTGATTAAACACAAGATCCAGGTCCGATTCAACACAGTACATAAAATTCGTGATCTGGTACCGTCTGTAAAAGATGTGGTTCCAGACATACAGTACCCTGGTGTCTACAAACTAAGTTGCCTCTGTGGTAGCAGTTACATTGGGGAAACCAAACGACATGTCTCGGACCGCATCCGTGAACATAAAGCTGACCTGAAACACGGTAGGACAAACACCTCAGCCGTGGCAGATCACTGTTACAACTCAGTGGGCTCACATGACATTGACTTCTCCAAGACAGAGGTTCTCTGCAAGCCATCTGGCTATCATGAGAGATTCGTTCATGAGGCGATCCACATATACAAACAGAGAGACAATTTTAACCGAGAAGATGGATTCTGGCTTAGCAATCACTGGAAGGACGTAATAAACCATTTTGATACACATTAGGGTGGGTAGAATAATACATAGTGTTATATTAAAATGTATAAGGTATAGGGTGGTTTATAGCAATACAGTATGTAATTTAATGTTGGGTTTGCCTATGGCAGTATATAGTACGGTATAGACGCGTGTGATGTAAGAGAATAAAGTTTAGATGGAAGCATATTATATAATTTTTTACAACGTAGAAATTTTTTTATGTATTACTTACTGTTATTGTAGAGTATAGTAAATATACTGATGATGCTATGTAGTTTATACTTTAGTTTGTTATGCAGTTTATACTTTAGTTTTTTACGTGGTTGTTTAGTAACTGCAGCTACATACTATTAACATTCCTTTCCTTTGTTAATGCTACCCCCTCCCCCCCCCCCTTTGATGCTGCTAATCCTGCATAATGCACGGGCATAGTATTGATTTGGAACCCCCCCCGCCCACCTCCTACGCATTTTCCATATGCTGAATTCCTCTTGATATGCAAATTATTTTGTTTAGGCGCTCTTCTTCCCACCTCCCCCCCTCTAATCCAGCTTAAATATACGCTCCAAGCTTGGTGGTGCTTCATTCTTCGCCTGAGGACGGCTGCTTGCGTTGTGGCCGAAACGTCGTGAGAATTGTTTTATTATGTTTTATTTTTATTATTTTATTACTTCCCTTCTACGTGACTTTACCGAAAGAACCAAGAAGAGGTTCGAGATCATTCAGGGCCTCGAATGTGAGGACCTTGAATTCAATCCTGAATTTGAGCGGAAACCAGTGAAGGTGAAGTAATAGCGGGTTTTTTAGTTAGATCGTGTAAGTATAAATGTGTCGTTAATGTAGTTATATAAATTACAGTGGATATCTATATTATTGGCTGGGTTATTCACAGTTCATTAACATGTACGTTATGTATGTACATCCTTCCGTTTGCATCACAGTGAAGTGATGCAGGAATGTTCGGTTACGCATAAACGTACACATAAACAACTCGCTCACAGCACTTGGCCCATCAGTCTTTTGAATGCTATGGAGGATATTTGTATTTTGTGTGTAACCGTGTGAGGGGTGAGCGGTGGCGCTGTGGTCAGGGCAATCAAAGACAAAAGAGGCAAACATCAAGAGAGAGGTCGCGTAGAGACAGGGAAACAGAGAGACAAAGAAACGGAGTAATTTTTTTAGAGATATGGAGACGTAAACACATAGACTGGGAGATTATAGACAGAGCAATGGAGACAGACTCTGAGAGATACTGTGCGTTAACTGGGTACAACCACATGCGTTCGGGGCTAATCCGACTGCGACGTGGGTCACCGCGATGCCTTCAATCGAAGCCGGTAGTATTACATCTTGACTCCGTCACGTCGAAGCGGGGGGCCCCCCATAGCGCGGGTCCGGGGCGGTCGCCCTGATTCGCCCGACCCTGGGGACGGCTCTGCTGCTGAGTCATGATGAGGAGGAAACCGGTCGATACAGTTCTCTCTCTATCACTGCCGCACGTCAGCCGGTCGCTCACGTCGGCCTGAAACGAACCCGATGGTAACCTGATACAAAAAAGTATATTACAGTTCTTCAGGAACTGTTGATGTTTTTTTGCATCGTGCACAGAGGGTGAATATGCATGCTGCATGACAAGCCACTCCGTTGAGCCATCATTTGTGACCAGGTCGCTTCTAAAAAAAGAGGCTATTAAGTTCAGTGCGCTGTACCTGGTAAAATACAAAATAAACAAATTGATTTGCTTACCTTCACTACACTTTGCCCTCCTATCGTGTTTTTGTTAGTCTCGTTTGTTGCTCCAGCCGTCTGACTCCGTGCCTCTACTGGACATCTGTGAAATTAAAAAGAGCTTCACAGCTCATCGGATTCCTGCTCCTCCTGCTCCTCCTCGTGCTGCTGCTGCGGTCGAGATCGCGAACAGTCACGAGGGGCGTGACGCGTCTCGGTCACGTGACGCGTCTCGGTCACGTGACCGCAGCGAGGCTCGGCGAGAGGAAGCGAGAGTGGCGGTGTTTGTGTTGGTGGTGTAAAGGAGGTCTCATAGTGCTGCTGTTGTTGTTGTTGTTGGGGATCCCTCTCCTCGCTCGCCTCCCGTCTCCTCGCCGACAGCCACGGGAGACAACAGCGAGGGGACACGCGGAGAGTCATGGGGCACGCGGCGCGGATGATGGAGTTTGTGGTGGCGCTGCTGCTGCTCGTGGCGGTGGATGTGAGCGGGGCCGCGGCGGCCCCCGAGCTCGCCTCGGCTGTGTGGGACTCCCAGCGCGGCCTCGCCGTGGTGCGAGGCATCGATCCGGGGGCCCTGGCCTGGGCCAACTTCACTGACAGAATCTCCAGCACGGGGTGCGTGTGGCATCATCACCATCAACAACATTGACACTGACATAATTTAGTCCATTACCGTCAGAGTCATCACCACGCATGTCATTTTTGTAGCCGTCATCAACAATACCATCAACATCACTCATCATTGATACCGTCATCACAGCCATCGGCACACACATCACGATTGCAACTACATATACTCACAAACATTACCATCATTGTTACAAGTTTGACCAATACAGCCGTTATCATCAAGGTCGTCATTATCATACAAGACACATGGATTTATATTACGTCTAAAATATACCGTATCTTAATACGCTGTGCAAAACACTGAGAGATGGGCACCATTAGGAAAGGAAACCGTCAGAGACAATGAGGAAGCTCAGCCATCAACCATCACGTGGTCACCAACACCATCATAAGCACGAGGCATCATGACAGCTACTTGCAGTCCCTCCAGAAAAACGCGGAGTTTTTTGGTGATTGTTGCGGGCAAAAATCGTTGATTATGCGGCACGTTTTCTTAAAAAATGCGATGGAATATGCGGGATATTTATGCAATTTTATGCGATTAAATTGCGGGAACTTGCAAAAATTGCGGGAACTTGCAAAAACTGCGGTTTGATGAAAAAGAGAAAAAAAAGTGATTCCCCCAACACCCTATTCACTAGGCTACTACTTTAATGTAAAGAGTCATTTCTTATTACTTCCTATGATAAGCAAGCATACTACATCACAGAAAGTGCTGGGAATATTTAAGTTCTCATCTTGTTTTATTTCAGACCTTAACAAACAGATGGCTCAAACTTATAAAACATTGAGTCGAACTAGTTCTGTAGCTTTACAAAATGAATATGCTACAACTTCTGTAAAAATGAATAAATAAAATATTAAAAAATAAAATGTGTGCTTCCTGTTTTACAGAGGTAGCTATACAAAACAGACATCTTCTGTTAAAATAAGTGTTTTCAGTGCACAGTAACGTAAGCAATACAGTAACAGTACAGTCTTACAGTAATGTAAATTTACATACTACTAACAAAAAAGTGCAATCTTACAACTGTAAAGTTGCATAAACTCCTGAATAAAACTAACTACGTAGCCTCTAACACTGGCCAATCATTCACCATCCTCATCCTCCATCCCCTCTCCCTCAGTGTCCATCTCCTCCCCCTCCACCATCTCCTTTCTCTCAAATGCTCCACTGCGGACTCGTTGGTTATTATGGTAAAGGAAGACCAAGGCTTTGAGGTTTTGGTTGGTAGTTGATCTTCTTCGGTTAGACAACACTAGTTTGTAGATGCTGTTGCTGCGTTCAGCATCAGCTGAGTTTGAGACAGCATCTTTGTACCGCTTGGCCAAGGAACTCAGCACAGGAAGTCTCTCCTGTAGGCCATCCCAAAACACATCCAAATATATGTGACTTTTTGCAACGAAAATGCGGGGATTATGAAATCATGCAAGCCCGCATATTTTGCGCGCGGAAATCTGCAATTTATGCGGCGAAAGTGCGGCGTATTTGAAAAAACGCGCCCCCCGCATAAATATGCGGACTTTGTCTGATTTTGCATGGAATCATGCGATCGCATAATCGCGTTTTTCTGGAGGGACTGTACTTGACTCTCATCAGCATAGCCATCATAAGCCATTATCATTATCATCGTCGTCACTATTGTCATCATCACTGAAATGTCGTGTGATATTGTAAATAAGTGGATGTTTCTCATCCAGATTTGAAGCTTTCGTGACTGCAATGATTCATATTCTTAGGTTTTTTCGGTAAAGTCACTTAGGTAAAAACATTAAAAAGTAAAATAAAATAAAAATCACGACGTTTCGGAGGCAACACAAGCTTCCGTCTTCAGGTGGTACCGTCACAGCCACGACAGCTGTATCAAGTAAATGAGAGATTGCAGGCGCTACCACTCCGTTTATATAATGGTTCGGAGAAGGTGGTGGGGCAAGGGCCGCATACTTTTTATTAATATGGTAAGGTGAGGCTTAAGACTAAGAATAGACTGCATAACAAAGGCTGAGCCTTTGTTATGGAGAGGTGCGGTTTGTGACTCAATCTGTAACAGGGAGACCACCACTAAACATGGTAAAACTGTGATGGTTGTCTGTCAAATAAGATTGGCAAATAAGTGTAGTTAAATCTTTTTTGCATGGTTAATCACATCTTTCCAATGATTACTCAGTTTGTAACCGTCATCACGGTTGAAATTATGTCTGTGTTTGTATATTTGTATGGCTTCGTGTACAAATATGTTTCTCAGCTCTCAACTCCAAAGTGCAGAGTCGAGCCAACTCATCATACCTGAAAAGTCGATACAATATCACTTTGTGGGTAGTCAAGTGGTGGGCTTATGAAGAGTCTGCCGCCTTCCAAGAGAATGTGGAATTGTCACCACTGGCTGAGGGCCACGAAGATTCGCACCGCTTATCATTTGTCTGAGTGGACACGCTGCAAATATTTGAATAATTCCAAGGCAATAGACCAAACGGGCAGGATTTGAGAAGTAAGAATTGCTGACAGCGATGTCTTCAGCTGTAAACATTTACAGGACAGACTGCAGTCTAAGCGAGATCACGCGGCTCTTCTCTGATCTTTGTTTTGCAGCTGGTCTCACCTGACTCTTGCCACAAATGAGAAGTATGACGACGCCTTACAAGCCTACGCTGCCGGTGTGCTGGAGGCCAACGTGACGAGCAAGGTCCAGCACGTACACAATATACAAAGACCCTCTTATCATACTACAGACTGTGCAAGTTCTGTTCTTATCAGGAACTAACTTTAGGCTGAACCATCGTAGGGGAGGCGCACAACTGGCTCAGATATCACTTGTGACTAATGTTAGCCATATCCGGGAATCTAACTTAGTGAAGTGCTTGAACCACTACACCACCGCTCCCCACACGTACACACATGGGTGCACAAACAGACCAAAGACCGATGCTCATGGATTCACAATCGCCTTATCTGCCTGCATGCAATATTCATATCATAGTATTTGCCCCCTTTTTATATGTGTGCACCAAATAGCAAATTTACTTTCAAACTGGGAATACAGCTGAGTAGCCTGGGGTTTTAAGGAGGAATTGGAAAAGCCCATTGACTCGTGAAGCAAACTACCAGCCTTCCTGATCGTCTCTCTGCCCTCACATCTCAGTGCTGTGATTGTCTCCACCTCTCTCCATGTGGTTTGGTGCTCATAGCAGGCTTTCTGTGGTTTATGTGGTTTATAACATTACATGTCATATTCTGCAGTAGGAATTGCATATTTATGATACAAATGGTTTACTTCAATGTAGATTCTTTGACCTGTTTTGGTTCGAACATTCCATCAACTGGATCAATTTAAAGATCGCACTCACTATCTTAAAGCTCCTCCATGGACTCGTCTTGCTACTTTCCTCTTATCTCACTCTACTCCTCACCATGCACCTTTGCTGAAGCAACCGTGGCTTTCTGTAGAAGCCCTCACTCAACTTTCACTCAGTGAAAGGTCACTCATTCTTATTTGCTGACCCAAATAACTCCCTTCCCAAAACCATCAGTGCTGTCAACTCCCCGCCCCTGGTCCAAGTCCAGGCTTAAGGCCATTTTTCCTCTGCCTATAACTGACTGCTCCTCTATATACAGTAATGTGCTCCCTATTTCTGTACACGGTCTTGAGATGTAGTCACATTTTTTATGCTATATAAATCCAAATTGTATTCTGTTTATACGGATTCCACTGTATTATGTTTATAATTATGATGCAGGTCATAGACTTCAATTCCGCTTTCGAAACAAATTACTCCATGACATTTGGCAGCTTTTGACATGTACTCGTTAAATATATAACTTGCGTGCGTGTGCATGGTCGGTTGAATGGATGCTGCAGTACATTAAGCTGCAATGGCAGAACACGATGGAAGGATATTGTGCCAAGGGCCCGCAGGAGTCGGCCTACTGTGGCAGGCTGGAGGGCTTCCTCAAGGACAACCTCGACTGGATGAATGCACAGATCGAAGCAGAGCCAGAGAATCCACTTTGGCACCAGGTGATGTTTGTGAAATGTAGTGATGTTAAATACACTGCAGTTATCATGGCTGTACTATGAGTGGGACTCTTATGAGGTACAATAGAAAATGGTTTATGTTTTCACGCATCAAATTTAAATAATGTTCAATAGAAGGCATGCTTCTGTAAAAATGACACGTGTACTTATTCATCTGCAACGCAGACCTGGGGACTTGATGAGATAGCTTACCATACTTCACCATGCTGCTCAGTGTGAGTTGCTGCAGTGTGTCCAGGACCAGTTCATATGTCTCGAGCCATCGGGTTCATAGTACAGTGCACTAGCCAATGCATCACCACTTAATCCTCTTTTATTCATCACTTTTTTTGTGACTTTAATTGCATTGATAATTTGCTACTAATTAAAATTGTTTTTACAATATGAGCAAATATATTTTGTTGGTAAAAAATTTATTTTATATTTATATTTTAAAACATTACCCTAAATTGGATCGTCCGTTTACATTTGTTTAGTGTGATTTACAGTTGAAACCACTACACATGTGTGTAGTGTGATTAATAGTTGACACACCACTACACGTGTGAACAATGAACGCATACAAGCCAGGCAGTTGGATAATGTTAGAGATGTAACAAAACTATTCACCAGTTAATCAGTCAGATTAAATAACATTTGTTACCGATTTTGACACGTATTCAGGAGACTCAACATATTTAATCTATTCATGAACTTATGATACTGGGGAATATGAACCGATAGTTTAGAAATGATTTTCCGGTGATGTCATCAATGTGCCACCTTGTTGCCTGACAAGTTGAGAGCTCACATACACGGTGACATATTGCTTAATTCACCAACCGTGCCTTACAGCCACTGGATTACAGGCATCTGCCATCATATTCCCAGCTTGAAATAAGGGTTTAGTTCGCACATTTGTTTACAGGAGTAATTCTTCATGCAGTCACTTACCAGGTTGTACATTCAGCTTCTATCAATCACCCTAGTGTTACTCATATACACCTTGGTACTGCCCTGTCCCTTGTCATTACTTATGTTCCCAGGTGCGGCTGGCCTTACTGCAGTTCAAGGGCATCGAGGATGGCATGAGTGGGAATATCACCCTCCCCACCGGGAGGATAGACATCTCTCCCTTTGGATTCTAGTATGTAAACTCATCCGGCGATATAGCCATTCCTGAATTCATCTCTTTCTTGGACTACACTCAACCAAAGCCTTTCCAGGGTAGATGGCCGCATTGCGTAGAAACATGCATAGCTAATTCGAGAATACTACAGATGCTTTGCTCCTACATCTTGGAAAAAATATATTCTTCCTCTGGTCCTGCTGCAGGAGTCTTCATGCACTGGAAATAAAGGCTGCTTGAACAAGCAAAATAAATCACCTACCCTGACTTAGTTTGGCCAGCTTACTGAATGAAGCTCTTTAGGATAGTAAGGTCGATGACAGGCACTTTCACCTTCTTTGAGCTATAGCATAGAGGTGGGATCAGTCATCTAGACTGGATAAACAAACTGGCCTGGCTATCTTAGGTTTACCAAACATTGAATTTGTGGCCATCAACCCACAAGAGGTACTGGGACTCAATACTGATGCATACGTTTTTTTTTTAATTCACCTACATATCGACCACACAATCACACTGTCTTCAATAGAGATTGTGACCTTTCTCCCACTCACGTGTTCTTACAAAATATTGTCAAAGTGATATTAATAAGTTAATTCAGACAATGCGAGTTGGTTACTAACCTAAGACAATTATATGTTTCATCTTCTTGGTTCTGAGGACGGCTGCTTGCGTTGTGGCCGAAACGTCGTGAGAATTATTTTATTATGTTTTATTTTTATAATTTTATTATTTTCCTTCTACGTGACTTTACCGAAAGAACCAAGAAGATGAATCCCTGCAGTCACGAAAGCTTTAAATCGAAAATCAAAATTATATGTTTATTAAACTATAAGCATTTACATATGTTTTACAATCACTGCTGCACACATTTGAAAATGGAATGAGGCATTAAGAGATATGAGAATCAGAATCTTTATTTAGACTACTGGAAGAATCCAGTGAGCTATGAAGCTCTTTTTCACGGATGTTGAGTAGTAGTCCATTATACTGACGCAGTTATTTTGGTTTTAAATCAAAATGTGTTTTTACTGAATTATGGTATTCAGGTGAACATGGTAAGCATGTGAATATGGTATTGACGGGAATATATTGAAACATTTAAACTATTGTATTTGTTTTTGTCCATACAGCTTGGGCCAAATTGCCACCGATTTGGGAGATTTGGAGCAAGTTCTCAACAAGACTGCCGCGACGCAGAATCCTGCCTCTGGAATGGAATATGAGCGTCGTGGTCCGGTGGGGAAGGGCCACTGCTCCGCCCTGATCAGGCTACTGCCAGACGGACAGGACTTGCTGACGTCACATGTGACTTGGGGGGCCTACCAGAGCATGCTGAGGATCGTTAAGAATTACCAACTTGCGTTTCACACTACACCCAAGGGTACGCATGCGTGGACACGCACATGTATAGTTGCAAACGTATCTCGGTAAACTTTGTTTAGAGAGCATAATTGAAAGTAAGACGTGCCATGATTTTATGCCACGTCTTGTGTGTGTACTTAATGAAATATTGGGGTGACTCTCATCTTTATTGATGGGCATGAGCCAGTAGTGAACATTCCCCATTCCCATAATACGGGCCAGAATGTATATAGTTTCTTCACAGTTGATTACCACAAAAGATTTTAACTCGCCATCTTCCAATTTTGTTGCATGTTCTAACAACAGCTGTGGTCATACAAATGTGAGTTCACTCTACATTGAGAGATTTTGTACCAGTCACTTTTTTTTGCAGAACTCATAGTGGTCTGTATTACATTTTCCGTCTAACAAATAAACATTGATTTATTTAAAAAATTGGAATCTTGCATCCCTGTCGTGTTAAGCAAGTTTTCAGCTGATTCGGGCCTCTCTCTGATACCGTTTCAGGTCAGCAGGTGATCCCTGGCCACGAGCAAGCCTTCAGCTCCTACCCTGGTGTCACCTTCTCCATCGATGATTTTTACATCCTAAGCAGTGGACTGGTGTGTGCCTCTAGACATTCACATGTACAGATATATGCCAGTAAATATTTGACATGGCGACCTTTCCAGTGTATGCTGGGTATCTGAAAGAACTACTGAAAAGTCTGACATATATGGAGAGGTGCATAGCAACATGTACAAGCGTGCATGCATATTAGAATGTAGGGTTTATCCGGTTTTTCCCTCCACATTATAAATATGCGTTTAGAGTATTTGGCTGCTATAAATTACCACGTGATAAGCCACTTCGTTGAGTTATAATTTGTGGCGAGGTTGCTTCTAAAAAATAACTATATAGCTCAGTGGGCCCTACCTGGTAAAATAAAAAAAATAGTTCAATCAGTATGCACATGCATTCGCAGCATATTAAAGATAGCTTTTTAAACGTTTTGCTTGGATTTTTGCTGTAAGTATCCACTCATTGTTATCTATTAAAGGTCTGCGGGTAATTCACAGTATAGTTCCACACGTGTTCACGTGCGCAGGTTGTGCTGGAGACTACTATTGAAAACAACAACCCTGAGCTGTGGCACCTAGTCCAGCCAAAGGGGCAACTTTTGGAGTGGTTGCGTAACGTGGTGGCCAACCGACTGGCGACGTCTGGCCAACATTGGGCAGAAACATTCAGACAGCACAATAGCGGCACGTAAGTGAATGCACTGAAGCATGTCTACATGTGTGTATTTAGTAGAGGCAGGGTTGTGCACATTAGTGCACTGCATTAGGCTTCAGAAGTGGCTTGGTGATTTAAGAGTTGGAGCACTGAGCCGGTACTGCTGAAATCGAGTGTTGAAATCCGTGCAGCCACTTGCAATTACACCTGGAATGGAATATTTTCCTAGAATGTTACGGTAGCAATTCTAAAGGAGCATTCTGATAATTGGGAACATTCTGAAACATAATTCTTAAGATGAAAGTTGTCTGTCTGGTGTATGGGCCCATATTTGTTAGCAGTCCTGAGCCATTGGAAATTCCATAGTCCCATGGAGGTGATCAGTCTCTTCATAGGACAACTGCTTTTGACTTCCCATGAAGTAGTACTTAATTGATCAACCCCAGAGAGATGATAGGTTGAGTCATCCTCCTACTGAGATTTTAACTCTTAAACATCGTTTTGAAACAAGTGTGTTGCAGCAACACCTGGATGAATTCCGATGTATTTATGTATTAAATGTAGCATAAACATATAAATAATGGCTCTATTTTAAACGTTATCTTTTTGAAAGTTGGATAAGAGACTCATATAATGATTTCATTATGGCATTCATTGTCTATATACGTCGCAACGTATAAACTGCTGTGAGCATATACCGTGTAAAAAGGTCTTCAGATGTATTTCATACTTATCACAAAAATGCTGAGCTCCATTGAAACACAATACGTGTAATAAAATGTTTATATGCCCGTTTAATTACAGAATTCAATTGAAAACTATTGTAAATCATCCAATTAATGTGGCGTGTTTTATAATGTTGGTACAGTAATTTGAACACAGTAAAGCGTGTAATGAGGTTCCTTGTGGCATGCTATTAAATCACTAAAATACAAGCCGCCCTCCGTTATCTCAATTTGATTTACCAAACGCTATCAAAAATGTAATATGTTTTATAGACACGACTGTATGTTATGGGGACCTCATTTGCCAGTAAAAATATGATAATTGGTTCTTTACCCTTCTATCTGGCAACAAAACTGACACCTTTTTGCAAGGAGTCATGTTTGCATAGACCGCAATACCTGCAGTCATAATACAAACAAAAGAACATAACTCTGATAATGTGCACTGTCCTTGAAGTTGATTGGTCCACACCCGAGACAGCTTTCCTTCGAGCCTAGTCTCATATGGGTTGGACCAGATGACGCCAAAAGGCGCACTTTTGGCGTCATCTGGTGCGCCTTTTGGCGTCATCTGGTCCAACCCATATGAGACTAGGCTCGAAGGAAAGCTGTCTCGGGTGTGGACCAATCAACTTCAAGGACAGTGCACATTATCAGAGTTATGTTCTTTTGTTTGTATTATGACTGCAGGTATTGCGGTCTATGCAAACATGACTCCTTGCAAAAAGGTGTCAGTTTTGTTGCCAGATAGAAGGGTAAAGAACCAATTATCACGACTGTATGTTTCAATCTGTAAATGAGCACTTGGAAAAACTGTAATGTTAATTCACGGTGTTTCCAAGCGCACACAGGGAGTGGGTTATCATTTATATACGAGCCTGGCGTGTACTTGATTCTGGTAAGAACCACGTACCAGTCGCACGACCGTGAATGGCTGTGAATAATTATAGTCAAACAAGCAATGGGGCTGCATTCACCACCACTGGCAGGCCAGAACAGGTGGCGGTGAGTGACGTTCCACAGTGGTACTCCTTTAGATGGCCCCAAAGACTTGGGCTTCATTGATTCCCAGTCGGAGTTAAATTTGTAACATTCCACATGTACGTCTTGCGGACAGAGCTAACGATTCAGATATAAATGCTTGTGTCAAATATTCAGCCAGGCCTTAGCAAAGACTGAAAATCGACTGTTCTAGTCTCATGTCAGGCTGTTGGAACAAAAGTGTTTGAGTCTATTAATCCATTTTGCACAACTACAGAGCATTGATTATGATATATTATTGTTTTTCAGGTACAACAATGAGTGGATGGTTGTTGACTACAAGCGTTTTGCTACTGGATCATCAAAATCGAGAAGTGGAATCTTGACCGTACTTGAACAGATGCCGTCAGTAACCTTTTATTTATGTTTACTCAAACCAGTGCTACGCTTGTCTTATGGGGACTTGCCCCTGCCATGAGAAGTAGAATTTCCACAGTGACTCGGGCCACCAAGAAATATTTTAACCACCTCTTTGCTCTTTTGCTTTGAGAGATGTTTTTTTTCAATTGACAAATACATAAGGGGATTAAATAATAGCACGCCGTTTATCCTCACTTTGAACCCAGCTCAGAGCCATAGCCCTTTCTCTCGAATGGAAATGCACTGGAGAATATTCCATGCCATCTCGACTTTGCTTTAATAGCACCCAGGCAATATTCCTGTCAAGGCAAGATGGATGAACATATTATAAGTCATTGTGCTGAATACCAAAGCCTCGCACATAATCCTGTATGGTCTGCATGTGTGTGCTCCACAGGGGCCTGGTGGTGTCATCAGACCTGACGGATGTCCTTTACAAAGAACAATACTGGGCTAGCTACAACATCCCGTGAGCACACGCATGCCATAACCCGCCCTCTTTCTGGCCGGATATAGAGTACAGAGCTACTGCTTAAATGCTTCATTATGCATGGATTTTCTTAATACCTTACGTAATTTTAAGATCTACGAAACTTTCGTTGTCATGATAATTTTTGCTAGTATATGCCTTTAATCTGGAGTTTTGGTGGTGGGGTTGATGGATCATGTAGAGTTTGGTGTGTGTGTGAGACAACAACCTGCAGGGATTTGAGGTGATCTGAAGATGGCAGGACAGCAATTACATTAGAAGGCAATATTGAATGTATGCGATTGCACCTCATATAACAATGTAAAAATATAATGAGGGGGCTGCATATTGAGAGGTACCAAAAGAGGAGTTTCTTTCTAAGTGTTGTGATGCATGCATGTAATACAGTGCTTTAGAGGCAGAATCGTTAATTTTATAGTATTAAGCACCGCTCTGTGTATTAATTTTTCCATAATGTACCTTAACATACGTCATCGCTAGTTTTAAGCTTTTGATGGATAATCTTTAAAAACAATTCTCTAGGTACTGGGTAACTACACTGAGAAGCTAATTGATTTCAATTACATTTGCAGCTACTTCCAGAAGATCTGGAATGTGTCTGATCAGCAGGCCTTGGTGGACAAGTTCGGAGACTGGTTTGACCATGACCGCTGCCCACGTGCTCAGATTTTCCGCCGAGATGTCCACACAGTCACCGACCTTCCCTCCATGGTGCACCTCATGAGGTGGGGGTTTCGAAGACGACGCGGGCGTACTCGTATTTAGTGACTCAGCTCCTGCTCGACGTAGAGCGCCGAGTCATCATCACCAAAATCATCCTGGGTGTAAATCTCGGAAGTCACCAACATTGTCAAGTGTAGAATTTGATGGTCTTAGCCTTGTGTTGCCGTCAGCAGTGACTACATAACAAAATACATGAATGAATATACATGTTCCACTGAATTTCACCTACCTTAGAGATTTTCAAAATGTTTTGACCCAAGATCATCTTTCAAGCAGCTGACTACATCACAAAGTGGGGATAGGTAGGGATAAAATAAATAGAATGATCTACAAGTCGGACTTTACCTCGGCATCCGTTGTCGAGTAAGCAAGGTCTATTCAAGTGACTCAACAAGAGATATGGGAAAACGGATTGGAGATGTAGAAAGGAAAAAAACTAAGAAATAACTATCCTAAGTAGGTGTTGTAAATTACTTTGGCCGGTGATGTTGGCCAAGACGGAGGATACAAACTATGGATTACATTCAGCATTGTAGCAAAACCAAGGAAGCTGTGATTTACAGGAGCAAGGTGTCATCTGAATCTGTTTTTGTTCGTGTGTGCGTGTGTATTTATGCATGTTGTTTGCAGGTACAACAACTTCATGAATGACCCACTGTCGGCGTGCAAGGGCTGTGTGCCGGGACAGAACGCAGAGTTTGCCATAGCAGCGCGCTGTGACCTGAACCCAGCCAATGGAACCTATCCCTGTGACATGTTGCAACAGCGCAGCCATGGGGCCACTGACATGAAGGTCAGTGGAATACCGCTCTTTTCCAGATAATGTATTCATTCATTCAGTCGGTGGGATAGAGCACTGAATGTCATTAGTATGTCCTTAACTTATTGTAATTAACTTAACTACCGCATATACAATACGAGATATACAGAATACATTTAATTAAGTTTCTGATCTAAAATTAGCAGAATCTCAAAATATATCAAAACATATAAAAGTATGTAAAATATTCCTTGAGTTACTGTTGTAAAATTGTCGGAAATTTTAGTTTGGAAAATTAATAGCATTCACCGTTTTTAAACCGCACACGTTTATTAATTAGAAACTGTAATCTTCAGTTTAACACGGAGGCTTTCGCGACCAATATTCATAATAAAGCTTTTTGGGTTAGATCGCACAAGTATAAATGTTGTGTCGTAACCTTCCACCACCTGACACTTTAGTAAGGGATTTGTCACGTAAACAAAATGCCAATTAGTTACTACTTCAGCCCACCGGTGTGTTAAAGAGTAAATCCACATCATTTCCAATTTGAGTACGACGTTTCGCTAGTAATTACATCCAGCATCATCGGGCAAAACGATCTAACCCAAAAACCTTTATTTTGAACTGTAATCTTGCATAGTTTGCTGCACAATAGCTCTACATATAGTCTTGTTTTTCATTCGACATGCTTGTAATGTGTTGAGCAAGCAATGTGCTAACATGCAATACTTCTGTTTGCAGATCACGAGCAAGGCGATGGTGCCACGGCTGGAAATGGTGGCCCAGAGTGGTCCCACATGGGACCAGCAGCCTCCCTTCCAGTGGAGCAAGTCTCCCTTCCCCAGCCTCTCCCATGTTGGGCAGCCAGACCTGTGGTCCTTCTTACCTGAGCACATCAGCTGGCGCAAACACTCAGGCCAATAAGAGCATTGTTGCCAGATTAGAGTAAATTCTTACTCTGCAGATTAAAACTAGTTTGTTTATTTTCAATTTGGATTTACGGAATTCACAATGTTTGGATTTTAGGATTTTGATTCTGGTTTTTGGGCCAGTGCAAGCAGGTGTGGTCTTAAGGTATACACATCTTTAGGGACCAGGCTGGTAGTATCATGGTCAGAGCAAAAACAGCCAGGGATCTTATATTCTTTTCTAATCCATGTCTGTAATGATCGTAAGTGTCTTTGTTAGTAAAAGTTGAGTCATCTGTAAACCCATAAACATGAAGCGAAAGTAAACGAAAACAGTACCAGCAGTGTAACTACGTTGCTGCACGAGTGACGTTTCTTCTGGAGTATAAAAAGCAGCAGTAACAACAGGGCCAGTGTAGACCACCAGGTGGCAGGCACAGATCACAACTGACCCTTGTAACTCAGCCAACCATATCAAACTTGAATTCCCTCCCATTTTCTATTTATTTCTCACACTTATTATACCAAAAATATAATGACGCATTCATAGTCTTCATCTTCATTTTGAGGTGTAAGTCATTGCAGTCTTTTTATACTTTATATCAGTGTTCTTCACTAATTTTCAGAGGGGGGCCACATATTTGAAACCATTGGGGTATGACAGAACGATGATGATGGGGGGTGTTTTCACATGTTGTGTATTGTCGGGAGGTGCACGTCAGGGGCCGCTAGTCGCCCGCGGGCCTTGCAATGAAGAAGAACACTGCTTTAGATAAAGTCATTGTGAGGAATCACTGCCCAAACCAGACACATGCAAGGCAATCATTTATATACTTTACTGCCTTTGGAGCAGAGATTAACTGTAGCTTACATTTTTTTTGTTACAAGACAGCAGTAAAGTGGTGGTAAATTACATTCAGCTTTTGCTTCAACACCTCAACAAAACGATAACTGAAATTCATTTGTTCTATTTCAATCATTTTCAATGATCTGGCAAAGCTGACATTGCTAAGAATCAAACATTCACTGCTACAATTTAGCAAGTTTCTCCAACCCTTCCTTATTTCCAGATTGAACATGAGATTGAATGTACACAGCTAATGCAATAAGAATGGTACAGCTTGCCTGCCTTTAGAGTCATGATTTGAACGCTAATCTTAAGTCGCTGTTTTACATGAGCCACACCAAATTGAAACATTTACAAGGAATCATGTCTGCATTAACCACAATACTTGTGGTCAGAATGCAAACAAAAAACACTGATAATATATGCATTGTCTTTGAAACTGATTGGTCCACACCAGAAACAGCTTTCTTTGGAGCCTAGTCTCAAAAGGTGTTAGACCAGAGGGACGCCAAAAAAGACGCCAAAAACCGTCCTCTGGTCTAACACCTTTTGAGACTCGGCACCAAAGAAAGCTGTCTCTGGTGTGGACCAATCGGTTTCAAAGACAAAGCATATTATCAGAGTACTGTATGTTTTTTGTTTGCATTATTATGACCACAAGTATTGTGGTTAATGCAGACATGATTCCTTGTAAAAGGTTTCAGTTTGGTGTTTTAACATAGTAACACCTGTTTTGTTGCCAGAAAAAAGGGGAAAACCTATTCTCATAGTTTGGTACTGGAAAAGGAGGTCCCATGACGTAACCTCCTTGTGCCTCATTAATACTGCTCCAAATTGAGAATAAAATTTTAAAGCTTACATTTCACGTTGAAAAGTGTTTTTAAATTGGTACATTTACAGATTTTTGTTGCAAGGTTACAACCTTGACGATTCGTTTAAGCTTAGCCAATTTAATAACTATTGACAGTGCATCTTGTATTTTTTGTAGAAGGCTAATATTATTTACATAATGCTGTTAAATTAGATGAAACAAATTATGCCAATGGATAAGTGCCTGATCTATCTTGTGGAATTTTGGTTTTCACCAGGTGTACATTTTATGAACATATGCCTATGCAGTGTAAAAGTATGTTGTAGTTTGCAGCCCTTGGCCAGTCCACTAATGGATAAAGGCCTCTGCCTGCTGTGAGGGTTTGATCATACTTTACCATGCTCGTAATTATGGGTTTAATGGGGGGGAGGGCCTAGGACCAGTTCAGATATCACTTGCCACTTATGGTAGCCATTTCCAGAATTAAAACTTGGTTATTGGGTTAATAATCCACTGTGAACTACTGTGCCACTGCTCCCACCCGAAGTATTCAAATGTACCTCAATATAAAGGAGAACTCCGTTTCTCTTTATAGCCAACATATAGTCCACCACATTGTTAGATGTCTTACAGGTAAAAGTCTTCACAGTTTCACCCTTGATTTAAGTTGCTAAATGTGTGGCTGCGTTATACATCCATATAGTGGATGTAATTCAAGCCCATAAATAACTGTCTGATGCCATATAAGTACTAAAATTGTTCGTGAACAAAATAAAAGATGATACCAAAGGTACAAATACTTAATTAAATGGTCATTTAAAATGGACATGAACCACTTTAACAAGGCAATGGTCATATATTTGATACAGTACGTTGACTTTTTGCACTTGCAGTTTTGTTATTTTTACTTCAAATGAGAACGATAGTAAATTAAAAATAATAACATCTCATTGAATGCTTGTGTATGCCGATTAATAAAAGCTGATTGCCTGCAGTGAGTTTGTTTTGACGATTGCTGATGACGATTTCATGAAAAAAAAACTGGATAGGTGGTTAAGACGATACAAGGGACCTGAACGGTGTGTGAGTTAGAAATGCAGACGAGTTTTGAACAGCGCATGGCCATATGGGAATATATGTCCGAGCTAATGGCTTGTGATTGGTTGAGGCGTCCCTAAAAGTATCAATTTTATTCCAAATAAGTAATATTTAAAAAACACTTTTTTTTTACTTTAATGAAATGTACCGCACTAGTAATGGAAGAACTCCACGACTCCAGGAAGTGGCCCCGAGGCTCGCCACAACGTCAGGGGCCGTGATGATTTGCAGCCAACGTGAGTTGACCGTGGACAATTAGACCCAAGCCGAAACATAGCATAATATTGAATGTTTATAAATATATTTATAAAAAATGTTTATAGAATATAGTATTGTCATCAGTATGGCATAAGTATACCAAGTTTGCAGTCGATACCACATTGGGAAGTGGGTTACAATAGAGTTACAATATTTGAGGATACAACAACAACAGACTGAGTTAAATAAAAAGCGTGTAAATAAAAATACTGAGGCGAATGTAGCCACTTTAGCATCTTGTATGGGGTTGTTTTAAAAAATACACTGGCTAGTTTCGTAACGTGTGCTCTATCAAATAAATATGTTACAGCTCCGGTGGAGAGGCGATGTGAGCGAGCCCTGCAATAAAACCATGTCGATGAGATGATTTGAGATGGGAGACCATCCAGATGAAGTCGAAGACCAGTGGGGGACGGGTGTGTTCACACGACAGGAGAGAGACGAGTGATGGGACATCAATGTGTTCCGAGGTGACGAAAGGCAGGAGATGAGATGTAGTCAGAAGATATGGAAGAGCAAGGGGAGAGATGCGTTAGACAACGTATGTGAGACCATGTGGATATACTGTCCTGTGTACTGCCACTCGTATGATTGTTTGATTTTTGAAATAATCACGTTCATGAAACGTACAATTGTACTATTTTCTGAACTGTCCGGTTCAAGACAAATCTTTACCGTTCACGATTTGGCCAGATCGCAATGCACTAAACGCGGCTGAATCCCCGTGAGATGCGCCGGGTTGGAGCTGTGATCGATCGCCCGACTCACAGGACGCCTGAGAGGGAGAGGGGAGGAGACGTGGGTCGACTCGGCTCATCATCATCAACCCTGCGGGGGGCGATACAACACAGTACCGCTTGGAGGGAGGCGGGGGGGATTTTAAATGATACATACAGCACACACATACATATACTGCATTGCATAGCCACGTCTGTTACAGGTCCGCAAAGTTGGTGAGCGCCGCTCAGCCGCTGTGAGTGCGAGTCGGGAGACCGACGTTTCGGTGTCCGACCTGGCAGAGCGTCGTGGTTTAATGTTCACACGCTGCAAGGGGGTGCGTTGTCAGCAGACGGGGCTCGGCGACATCAATCATCGTGCTGCTGCTGCTGTACCCATTCCCCAACGCCTCGTCCAGCAGTGGAGTGTACTATTGCGTTGTTTTGCATAAAACAAACTCCCAAATCGCGAGTACGGTCGCTGTAATTGTCGCCGTGGTGGTGGTGGGTGATGGGTGGTGGTGGGTGGTGGGTGATGGGGGGTGGTGGGTGATGGGGGGTGGTGGGTGATGGGTGGTGGTGGTGGGTGATGGGTGGTGGTGGTGGTGGGTGATGATGGGTGATGGGTGGTGGTGGTGGTGGGTGGTGGTGGGTGATTGGTGGTGGTGGTGGTGGTGGTTGATGATGGGTGATGGGTGGTGGTGGGTGATTGGTGGTGGGTAATGGGTGGTGGTGGTGGGTGATGATGGGTGATGGGTGGTGGTGGTGGTGGGTGGTGGTGGTGGTGGGTGATGGGTGGTGGTGGTGGTGGGTGATGGGTGGTGGTGGTGGGTGATGGGTGGTGGTGGTGGGTGATGGGTGGTGGTGGTGGTGGGTGATGGGTGGTGGTGGTGGGTGATGGGTGGTGGTGGTGGGTGATGGGTGGTGGTGGTGGGTGATGGGTGGTGGTGGTGGTGGGTGATGGGTGGTGGTGGTGGTGGGTGATGGGTGGTGGTGGTGGTGGGTGATGGGTGGTGGTGGGTGATGGGTGGTGGTGGGTGATGGTGGTGGTGGGTGATGGTGGTGGTGGGTGATGGTGGTGGTGGGTGATGGTGGTGGTGGGTGATGGTGGTGGTGGGTGATGGTGGTGGTGGGTGATGGTGGTGGTGGGTGATGGTGGTGGTGGGTGATGGGTGGTGGTGGTGGGTGATGGGTGGTGGTGGTGGTGGTGGGTGATGGGTGGTGGTGGGAGAGGTTCGCGAGTTTTGATTCGCGGCTCCGGCCGACATCCGAACCAAGTTCCCCTCCGTCGACGAGCGCCGTGAGGTTTGTCAACAACAACAACGACAACAACAACAACGAGCACGAGGAGCGACGCGTCTCGCGGCCCCCGGGGGGTGGCGACCGTTCACCCCCCGAGGTGACGAGGGAGCCCTGCGGCGGCGGACAGGTGCGGCCACGCTCGCCCGCACCACCGCCCCGACCTGCACACACGCAGCTCGCCCGCACCACCGCCCCGACCTGCACACACGCAGCTCGCCCGCACCACCGCCCCGACCTGCACACACGCAGCTCGCCTGCACCACCGCCCCGACCTGCACACACGCAGCTCGCCCGCACCACCGCCCCGACCTGCACACACGCAGCTCGCCCGCACCACCGCCCCGACCTGCACACACGCAGCTCGCCCGCACCACCGCCCCGACCTGCACACACGCAGCTCGCCTGCACCACCGCCCCGACCTGCACACACGCAGCTCGCCCGCACCACCGCCCCGACCTGCACACACGCAGCTCGCCCTGCACCACCGCCCCGACCTGCACACACGCAGCTCGCCCGCACCACCGCCCCGACCTGCACACACGCAGCTCGCCCTGCACCACCGCCCCGACCTGCACCCACGCAGCTCGCCCGCACCACCGCCCCGACCTGCACACACGCAGCTCGCCTGCACCACCGCCCCGACCTGCACACACGCAGCTCGCCCGCACCACCGCCCCGACCTGCACACACGCAGCTCGCCTGCACCACCGCCCCGACCTGCACACACGCAGCTCGCCCGCACCACCGCCCCGACCTGCACACACGCAGCTCGCCTGCACCACCGCCCCGACCTGCACACACGCAGCTCGCCCGCACCACCGCCCCGACCTGCACACACGCAGCTCGCCTGCACCACCGCCCCGACCTGCACACACGCAGCTCGCCCGCACCACCGCCCCGACCTGCACACACGCAGCTCGCCCGCACCACCGCCCCGAGCTGCACACACGCAGCTCGCCCGCACCACCGCACCCGAATAAACAACTCGCCGACCTGAACATGACCACCCACAATAACTACCGACGGGCAACCCCGCGTAGTTGTACAAAGGGAGTCCACACGAGCCGTCCTGCTCAAGGGACTCTGTCGTTGTTGTTATTGCCGTTGTCGTTGTTGTTATTGCCGTTGTTGGTGTCGTTGTTGTCGTTGTTGTTACGTTCAACTCCCAAAACAAACACTTGGAGGACAGGGCAGGCACAGCACTGACGCTTGCAGGGCACGAACGCCTATTGACTATTCATAATCGTCAACTTATATTGACTCGTTTTTTTATTATTCCCGAAGCCGCCAGCTCTCGTCCCACATCTACGTCGATATCTGCCTTCCTTCTGTAACTATTTCCTGGGCTTGGCCTCTACAGCAGCTCATCCTACCTCGCCCTGCCTACCATTCTACTCTCTCCACACCTGCTTTTAGAACCACAGCTAATTAGCTTAACTATATACACACCGACCTACATAACACAATTACCCTACATATTCCTGTCACCTACACCCCTCTACCTACTTACTCGTACATGCGTATTCACCTAACAACACCTGCATACAAAGCTGCACTTACTTATCGACATATAATACACTTTTTATTGTTCATGAAAGCCTTAATTAATATTAGATTTGCAATACTGTACAGTTTGTTTAACTTCTCATGTGATAGCTATTTTGTTACGATTTTGGTCACCCAAGTCACTTTCAAATCAAAAGATATCCTGGCCTCTGGAGGTCTCACCTGGTTAAAAAAATAAACGTCATACTTTCTCAGGTTCATTTAGCATGTTTCAACAATTACCTTTGGGGTTCGAAGGAAACTAGTGCTTATATAAAGATGCATATGATGGGAAACACTCATATACAGTATCATAAGATACCCTGTCAGAAGCGTATTTGCTCTACTGCCTCCTTCCAGCAGATGAGGGTATTTTGCACATGATCACGCCACCTTTAAGGTTACCAACCGATCTCATCTCCAAGTTGGTGAATTAAAGCCATGTGCTACCACACTTAGCCATGTTGTTTTCCACCAATTCCCAAGGACTGTAATCCCAAGTGACGTCTCTGCTCTCTGTTGCCAGAGTCGCCTGCCTACCGCCACTTCACTCCTGCCTGCATGGAGCCCTTTTCCTCGCTGCTGCTGTCGGACAGAATTTGGGTGCCCCATGCCTACCGCTGGGACAAGCTGGACTGCACGTGCCACCTGATTGCGGTGCGAGCCGGACACCTAAACTCTCTGCTGGAAATAGTGTACGCAGAGGCAGAGTCTGGGACCGAACGTGGGACCCAGGCAGAGTCTTGCTGCACCACACCTGCTGCTACTGCCGACACTGGTTCTCGTGTCGAGCTCAGCTGTGGTCTGAGCGTCGTAGCTGAGGCTGGCACTGATGGCAATGCCATGAATAAGGATGTCAAGAAAGAGAAGAACTGCTGCTGCTGGTGAGTTTGTTCTTGCGTGCTCATGCTTCACTTGTGCAATGTACGTCTTTTTGGGAATTAACCTAATAATAACTCAACGCTTTATCAATAACACTACAAATAAAATAATAATTATATAACGGGTCACATTTTTGCCATTGTCCCGTTTGTGCTATGAAAAAAGGGTAAAGCCCAAAATGTCAAATTTTTCCTCTTTAGGAAAGTATTTTGGTGAGTGGATTGAGTTTTTGTTATTTGTTCTCGTGCATTCTTGCCATTGAAATACAACATTAACAAATAATACTTTGGGGACCTCATTTGCCAGTAAAAATATGATAATTGGTTCTTTACCCTTCTATCTGGCAACAAAAAAAGGTGTCAGTTTTGTTGCCAGATAGAAGGGTAAAGAACCAATTATCAAATAATACTTGTCTTGATGAAAACCTCACTAAGTCTCAAAACTTATTCAGGTGGGTTTTGCTTAGTATGTTGGGCCAATTCCTCCTTGAATATTTTAGGCTTGGAGGAAAACTGGAGCACCTTGAGAAAAATGAATGGTTAATACTCAAAATGTGTAAAGAAATATCAATAACCAACTAACTATATTGCCATCTACATGCCATCTCACTGGCCTATGGGTGCGACTATCTCATGCAGGATAAACATCCACTGACCCACACCTCCAAAGTATTGTATTACACGCATTCACAACCTTGAATATCAGAAACGAGAGACAGGTGTGTCAGAAAGTGGGAGTTGCTGCTCACGAATAAGCATGCACAGGCAGTCCGCGACTTACGAATGCCCGACTTACGAAGATTCGCACTTACGAACGAGCTTCCGTAAGATGTTTATTTTGTAACCATCCGACTTGTGAACGTGAACTCGCATATTCGAACCCAAATAATTGGTTCTGTTTATTGTGCCCTCAGGATGGGATTTTACAATGTCTGCAAAATTGATGGGTTTTTTTCGTTTCATACTGTGCTCCTGATTGCATTGTTGGCAGCGTCAGCACAAATGAAGATGATAACAGTGCTCCACCAATCAACAGCACAGAGAAAGAGGACACCACCATCAGCACTCAGACAGAAAGAGAGATATTCAAACATTGCTGCCAAATAGATAAAAATGATCTAAACATAATAAAAAACCCTGCCATTGCTAGAGATGCTGAGAGTAATACGAAGCAAGTGCTTCCAGGCTGCATAATGCAAAATGAAAGTAATCATCCAGATGTCACTTATCCCATATACAAACTGATGGGTAATGACCAGAGTCAAAACACCACCAATCTGCAAGGTGGAAACATTGACACGAAAGAGTTGTGCAGTTCCAGCAGTTTCCAAGCAGCAGAGAAAGCAAATGTCCCAAACTATCCCATTTTCAAGACTGGGACAGATGTAAACGTTGAACAGAGTTGGTGGAAGAGTGACAAAGCGCTGCACCTTCTCTGGTTAGTAAAACTCAAAGCAGCACAACGCAGCACCCTGGAAGGATCAGACCTTGAGAAAATGGAGAGAGCCAGAATTGCATGGGAAGCAGCCGAGGTTTCTATGAAAGGATCAGAGTGTGTTCCACGAGTGACAGGGACTGGGTATAATACAGTTGTGCCTTCGATAAGATGGTCAGATTATGTGGAGAAATCGGAAAAGCTGACAAAAGATTATGTGAGCCTTGCAGAGAAACAAGAGAAACATGAAAAGGAATTCAAAGTTGGAAATTTAAGAGAAGAAACTGACCAAAAAGATGAGGAGACCAGATTGGAAGAGGATGAGTCTAGGATGCAGCAGAACAGCCTTGACCACCTGTTCCAGATGATGGACTGCTACTCCAGTTTACCTATAATGCAGGTATGCTTTGTCCAAAAGCTTTGTTTGCTGATGTGCAGAAATTAGTAAATGTGGTTGAACCTATTCTTTCCTGGCCCATCTACTTAACGTCCCATTTGATGTTGAGCTTATTTTAACATTTGTAATACACAGTGATGGGTTAATTTATATTATTGTTCCAATGTTTTATTGAGAAACAACTCTGAAGGAAAAAATACATTAAAATTAAGATGTGTACAATCATATGAACATACCAGGAGAGATGCATTTGGCGAAATTGGCAAGATAACATGCACTGTAGTTGAAGGTGATATGCCCGCTTATAATGCGTTGAATACTGTAATGTAATGTGGGTAGAGCGCGCGACTCTATGAAAGTTAAAAGTTACAATTCTGTCTTTCTGGTTCAATTGTCGAAATAAACGAGGGTTGTCTCACAGGTGACTGACATCCACCAGAGAAATGTGGAATGTTCAAAATAAACTTACGACCATGAGCCAAGATGAGAATCGATGAGGATGAAATCGATTTTATCTTTTAAAACAGATAATGGAGGTTGCAGAGCAACAACTACAATTTCACATTCAGTCTGGCCCTGAAGAGTGCCCATTGGCGTGGCTCGTGTTGTTGCTCTGGAGATGGGGAGATCGATGATCAATGTTCGGTCGCCGCGTTGATGACAATCGTGGTGATTTCTTACTTAACAGAGTGGGCCGCGTGAAGGTTGCCATCTTCCACTCCATTAATACATTTGAAGAAATATTTCAGATAATAAGACGTGGATATGTTTTTTGTTTATAAGCTTAACAATGTTTATTTGTGATGTGTTTCTAGGATGAGGTCTCTTCACTATATCACATATAAGTAGAGGTTCCCCACAGTTATTTTGAATACTAGCAAATCGGAAGCAGTCTTGGAAATCATCTCGAACCTGAGACTAACAATTATGGTGATGTAATGGTGATGTTGAAATGCTGATTTGTTACACAGGAAAACACAACATCTGGAGAGATAGGAGGTGATACAATGAGAGTTGGGACCTCTGCTGATGGGGGTGAGTGAAGTAACCTCTTTGGGTTTCAAACACTGGATACGTGTGTCATTTGAGAGCAGCAAGGCCATGGGAGACAAGAGACCACGGATATAGAGAGACCAGCAGTGACAGAGGCTCCACTAGTTTTGTATAGTGTGTATTCATGTACAAGTTTCCTTTAGAAAAGAACAGATATTGACAGATTTGGTTTTATTGTAATCTGAATGACCAGTGGCAGGTTGAATGAAATTGGTTCACATTTCAAGGAAAATGTATGAGAATTCACGAGGTTGACCAACACTTTGTGCTTCTGAAAGTTACACATTTTGGTAATCACTGGGTTATTGCTCATTATGTGATGCCATTAAATATGAATTTTCCCATATTGGAATGTTTTTGTATGCTAAATTTACTTTAAATAGTTTCAACATTCATTTTCCTAATGTCATGAAACGCAATTATCTCAATTATTCACATATTTGACTTTCTATTTAGCTTTAACATTTGGGGATACATATCTGGCTGGTTGGTACTGTGACCGAACAACTGACTCAATCATCTCTCCAATAAAAATGAATACTGGAGATGAATATGATTAAATGCATCACTCCCACCCTATTTAAGATTTCAGTTATGATATTAATAGAAAGATGTTCGCTGCAGTGGTGATGAGTAACATTTTCACAGCACTCCTTAGAGGTCAAGTGTCGACGATGCAACAGTTTTAGGACCTAGAAGGACTGAAGTGACTAACACGACTCCTAGGTCATAAACGTTGGAGTACACATAGTGTATGGTGTTCGGTATGTAGTTGCATTGTGTGGTGTGTTGTAGAATGCTGGCACGTTCCCAATAGTGCATGGTGTGTCCCACAGACAAGCCCGAGAAAGTGGAGGCAGGATGCAAGGGGAATGAGCCATACTTGAATGCCAACCCCTCAGTCAAGGTGCAGGTAAGATTACCACAATATTGAAATAATGCACAAGTTTGGTTTGTTAGAAGCAAATAAAATAATACTTTAAAACATGAAGACAATATACTATAAAAAACAAATATACAACTATTTTTTCTATATATATATACAATTTTAATGAAGTACATTAATTCCACAATGAAAAAATTCCATTATGGCGAATTCGGAACAGTATACATTATATTTAGATGTTTTGTCCTGTAAACCCAAATAGTATTGTATTCTCATGAAGATTCTTGTATATATGTGAGTACTGTAAGACACTGGACAAACTAAATAACGAGGGTAAAATTATTGAGAGACTTCGCATAAAATTATGAAATGTCTTCACCAATGTGGCATCATCGACATTTGTAGCATCACAAACGTCAACACCATCATTATTCCTTTGAATATTACTGATATGACTAAAACAATATATGTCACCTCCAGCATAGTTAACTGCTGTGATTATTATTATAATTTAATCATCCAGCGTGATTTTTTTGACAGGCTCCCGTTTATGGTTCCCCATGTGCCACCACATCCCAGCGCCTCTACCAGTGGATGCCATCCAACCAGTTCACCTGTATCCAGACCGTCTACCTGTCTCAATCACTCTACGGCACCCTCGTCTACCACCCGTCGATGTTCACTGTGCCCAGCTATACCATGGGCAGTGGCAAATTGGCATTCAATTCCTTTAGCCAAATGCAGTATGTGGTGCCAGGCCAGGTGCCACCCACACGAAGTGGATGCATGCAGTCTGTCATAAATTGGCAGGAGCAGTGCGCACCATACAACAACGTGGTCTATCAACCAACTGGCTGTAACCAGAAGCAGGGAAATGTTGTTTTCTCACCATACATTAGAGATGCGTGGATCAGAGGTACTAGACCATAGCAGTAGTTGGGTACATCTACATGGAGAGATGGACCCTGCAGACGTGATTAAGGTTACACATATTCTTGGATCTTTCGGTACGTGACTTTACCGAAAGATCCAAGAATATGAATCCCTGCAGTCACGAAAGCTTTAAATCGAAATTTAAGGTTACACAATTAAGAAAATTGTCACCTGGGCAGGCTAGAACAGGACTTCTTCATAAAAGAGGAATGTATTACATTCAGTGGCTGCTTCAATGAGTGAAAGTTGTATTGATGTCATTTATCTGGCCATTAAAGAAGGGAAATGTGAGTAATTTTCTAAATTGCATTTGGCTATGGTGGGGTGCCCAACAGATATGTAGTGGAGACCATGCTCTGATCGGATTCTCTCAAACGTAATTCATGCCCACATCTTATATGTAGGTAGCTATTTAACTTACGTCCACCAAAGTCTCCTTCACTGGTCACTTGTATTAAATACAGATAAACTCATTTTCCTACTCCTGGTACACCTCATAGCCACAATTATTTCATTTAGAGTACTGTACGCTGTGGAGGAAATTACAGTACCTAATAATTATATATAAGATTGTTTCTTCTAAATACTCTCCCTGGATGTCTGGTTACTGAGCTGAGTGACCCTGTGGCTAAAACTGAAACACGACTGTAATGCTGAACTTGGTTTACTTTAGGCCCAGAAATATATATGCACACAATTGAACAGTATTCACTATTTAACGGTGTTTTCAGCTGACCTTCCAGCTGTTATTTTGTTTAAGAATTTGCACATGACAAAGTTTTTGTGTAATTAGTTCATATTGATGGTTTTTGCCATGATACTGTATAACCAATCTAAATTCTCAAAAATATAGTAATTTTGAGCATAATCTCCTTGTACGACTCCCTTTCTGATTTGTACTTTGCTTTAATGTTAGTACAGACTAAAGGTGACATTTCCTTCTTTGTCAATCGTTTTACAATGTCCATATTTTTAAGGTAATGGAGTGGCTGGATTGGTTTCCACTTCGTAAAATAAAAGTTTTTAAAACATGTTTCAGTCCTATTGCCAATTCATTGCTGGATGGCCTTTGCATGCCATGTCAGTAAAAATGATTGTTTGACCATACTTCACGATATTGGGGAGCCCAGGACCGATATCACTCGTGTAATGTTTGTGATGTCCCCGAGTTTATAAATCAGTGCATTAATCACTGTGCCACTGCTGTACCCAGTTGACTCCGAGGAAGGCAGTTTCATGATCAAAAGGCAAGCAATCGAATACTCTGGGATTTCAATGACTCGTTGATGGCAAGTGGTCAATAGGAGAAAAAAACGATCCTAAATATTGCTTGTCAGTGTTCTTCACTCATTTGCAGAGGGCCACTTTCGCCGATAAGACATCAGTGTGAGGGCCGCCACACCGCTCCTTGTGTATTGTCGGGGGCCACACTAAAGGCCACCTGGCCTTGCAATGAAGAACACTGCTTATGTGCTTCATTGGCCTCGAGCTTCAGTAACTGTGTTTCCTGTGATCTTCATGACACGATTTTGGAGGCTGTATCTACATTTCTTGAAACTTGTTTTCAATTGCCCTTTAAACATGACGGATGAGCGCTCCGCATGGTCTGGTATTTAGAATTAAACATCTCACTATTTTTCATGTCCACGTTCTATTTATTCTATCTGGTCCAGTTAACGGAGGATATAACTGCTCTGCTCAATGACAGGTAGACACGTGAAGCCGTTGATTTCTAGATTCCGTATTGAACATTCTTACTTTACATTACCTTGCACGTACATTTTACACGTGCAGCCTTTTGTCAACCCTTTGATGGCGCAACGCCGCCGTTTGACAATACTTCACCTCGATGGTCCATATGTCGGGTCAACGAAGGCGGGGAGCATAGCACTCTTTGCAGTATAGTACAACACATCAATAGCTTATGCTGCAGTGCCATCTGCCGCCCAACAGTTCGCCCGCCATATATCGTTCAAATATATGTGCTCATCATGCAATCTTTGCTTCTCCATTAAAAATATAATGTACAAGCCTGACGATAGCCTAACAAATGGCTCACACACAGTGCAGTGCACACACGCAGTGCAGTACACACACACACGCAGTGCAGTACACACAGTGCAGTACACGCAGTGCAGTACACACACACACGCAGTGCACACACACACAGTGCAGTACACGCAGTGCAGTACACACACACGCAGTGCAGCACGCACACACACGCAGTACACGCAGTGCAGTACACGCAGTGCAGCACGCACACACACGCAGTACACGCAGTGCAGCACACGCAGTGCAGTACACACACACACGCAGTGCAGCACGCACACACACGCAGTACACGCAGTGCAGCACACGCAGTGCAGTACACACACACACGCAGTGCAGCACGCACACACACGCAGCACACGCAGTGCAGTACACGCAGTGCAGCACACACACACGCAGTACACGCAGTGCAGCACACGCAGTGCAGTACACGCAGTGCAGTACACACACACACGCAGTACACGCAGTGCAGCACACGCAGTGCAGTGCAGCACACACACGCAGTGCAGCACGCACACACACGTAGTGCAGTACACACACGCAGTGCAGTACACACACGCAGTGCAGCACACACACACACGCAGTACACGCAGTGCAGCACACGCAGTGCAGTACACACACACACAGTGCAGTACACACACGCAGTGCAGTGCACACGTAGTGCAGCACACACACACGCAGTGCAGCACACACACACGCAGTGCAGTACACACACACAGTGCAGTACACACACACGCAGTACACGCAGTGCAGCACACGCAGTGCAGTACACACACACACGCAGTGCAGTACACACACGCGCAGTGCAGCACACACACACGCAGTGCAGTACACACACACACGCAGTGCAGTACACGCAGTGCAGCACACGCAGTGCAGTACACACACACACGCAGTGCAGTACACACACACGCAGTGCAGCACACACACACGCAGTGCAGCACACACACACACGCAGTGCAGCACACACACACACGCAGTGCAGCACACACAGTGTAGTACACACACACACGCAGTGCAGTACACACACACACGCAGTGCAGTACACACACGCAGTGCAGTACACACACACACGCAGTGCAGCACACACACAGTGTAGTACACACACACAGTGCAGCACACACACACACACACGCAGTGCAGTACACACACACGCAGTGCAGCACACGCAGTGCAGTACACACACACACGCAGTGCAGTACACACACGCAGTGCAGCACACACGCAGTGCAGCACACACACACAGTGCAGCACACACACACACGCAGTGCAGTACACACACACGCAGTGCAGCACACACAGTGTAGTACACACACACACAGTGCAGCACACACACACGTGAGCTGCCCACAGTGAACATGTAGAGCCCCCCTGGTAAGATGGCCGCCCTTTTTGTACGATGCGGGTTGCATGTTCATGTCGTCACGTCCTGTCGTGCCGGGGGTCACGTGCGCTGTGGTGGTCGTAGCTGTCACGTGGTAGTGGTGCTTGGCGGGAAAGGGGCTGCTTGGCGGCATGGAGGTGGAAGGAATGGAGACGGAGTGTGGGGACGCCTCGGAGCAGCCGGGGACCTCGGGGCTGGCGGCCACACCGCGGTCGCCAGGCACAGCCAGCGACAAGGAGACGGCGGCGGGACACGGGCGCGTGGGATACGAGCTGCCCTGGTGAGCGGGCACCGCCAATCCCAGCACGCGTTATCCCCCTGACAGACCCAATCGTCATAACATTAACCCAAGTGGCATGCGTTACCGCAGTCATAATTAAGCACTATCCCAACCCTGGCCTCATTCATACCAATTTGAAACCCCAATCATAATCCTGGCCCTAACTATAGCCACCGTGCATCTACTGTACCTCAACTTGTATTGTTCTCCCTTCATATTCATGGGCAGGAGCGGTGGCGCAGCAGTTTGGTGAAGCGCACAATTAATCCGGCTACCTGAGCTGAGCTCTTGGCCACTGCTACTGTCTGTGACGAGTGGCAATCGTATCCTGTCCTAACAACCAGCATTGACCATCGTGGTGAAGTATGGCACCACCTCATCCAGCAGATTGACCTGGGGGCTGTACAGTACTTGTACACGCGTGTTTGTAGCCGTCGTGCACGGGTGCTGATGTTACATTGTGCAAATAACATTGTGACGTGACCATGTGTAGGGTGGAAAAATACAGACCTCTCAAACTCAACGAGGTTGTTGGAAATGAAGAAACCGTGAGCCGCCTCGCGGTAAGACTGCGTACGCAGTGTGTGTGTGTGGTGTGTTGTAGGAATATCACATCGGTTATCAAACTTCAGTCGGAGTAGAAAATCTTGACCTAAAAAAAATTCTGATATTTTTCGTGTGCTTGCAGGTGTTTGCCAGAGAGGGAAATGTTCCAAACATCATTATTGCGGTTGAGTATATATTTTTTATTCTGGTTTGTTTTCTCTTTGAAGCAGTGTTGATAATGTAAGATGTGATTTAAGTCAGGCTCCCATCAGGGTCAACTGCAATCATTTCCATGAGGATTGTGCTTGCACCGATGTGAGTGGTTCGTGTCATATACACGTGTGTGTGTGTGTGCTGGTATTAGTCTCGGTGTTTGATGTTCATTGTTTTAATGCGTTTTAAAAATAAACAAGCTGCGCAATCTTGACACTTATGCATGCTAAATGGATCTGCTGGGCATGAATACATGCGTCACGTGGGTGTGCTTGTTTGACAATTGGTTGCAGTTGCATGACCTGTAGGCACTGAACAATGATGCATGCTCTGTGCATGCAGGGCTTGGCACATGTTCTTGTATGTATGTTATCTATGCTTCAAATCGGTCTGTGAGCCTCTAAAGAAAGTACATTCGTGCTGGTTCATGTTCGGTTGAATGCAGGGCCCCCCTGGCACGGGCAAGACGACCAGCATCTTGTGCTTGGCACGGGCACTGCTGGGCCCAGCGGTGCGGGATGCTGTGCTGGAACTCAATGCCTCCAACGATCGGTGGGAGCGGTTTTACACTTGTTTGGGGTCAGAACAGGGGCACCGCTTTTACACGGCCGTGTTGTGAGCACGCGAGTACGAACAAAGGGTCTGCCTTGATTTGAAGCTTTCGTGACTGCAGGAATCCATACTCTCAAAGAGTAAAGGGTTTGTCCTTATTTATGCTCTCGTGCATGTTAAACTCGGAATTTTTGTTATGACTTTCAAAACTTTTGCAATAATGATGAGCATGGTTGGCTACGTACGGTGCAAAAGAAGCTCTACATACGTACATTGGTTGCTACTTTGGACTTTATTTTCACGTGTGTACGTATAAGGTGTGGTACACTCAGACCTGGGGTCAATAGCAATTGTATTTTTTTTATTAATTGCAATCAAAATGTAATTGCAAATTGCAACGAGGATTGCTCCTGTAACTATATTTGACCCCAGGTCGGTAGAGCAGAGGTTCTTACTCTTGCGTGCAGATGTCTGATACGTATCACAACTTGTTAGCTCGCACACACATATCAAGCGCACACCCCGTACAGACCACACGATGCAGGGAACCTGTCTACCATGTACGTATCCCTCATTATACACACACTTTTGAAGAAAATCTAAATGTGCATCACATATGCAGATCATGGTTACCTTGATTAATAGTTAATATTGAGGACAGTATTACTCGCATTATTGGGTAATTGTAGATAACATTGATGCTGCTGATAAACCGCAGTTACCAACGAGTGGTTAGTTGTGGTTGGTAATTTTGAAAAAGAAAAACATGCTAAGATTTGAAATATTTATGACACACACCACCATGGGAGACATAGATAATACCTTGTGGCTTCTTCTTGTTACCAGATTCAGTGTTTGTGATCACTCTAATGTGTACGCAGGGGTATAGACGTGGTGCGTAACAAGATCAAGATGTTCGCGCAGCAGAAAGTAACATTGCCTCGTGGCCGGCACAAGATCATCATCCTGGATGAGGCTGATAGGTATGGAGTGTGATGTGCTAGAATGTCTGTGTTGTACACTCTAAAGAGTACATTAACTTTACGTGTATTTTTCTGTTAGGATGGATGTTGGGTTATTTGAGACAGTGATTTTCATGATTTTGTGGTACAAATTTTAAATTGCGTTGTGTTACTGTTGTGGCCCCTATTTTTGAATGTATTACTTAATGGGAAGCATTACTTGATGAACTGGATCTCATCATAGGAAGGAGGAATTTGCACCATTGCCATCTGCTTGCCCACTTTGGAATAGAAGAAGAATTGGAATAGGTGACAAAGACTTTGCCGTTGCAGAACCAACAGTTTGGAACAACCTTCTTTCCTCCCTTAACATCGCAAATCTTTAAAAATATTCTGAAGTGGAAGATCACATTCGCAAATGTGATTTGTAACTTTGATACTTACCCATGTCTCTATAGTTTAATGTGAATGTGCCATTTGATTGAGGGGTTATGTGCTGTCTTGGTGTTGTCTGGACTATTGTTTTTGCTTTCTTGCCCAAACTTGATCAATCAGACGTATATATATATTTAATGACTTGCCTACCCCTTTCTCTATTTTGCACTCCTATCGTTTTCTTTGTTTGCCATTGTAACTTGCGGACTCGTCAAAACTGGACATCTGTGAAAAAGAGCTTCATAGCTTGTCGGATTCCTCCAGTCTAAATAAAGATTCTGATTCTGACATTGTTGTATTAAAACGACGCTATATTAAATCACTGTTGGCGTTTATCTCTATGATGGGCATGCGTAGAAGGCATTGGTTAAGTCTCCACTCGGTGAGTTGCGTTCCTCTGTGTCTGCGTCCCCTCCACTGCGTGAAGCATGACCGATGGAGCTCAGCAGGCACTGCGGCGCACCATGGAGATCTACAGCAAGAGCACACGCTTCGCTCTTGCGTGCAACGCCTCCGACAAGATCATTGGTGACTGTGCGAGGGCTTTGATGGGCGCAGTGGGAGAATTGTGGTCATTGAGCCACGTTGCATTTCCGCTAAATTGATTTCACATTTTGGATGTAAATGTCCTGTAATGGTCGTTATCATCACGTACCTTGGAGCTTTCTTTAGCTTGAGTATGTGATGTGATGCATCAAATACCAGTTTTGGGAAATCAAACACGACTTCTCTGTCGTGCCAATCCCACAGTGGTGTTGTGATATCCGCTGTACATAATGTATAATTTGGGTTTAAAATGTGACTGCAACTCTAAACTTTGTTCAAAGTCGGGAACGCACTTGAGGTCACGGGATCTTGGTTGAGAGGCCTGTAGGGGTGCTTGAGCGGTTATTGGAGAGGTCACTTGTCAAAGGCAGAGGAGAGAAGTAAATAAGTATTGTCGATCACTGACACCACCTTCAAGTTTAACCATGATAAATCTTACAGAGCACCCACCCACAATGAGGTCGTACATTTTATATCCCAGTGGGAGAGTAACTTTACCAAGATTTGCTCCCACCAGGTTACATAAAATCAGTATAACTGGGAAGTGTCCAATGGTTATACTCGGAATGGGTCCCTGCCATGGAAATATGGAATAGCCTGCTCAGGATGAAGGCCACAAATGGATGAGCACTGCTGCATGTTTGTTTGTGTTGTTAGATTTGACATGTATGTGTACATAGATATCTCCAACATATGGCATGCATATGCACCTTGTTATTTGTTCGTCTTGTAACTATTTATTTCCCTAGATTTTACAAAGCAATAAATTGGAATCACTATTTAATTCAAGAAATATATTTCTGCCATTGTCATTGGAGGGTTTATGTCACCCCATCATATACAACATATTTATTGAAAATAGTTGATTATCATCAAGATTTAATGTAGATATAACCTGAACTTCTCTGTTAATTTTAATTCATGCATCATTACATGCCAATTGTTTCTGTAACTAATTGTGGTTGTATTTTTCCCTTGTTAGGTACATAAGCTTGAGTATGCCCATTTGTGTACTGAGTATGTTTGGTGTGTGTAGTACAGACGTTTTTACCTCATTCATTCACTACACCATGTGATGTCAACGATCTGTACACCTGACACTGGCATGATGTGACCCACCACCACATGTTAATCTTATTTTTTGTGTGCTGGAAAATAAGAATTCAAGAACCCGGTTCTCGTGTATGCAATGTGTGCGTGAATAATCTATTTTATTGGTTTCCTACCGCCACTATGCCTAGAACCAATCCAGTCGCGCTGTGCAGTGCTGCGTTATTCTCGGCTGACTGGACAGCCAGGTGCTGTCGCGCCTGCTGGAAGTGTGTGACCACGAGTGCGTGCAGCGTACGGACGACGGCTTAGAGGCCATCATCTTCACGGCACAGGGCGACATGAGGCAGGTTCGTCAGTGTATGGGGGCTGTAAAAAGAAATGCACACTTTTTATTTATTTGCAAATTGTTCATGCCAAGGACTTATTCAATGATAATGCAAATTATATTGTTTTAAGATGATAAAAAAACCATGCAAGAGTGTTTTAAAGTTTTGAGTTTAAATCCCGATGGGGGAATCTAACCATCTCATCTCTCAGTCCTCATTAAAATTAGTACCGCTTTATGGGACGTCAACAGTCATTATATTTGAGGAAGGTGGACCCATGGCAACGGAATGTATGAGTTATATTACTGCTGAGGGCCAGTAATAGAGATGTGCACTGCCCGACACTCGATTTAAAAGGGGATACTGCGAGTTTTAACTTGTTATGTACGTCTCTTGCGTATGTGTCCACAGGCTCTGAACAATTTGCAGTCCACGCACACTGGGTTTGGATATGTCAACAGTGAAAATGTTTTCAAGGTGCACCCTCCCACCACCAACCCAACCTTCACTGGTTTTCACTTGGCCTTCCCACTGCCTTGTACATTCACTCTCATAGAGCATCATAACACAAAGGCATCAAAGAGATATGTCGTACAAAAGAAAATGCAAAGGAATTAAGTGAGTGATGTGAATTATTTTTTTATTAAGAAGTCATGTTTGGTTTAGATTAGTGCATCAATGTGTGGAGTGTTATACAACTTAAGGTAAACATGGCATAAAATTAATGTGACGTTTTGTATTCGTAGTGAGATTGGTGTGATTACTCGGTATGTAATGTGTGATGTCATTTGGTGTGTTATGATGTGACATGCTTAGGTGTGTGATGAACCACACCCTCTGTTGGTGAAGGAAATGATTGGGCACTGTGTCAGCGGAAATATAGACCAGGCTTACAAGGTGGGTCACCAATGTATTGTATGAGTGCGTGCGTGCAATCATTGCATTAACAATAAAAACATCCTCGCATTCAAATATTGTCCAGGGTTAATGAATGCTCGTTGTCCAGAGCCTATGGTGGGAATTTCACATTGGTGTAATTGTGAATAGCCTGTTAGTTGGTTTACCACTGACCCTGGAGTATGATAGCCTGAGTTATATCTGGTTGGGATATGAATTCTGCCTTATTATGGCGAAATCCTGTTGCTCTACCACGTGATTTGTACCCTACCAATAGTTATAATAATACTTTCAAGGGTAGAATGTTCTCATCCTATGTACTGACTCCACAGATCATGTCACATCTGTGGAAGCTGGGGTACTCACCCGAAGACATTATCGGCAACATATTCAGGGTTTGCAAGACCTACGCTATGGCTGAATACCTCAAGCTGGAATTCCTTAAGGTTGGTACAGGAGATAGTGGCACATGGGAAGTAGGTTAAGAGATGATGGATTAATGGTTTTGATCGAGGTGGCTTTTGGACATTAGATGTGGAGAGTAGTGTTAGCTAAATGCTTGACGAGGCGTTGAAAAAAATGCTAAGGGAGAGACGGAGACAAAGGAAGGCAACACAGAGATGGAGATAGATGGACAGGAGAACAGCAACGTACAGTGCGAGACCGACAGAGTGAAGGCGAAAGGGATACTGAGATAAAGTGACTTGCCAGCTAATTTAGAATATACGTTAAAAAGACTACTTCTTTAATTTGGCCATATATCCTGTTAGGTATATGGCTGATAAATTGTAAGTGGTATGCAGTATACACAGTCGTAAGCCAAAATCCTGAAGTGCAGTGTGCCTGGATACTGTGCGACTCCACACGGTTTGTGTGGCAAGTAACGTGTGCTTTTGTTGTGAACTAGATGCATGCATCAATGTGTCTTTGTGCATTCTACAGGAGATCGGGCTGACGCACATGCGCATCGTGGAAGGTGTCAACTCATTGTTACAGATGGCTGGGCTACTTGCTCGTCTCTGCAACAAAACAGTTGCCCCTGCTGCCAGCTGATTGAAAAACCAAGCAACAACATTGTCCTCAGTGATCGATGGCAGTGGCAAGCAGAGCCCATTCTTGTATTCTATTTTGATCAATGATGCTCAATCAACAAGTATTGCCTTGGCCATCAGAAGTAAATTTACAAAGGGTGGGTTTGATCCCAAATAGTAAAAAGTAGCTGTATAAAATTGACTGCATGACTATATGAAAACCCTTACTGTGTGATAACATTTGTACATTCTTTTTTCTAATCACATTTCTCATTTGCTTTATTTAGTAGTCGTAGATGTTTAAGCTTTATCTGCAGCCACAAACTAGCTGAATTGAATGTATTTTGCATTGAAATACAGTATACGGTCAAAGTTCAGTCATTATTTTCAAGTCATTTATTTATAAATAAATAAAAACTTTCATGTGAGTTATGCAATGTTATTTTATTTTAGTTCAGTCTTATAACGAGGTTAGAATGCACTATAATAATGCACTAGCTCTTGTACACACAGCATTTTTTTCAAAACTTCCCCGTTTGAGCATCGGCGATATGCATGGGTAATTGCCATATTGGTCAGACCTACTTTGAGCTGTGCTCAACTTTTTAGGTTCCTAATTCTGACGATTGTAGTGTGTGTTTACATCTTAATGCACGGAATGATTTATGTGAATGCATGCAACTTGACTAGAAATGTTTGCACCTGGAAATTTAAAACTAGCTCAAAATGGCTGGTGATAGACTTAATCTGTGATATGTAGGTGTGGTTATGAAATGCAAATATAACAGTAAAAGTAATTGTTTTATACTCTTGGGTCTTTCGGTCAAGTCACGTAAATAAAAAAAAATAGATCACGACGTTTCGATTGCAACACAAGCAATCGTCTTCAGGTGAGAGAGAGAAAGCTGCTGAGACACGGTCTTATAGGCTTGAGATGGGTGCATCAAGGTCGTTGGGTGGAGCTAGAGATGGTCCAACCACAGGCTGGGGCAGTGGACACCCAGCCTGCAATACAAAAACATGCAACCTAATAATGAAACGGAGTCGGTTAACATTAGTAGAAAGGATGAAAACATAGCAAGTTAAGACTTTACCTGGTTAATCACGTCCTTCCATTGTTCAATTTGTACCCATCTTCTCGGTTGAAGTTCTATATATCTGGATGGCTTCATGAACAAATCTTTGATAGTGGGTTTGCAGAGTACCTTCGTCTTGGAAAAATCAATATCGTGTGAGCCCACAGCGTTAAAACAATGATCAGCCACGGCCGAGGTATTTGTCCTGCCGTGTTTCAGATCCGCCTTGTGTTCACGAACACGTTCCGAGACATGTCGTTTAGTTTCCCCAATGTAACTACTGCTGCAGATAACTTAGTGTGGAGACACCAGGGTATTGCATTTGAGGGATCACATCCTTCACAGATGGGATCAGATCACGAATTTTATGTACTGTGTTGAATCGAACCTGGATCTTATGTTCATGATTTTGGAAATACTTTTTGTGACCCCTGCTATGTTTGGCAAGGTGATGGTTATGATTGGGTCCTCAGATGTTTTTTTCCCACGGTTGGGGTGACAGCTTTGCGTATTGTATGGTCCGAATATCCATTCATCTTGAGGGCTTGGTGTACGTGCTCCAGTTCACTGGCTAGGTGGTGCTGGTCGAGGATGTAACGGGTAGGGTTTTGATGAGGGAATTCTGGGCTGGATGGTGGGGGTCGGGTTTTAGGTAGGCATCCGTGTGGGTGGCTTTCCGGTAGACTGTCCCAATGAGCCATCTGGTCTATTTTCGATTGAAACATCCAAGAATGGTAACTTACCATCCTTTTCCACTTCCATGGTGAATTTGATGGCTGGGTGTATGGAATTTATGTAGTTGAATTGGTTCAGTGCTAGCAGGCCATGTGGCCAGATGACGAACGTATCATCTACGTATCTCTTCCACAAGGAAGGACGTAGGGTGGATGCCTGGATGGCATGTCTAATTTTTCCATGAAAACATTGGCTACCACTGGCGATAAGGAAGAACCCATTGGAGTACCTTGATCTTGTTTGTAGAATGTACCATTCCAGATGAAGTAAATGTTGGTACATCAGCATTCAGTCCTTGGACCAAATCTTCAATTATTGCAATGTTGTCAGGCACAGGAACTTTGGTGAAAAGAGAGACCAGATCGAAACTAACAAGCAAATCAGCTGGAGATAGTGAGATGTATTTAATTATAGAAACCAAATGAGCTGAATTAAGTACAGCAGAGGTGGTCTTGCCAGTGAATGGAAGAAAGGTCTCAGAAATCGGGCCAGTTTGTAGGTGGGTGAGTCAATGGTGATGACGATCGGACGGAGCGGTCTACCTTTACGGATTTTTGGCAAGCCATAAAATCTGGGTGGTCTTGCAGCAGAGGGTTTTAGAGAGCCGCTTGGTTGGTTCGATTAAAGATGCCGAACCAACCAAGCGGCTCTCTAAAATCAAGAGGATATCTTGATTTTGGTATAGCTGCCATCATTGAGTAGGTCCTGAATTTTGTTATTGTATGTGGTTTTATCCATGATGACAGTGGCATTGCCCTTGTCGGCTGAGAGGATGACTGTCATCTCTTTTTCAGTTAAGCTCAAAACGCTCATCCTTGCTGATGTTGCTAATGGGTTTCTTAGCGTTTTTAAAAAATTGCAGCGATTTCCGATATCGCCACATCTGCAGAAATGTCCCAAACCTTTGAGGGCTACGTCGACCTGGGCAATGATATCAACTGGGATGTGTTTAGGGGTGACTGCGAAATGCAACCCTTTAGCTAGTACCGAGTTTAGGCTGTCAGAAATTGGGCTGTTACTATGATTGATAACAATCTTGTTAACGTATAACTTTTTAACGTATGGATCAGGCTTATTCTTAAACAGGAGGATGAATTTGGCAATCCGCTTAACTTTACATTTGGCTGATATTAAGTCGGCTGAAGAAGCTGTCATGTTATCTACACGGTCCCAATCAGATGTAGACATTTTATGTCAATGCTAAGTGTGATTGTAAGAGAGTATTTTCTCAACTATCTAGTTCAAATCGGAGCAATGGTATTCTCTCGAGATCAGGGCTAGGCCGGCCCTGAACAAGATCCGTTTAGCATTAGAAGTGACAGCAGCAGATGTGAGTGTGAAGGCGATCGGTATTACCTTGGTGTCGCGGCATCTCTTCAGATCAGATGAGCCTTGTCTCGAAGTCTGTTAAAAGATCTAATAGTTGTGTGGAAACTCTCCACGTAGAGGCAGTTAAATCTTGATTTAAAGCTTTCGTGACTGCAGGAATTCATACTCTTGTTTTAGTGAACACCAGTTTGTAACAAAGTAAATCTAACAGGCGTATAGTAATATAAGTACGGTCTTGGGGTCACTTCAAGAATTACAATTTGTTTGGTGCACGTTGAATCTAGTGGCTGCAGGGTGTTTGGGAATCAATTGCAGTATTCAATCATCGACGCATAATTATTCTCAACTCGGTAATTACTACTATATTGAGCCAAGAATGTGTGTGTATCCCATGAGTGACGTCACTCCACATGAGGCCCACCCCCTTCATTAATATTCATGAGTGGGTGCATTTTTACACTAACGCAGAGGAAGGTCGAGCTGAATTAAATAATTGATGACGCAAAGTCGCTTCAAATTTGACGTTTCTTTACAGAAAGTGACGGTAAAAGATAAATATACCCCCCGTCATTAATAATCAAGAGTGGGTGGATTTTGACACTCCTGCAGAAGAAGGTCGAGCGGAAATAAATATTTTTACGCAAATTCGCTTTAAATTTGACGTTTCTTTATTGAAAAAGTTATTCAAATAAATAATTCTACGTAACGAAGTTTTTTTTTGGTGTCTATTTCTACAGCACTTCGAACAAAAGGTAAGTCTAATTTTTGCTTCTAAATTATGAAACATATACATTTCTCCATGAATTTCCAGGTATTGTATCGAATTCAAATTGATTACAACCCCAGCGAGCGAAAGCAGAAGAAAATAAAGTAGAGCAGTGATTTTGAACTAATTGAAGGTGAGTTGAATACAGTGACATGAAGTTAGGTGTTTTGTGCAAGAATCACTGCCATTCTTTAATATTACAGCTTCCGTCCTAGGACGGGCAAAAGGCTAGTTTATTTAAAAGTATTAAATAGCCACAAGTTCAATCCACTCATGACAAATACATTTGTATAACATTGATTATGAAATTGTCATTACTTGTAAAGATCAAGTTAATGAAGGCTCGCTTATAGCCACTTGTGCGATGCATGTTAGCTTGGTTGTCAGTGCCACGTGTGGTACTGATAGCGGCATAGGCACTGCAGTAATAAAGTGGCTGAAGTGGACCTGTCATTCAAGCAAACAGTTTTGATGGAGTTGATGCTATGGCAGTGTGCTGTGGCATAGCGACATCTGCATGTGTGAAGCAATGGGACGTGGGACACGGGGACTTGAAACGCATCGATGTTGATCCTAGGAACAGTAACCTAAGAACGGCAGCAAACCCAATATGTAGAGAGAATGAAAGCTCCAGATTGCCGAGTGAGTTGGGAACAATGCATATTGGTCACTACTGTGCAGGATGGGTTTTATGTGATCTGGCTGCTGAACGTTCAGTGCGTTTCTCTATAACTGCTCACACCATACTTGCCACACTCCCTGCTCCTTGATTTGACAGAGGCCACTCGCACTGGACCCTTCGCCTGCCAGATTCAGGGGGTCATAAAGCCAAGGAGCCATGAGAATGCTCGATTCCACCAGCGGTTCTGAGTTGGAGTTCTACATTACTGACAAGAGCCAGTTTGAGCATCGAACTACCACTGCTGCAGATCCAATGTAACGTTAAAGAGGTATCACGTGATGGTGTGTAGGACATTCAACTCGTGAAGAGGCATCTGTTGGCCGTGTCGTGCTGTAAGTGGGACTATATGGTTGGCGTTTTGGGTTTGTGTCGGTGACATGTACACAATTTGGCATTTCCACCCCATTTGTATTGTGCTAATGTGAATTAGGAATAGTTTTTACATTTCTTCATGTTAATTAGTGGCGTAAAACCTGCATTAAAGGACACCTCTACTGTGGCAGGTTCCTACTGCAGCTCTATGTCCTGGTTTAGGTCTTTGATCTTCCTATTTATAAACTGTCGTTTCTTTATCTTAGCTTGTGTGATGTATTACGAATAAAATACTGAATGTATCGCACGTATGATGCATACTAGGCACAAAATGCATGCATTTTTTAAAATTGCTATCGATACAAGTGTTAAACTATCCAACGTAACACTGCCATAGAATATATTAGTCTAACATTGTCAGGAACGTTACGCTGAGCCGAACAGTTTCGTAGGCGACGAGTATCGCATTCCTCGTACAAATAAATACACTTGTTAAAAGTATCAAGCGGCAGGAACCAGCGTGGAGAAGTATGGCAAACAACCCCAATGGCAACAGCGTGCGAGGGAGGCCTTCAACGGGGGGGTTGACAAAGGGCAGCTGTCGTTTTGGGGCTTTACAAATAATAATTTAATAGCACAACACAGCTTTGTATAAGCACGTTGAAACATTGCCATGAAGCTATTGTGCAATGTGCATCTGGCGAGTAAGGGACCGTCCATAAATGACGTCAAGCACCTAGGGGGGGAGGGTTGAGAAATGTGACGTCACATCAAAATGCGCAACTTTAAATAAATATAGACAACACGTTCTACTTTATTAAATAGACTTTTTAATGTTTTCTCCTACATCAGAGTACAGCGCCACATTAAATACGCACTACAATGACAATAGTTTAAAGCGATTTGAAGCGTGTTTTATATTTGGGGGGGGGGGGGCAGAGCTTTAAGACGTCATATTTTGGGGGGGGGGGGTCTGACTTTTTGTGACGCCGTGCGACGAAAGGGGGGGGGGGGGTAAAAAATCGTCCAAAATCGCGTGACGTCATTTATGGACGGCCCCTAATCGGAATGATCCAATCAAGTGGCTGAAGATCCTAAGGGAAAGGTAATGAAAGGCTGCGATGTCCATAATACGTTTTTGGGTTGGATCGCGTAAATATAAATGTGTCGTTAAACCCGTCACCAACCGACAGCAAATCAGTAAGGTTTGTCACGTAAACAGAACGTGGCAATTGGTGACTAGCACATGACACCGGCAGTGTGCTGGAGAGCAACTCCACAACATTTACAATTCGAGTTGTCGTGACGCTTCGCCAGTCACGACAACCGGCATCATCAGGCGACAGCCGCGATTGGCTGTGTCGGGCGTGTTTAACGACACATTTATATTTACGTGATCGAACCCGAACCCCCCCCCCCCCCGCATTATGGATAACTGTCGTGTTTATTGAAAACTGTTTGTTGCCTGGCGAAGAAAGCCTTTCGTGAGGAAGGGGGAAAACGAATCGCGTTCGACCTCGCTGTCCGTCGCCCCGCCACGTGTTGACGCTCCCCCAAGTCACGTGCTGACGCCCCGCCCCCGCGGCCCCGCCCCTCCAGCCACGTGACCCCGACCGGGTCAGCCCCGCCCCCTTTGGGCAAAGCGGGGGGGGGGGGGCGCGCGCGTTTCTTGGGCTTCAAGGCCAACGGAGCTCGCGGGTAAAGCGCGAAGCGCGCGTGTTGTGTGTAGTCATTGTGTGTGTTTAGTCACTCACTGTGTAGTCTGTGTGTGTGTAGTCATTGTGTGTGTTTAGTCACTCACTGTGTAGTCTGTGTGTGTGGTCATTGTGTGTGTTTAGTCACTCACTGTGTAGTCTGTGTGTGTGTAGTCATTGTGTGTGTTTAGTCACTCACTGTGCAGTCTGTGTGTAGTCACTGTGTGTGTTTAGTCACTCACTGTGTAGTCTGTGTGTGTGTGTGTGGTCACTGTGTGTGTTTAGTCACTCACTGTGTAGTCTGTGTGTGTGTGTGGTCACTGTGTGTGTTTAGTCACTCACTGTGCAGTCTGTGTGTGTGTGTGTGGTCATTGTGTGTGTTTAGTCACTCACTGTGTAGTCTGTGTGTGTGTAGTCATTGTGTGTGTTTAGTCACTCACTGTGTAGTCTGTGTGTGTGTGGTCACTGTGTGTGTTTAGTCACTCACTGTGTAGTCTGTGTGTGTATAGTCACTATGTGTGTTTAGTCACTCACTGTGTAGTCTGTGTGTGTGTAGTCACT